GAGCGGTGGGTGGGTTAGAAAGAACCACCCTCTTTGTCAGGAAAAGGCCCATTCTTGGTAAAATTTTATCTAGGTAAACATAGGTTTCATTGTAAAAGGTCCACTTTTTCAGAAAAAGAACCCCCCTTTTGAATTTGCTGGCTAGGGGCCTGAATCAAGTGGACGCTACAATGTCCAGGGTAAGGGCCCTTGTCACATGAAGTCGTGTACTTAAGAGTACTCAGGGATGAGACCGCCATTTACTGAAAAAATTGGAAAATATGCGGTGGGGTTCAGGGGGCTGCCAAGGCCAATGATATTTTTTTACTTCCCAAAAAGTCAGAAATCCACCAAAAGTCGGAAAAATCTCATCCCCGAGTAGTGGTCTACTTTGCTTGGTTCTAACACATAATCATGGTATGGGGGCTATTATTCCTTTAACAAGTTTGCTTTCTGCTTTTTAATTCAAAGATTGATGTTACAGTAGTATTCACCATGCTATAGGAATGATATTTTACAACACCCGAAACAGATCTGCTCTTGCATACCTTTCTTAAACTTCTCAACAGGCAGTTTCTTTAAATTGGCCTTTGACAAGCGATTCTTTCTCTTCTTCCTCATGTCATTGATCCATCTTCCCAGCTGAAAGAAAAACATAAACCCAAATCATGTCAATCTGTTATGAAACAACAGGAGGCCTTCTCATGCCACTTAATGGGTAAGAAACATGAAAGACAACAATAGTGTAGTATTCACAAGTCATCTTCTTATTCAAACAATTGGATTTAAGTTAAGAGTTCCACATAAAATAAGATACCTTAAACAGAGCCTGGATGTATAATCTATAGTTCCACTGAACATATAGGCAAAAATTGGAATGCAGTTGCTAAATTGAACTCTAGACACAAGAATAGAATAAATATACCATGAAGACAACCAGGAGTATAAGAAGCACACACCATGAACACAATCATGAGTATAAAACACACCAATACCATGAATGCAACCATGAGTGCATGAAGCACTTACCATGAACACAACCATGAGTCTATAACACACTTATCATGAACACAACCATAAATATATAAACCACATACCAATACAACAACCATGAGAATATAACACTCTAACCAAGAACGCAACTATGAATATAAAACACACTTACCATGAAGACAACCATGACTATAAAACACTTACCAAGAATACAACCATGAATATATAACACTCTCACCATGAGCACAACCACGAGTATAAAACACACTTACCATGAACTCAACCATGAGTATAAAACACACTTACCATGAGAACAACCATGAGTATAAAACACACTTACCATGAACACAACCATGAGTATATGATGTGCTTACCACAACACAATCATGAGTACAAAACACACTTACCATGAACACAACCATGAGTATAAAACACACCCCTACAACTACAGCAAAAGGCACAAGATACAAGTTGGGGTTAAACTCTGAATCTCTAGGGTCCAACATAATGGAATACCTGAAACAAATAATTTGTCATCTAAACTTGGTTATTTGATAACATTTTTTGCAAAACATTTACTCTTATGGCAACTTACTTGCTTTTTTCTCTAAATGTAATAATAAGTGAACATCTATTAGGAAAATGGGCTTGTGTGATATTTTTGCGATTTTCTAACTAGAACATTCTGAGTTCAGTATTTCAAATTTAAGTAATGCAAATCAAGTATATACATATTCTTATCATTCTTTTGAAATGGCCATGTTTGAAATAATGTTATTATCTCAAGTTTCAACTGTATGTGTTTTCACTAGTACTTACTTGTGAGTGGGAGAAGCATAATAGCTGTATAATGTATTGAGCTGGGTCCCGTCACTCTCAGACACGAACACAGATGGGATAATGATTTTGTCACCTGAAATATATTGACGTGACAGTTCAAAGGCAGCAGTTCAGAGGCTATTTGTTGTAATAAACATACCTTACCACCATTCTTAAAAGATATCCGGTTTGAGCTTAAAACCCAAATGTAGGTATAAATCCCATCTTGTACTTTGCTCTAATACACAAACTTTATAAAAAATTCTTGTTCTGGTTTGAATCTAAAAATAAAATATGATTCAACTTTTAACTTCAAATTATACAAGTATGCAATATGGTCGATTTTAAGTCTCAAGTTATAATATCCCTAAAAATATATATTTAATTAATATTCTGCATATTCATCACTTAGTGCCAGATTGACCTCAAACTTACCAAAGCCATCATCCCCCATTGGAATCAAGGCATCAGAACCCACATTGTGAACAATTGCAGCAGAGAAACCAGCCTTCTGCGCATTAAGAACCTACAAGTACAGTTGCATCAGTGAGGTAATGGCTGTATTTAATTTAGTGAGTTAGCTGGTTGTATAAGTGAGTTTTACTGGTTGTTTTAATGATTGAGCTGGTTGTATCAGTAAGTTGGTTGTACTAGTAACTGGTTGTATGAGCAATTTAGCATAAAAGATGTGTTTAAAGAGAATCAAACATAGAAGCTTTTTAAACCTCCTGTGTAATATAAATCATAGCATTAACCATTGATAAACAGCAGCGTTACTCTATCATAAGCATGATGACCACTGTAAGATGGGCAATACACAATCAATGACTTCTGCTTACTTTTATGTCATTGTTTTTTTTTTTTTTTACTTTTTATTCCTTTTTTTCTTTACTTGGAGAAAACCACTTAGCTTTTATCCAATGTAATAGCTTCAGTGACCAAACTTGAAAAAGTTTGGCCACATTCAACTGGCACCAATACCACATGTCTCATATAAAACCCCTTTCAATAACATACTTCACCTTAGTAACGAAGGAGCAGGCTTCATTTCCATAGCTTCTCTCAATCAGTGCTATCCACTTAGATACATTGGTAGTTTGGAAAGGAGGAGGATCCACTGGGGCACAGGCATTATGGGGCTGTGTATATATCAAGTATCCCTAAAAAATGAAGTCATCATAATAATAATATTAATAATAATAATAATAATAATAATAATCCACTGCGGCACAGGCATTATGGGGTTGTGTATATACATCAAATATTCCTAAAAATGAAGTCATAACATAATTTTATAATAATAATAATAATAATAATAATGATATTAATAATAATTTATATTATTTACAAAGACCATAACAATCTACACTTTTTAGATTTTCATAGACAAAATCAATTTAGAACAGAAATACACTAACTATACTGGACTAGTATTGAAATCGCAAAATTACAAAAGCCCAGTTTCAAAAATTAACTTACTGGTAACTTAACTTAGTTTTTAACTTACAGATGAACATATTTTGTCTCTACTCACCCAGATCCCCCTGTTAGAAATACCTGGTCCAAAGTGAGGTTGAATGTCATAGTATTCCTCCACTGTTTTATTGAGGTGGTCAAGCTAGAGGAAAAACAGGCAGATTAAACACAGGTGTCATATGAGGTTAAATTTTAAATCAAAAATTTAAATTACATTACATTAGTAATTTTGGTATTTAATTCTTAAACCTAATCTTCACATGTATTCCTTTTAAAAGTCTAAGACTAATATATATTTAATGTAAGCTAAATAAAGCAACTATTGTCATTTTATTAGTATCATTAAAGACTTTCTTTATGCTGAACCTGTTGATCCTTTCTAATATCAAAATCTTGAAATTCACACTTCATAGAATTATTTTAAATCCTACTCTGCATGTTTTTGGCTGTTTTCTTTACAATACATTATTGTCTACATAAATGACAAAAAAATTACAAAATTCTTACTATTTCAACTTACCACATGTACGTTGGCCTCTACATATATGCTCTGACACAAGGACACCAAGTTGAGAATACCATACAAGTAAATCATGCTGGGATGCTTCCCCATAGTTCTGATCCTCAACACCTGGGTAGTCAAGTAAATTGTAGTACAATGCGGGGTTTTACTAGTACTAAATTTTGTTTTTAAAGGACATCGTCATTTTTGGATGCTAGAATAAGATCTATGTTAATTTTATTTTCTTCATTTCTTTTTTCAAACTTGTCACATAATTGCTAAACATTTTTTGGCTACAATGGAATGCAAAGATTCACTGGTTTCAGATATAAAGAAACCTTAAACCTTACCATATATTTTCCCTTAAAACAACTATTATAAAACCCCTAATACCTACTAGTACCGACTTCAAACAAACTTCCAGTCCTACATAATAACCCTATTTGAAGGAAGATAAGAGATCTTTAAGCTGACCCTGAATATTGTGGTTTTGCAACACTAATAGTGCATGGCAATAATAAATTTAAACCTCAGCTTCAGATCAGATCTTTTTGGGACACACAAAAACATGTTTTAAAAATTATTTTAAGATATCCTTTATATCAGTATTACTAGATAGATTTACTTGTGCCTGTAATTTGTTCTGTGTGCCACTTGTAAGGGCACTCCAGTGTCACCTTATCTACTGTTGTTATCAATATGTATATTGAAGTTGTGGTTAATATACATAGGTCATGAATATCATGCATGATTTCAGTTTATGTAACAATAAAAATTGGACACTATTGTGCCTCTTGATAATGATTTAAAATTGATGAAATTAAAGGGGCAATGTTGATTTATAACTCCTACATAATTAAAAGAGGGGCATCTTTGATTATTATTATTCCCATTTTAATGAAAAAGAGAGTTAAAATTTATGCACTACTAGGAATGGAAAAGAGTAATTTTTTTTTCATTGACAGACATGGTTTTTTCACCATTTTGATTTAGTACAAAACCTGTATTGTTCGTCATAACACAATTTATTAGTAAAATAAAGTCTGATTCAAAAAAGTTAAAGTAAGTATCTTTTTGCAAGTAAAATAACAGGTAAAACCTTCAAGGCTGAAAGTGAATTGTTCCGATTTTCAACAGCATGTTTTTCAATTTTAGACATAATTATCAAAACCAGGATGTAAAATTTCAAAATATCATTTTGGCAACTTTTAAAATTCTTGTTCATGTCATATTGTCTTTTCCAAAATAAAACCTTCTTGTGACTATCATATTTGTAAAGTCATTATGTAATTTTGAAAATTTAATCACTCGTGAAAGAGGTTTGGGAGTATGTTTAAAGAAATGAGCAAAAACTACATTACTGGGCAGATAAAATCATTTCTAGGTCATATTTAGTTTTACTTTTACTTTAGAACTTGCTTCATCGTGCGAGGCGAAAGAAAATACAACTGTTTCATTCTCGGTTTTAATTTATCAAATTATTATAATTATTGTTATTACTTTATATTTTGTTTCTTAAAAACTGCCTTTACATCAAGTTGCAAATATACACCCAAACTTATTTAAACACAATAACAATTCCCTTCTTGCACTAGCGTAAACAAAACTAAGAAAGTCAAAACGCGAAACAGCTGCCCCCCCCCCCCCCACATCGAATATCAATTGTGTACTTTAATTTACGATTTTTGTTACGATCGAGGAGAAAATAAAATAAATAGATAGCTTTTACTTGTTACAACTTACCTTTCTACTTCAAAAGTGCGAATTCACCTGTATTTACTTTATTTTTCTATACTCATATCAGTGTATTCCGTCTTCTTTTCCAAAGTTCACAACTAACGTGAAATCTCACTGTAGATGGCGCTACTTTTTTAACAAAACTTTTATTATATTACAAACCAAATGACAGGTATATGCATAACAACTACGACTTCAGACTAGTTGAATTTCTTTTACACCCGTATCTTGGCTATTTGTCACAGCTGTCTTACATTTTTCATTGAACTCATCTAGCACGGAGTATCTTGAAAATCACACACCTCTGTCCACATGCGTTAGAAAATAGTACTGAATATTTACCACTTATGTAGGCTTCTTTAAGATATGATTAATTTGAATAAAATATTGTTGCTTTAAGCATAATCTCCAATAATCAAAATACAATTCACTTGGGATTCTATTTTGTTTTAAATGTATATATTCCCAATTAAATACATAACGTGTTACTACGCCCCTTTTCTTCATTAACACATGCTGCCATCTATCCTAAATTTTGAGCCCAGCGCCTCTAGCTTTCATCCGGGCACTTCATCACTGCTAAGAAAATGGCGTCCACAGAGGTGACTTACGTTCCACCGCCTTCCAAAAAGACTGGGCCGGCCAAGAAAATCGAATCTTTGAGAAAATTTTTGTGGAATCCAGCCCGCAAAGAGTTCTTGGGACGTGATGGATGGAGTTGGGGTAAGATGGCACTATCAGATTATGCAGAAAATTAACTTGAAGTTTATCAGAATGGCAGTTGCAAGCGAACATTTGCATCTCAGTTGAAAATGTGCGATTGCGAAATCGCGACCATATCGCCACTCCTGCAACACTGGCACTCATCATGTTGCACAGTTTTGAATTTTGGGCAGTATGGAAATAGAATTTATAATATAATTGCATTATGATCGCGGCTATGGGCTGCATGAAGTGCATTTTTCTTTAAAACATTATAATGCATTATAACTTATGATAGAATGGAAGGAGGCAGGTCATTAATTTAAAGTCAGACCTGCTGCATGCCTTTTAAATCGTATGCATAAAAAAAGGTGTTTCTCATCATCCTGCATGGAATGCAATCACATCTGAAGAAAAATAACGAAAAGTTGCTGAAGTATGTTAAACTTAATACAACTAAATTTGCAAAGAATTAAAGAAACACTTGAAAATCCCAGGAAGCAGGAGACAAGCTGCAAATGCCCCAGTTTATATACAAAAAAACTTTTTTTTTGTGTAACTCATTAATTTTTTCAATCATTTCTTTTTAACTACCATTTTGTAGTATAATGTGGTTTTCCCAAATCATAATGTCAAAATTTCTGTCCCCTCCCCCAAATAAATGAATAATAATAAATAAAGATAATACCAAAAAAATTAACTGTTAGAAAACTGTTAAAAGTCATCCCATAAATTGACAAATGTAAGGTGAAATAGTTGACTGACAGACAAAGTTGACACAAAATACAACCTTCTTGTCATGTTTGCAGGTCGCATTGGTTTGTTCTATTTGATCTTCTACTCTGGACTGGCTGGTTTCTTTGCCATCAACCTGTCAGTGTTCATCTACACCTTGGACAAGGACACACCCAGGCTTTCTGGAGATTCTAGTATAACAACCAACTTTCCTGGTAAGTAATCTGGATAAAATGACTGCTAATGACTCATTGTATAAAGCTTAGAAATTGAGTTTTTATTATTATTATTTTTTAAAATAAATATTATTAGTATGTTGAAGCCATTGTGAACTCACCTTGGTGACTTTTTTTTTGGAGGGGGGGGTGGGGTGAAATTACAAATCAAAAGTTAATGTGATTTGACAAGTACTGTGATGTTGATTTACTTGTGATGCAGAAAAAAGTGTATACTTATGTGATGTTGCATACAGAGAGTACACAATATTTCACTATTTATGTCAAATGACATCTTAAGTTAGATATTTGATAAGTAATAAATGTGTGTTGAACTTGTCTCTGCAGCATCTGAAACTGTATTTGGAAAATAACTTTTAAAATTATTTGGGAGATGAAAAAAATTAGTAAATAAAAAACAAAAGAAGAACTGGTGTGTTTCTAGGGACAACAGCATTTTAATCTACATATGCTGTTTAGGACAGAGCACTTGGATCAGTGTTTGTTGATGGTATGATTTTGTAGGGAAAGCGGAAGGCTGTGGCTCACAAAAGGGCAAAATTATTTTTAAAAAATCCATGTAAACTTTCTAAATAACTGTTTTTACCTGCTCAATGAAATAAACAATTTTTGTCTTTGATATGACTGAGAGAGACTTAGATAGACTGTACCTTGGGAGGGAGTCGGGGATATTAAATTTTTTCAGGAAAATAGTTTTTTTGTCCTTAAAAAGGTGTTGTGCTCTATATAGAGAAACAAGTCATTTGTATATGAACATTTTCCATATGCCTCTATGCTGAAAATCCATCATCATCCTGATGATGACAGATACTCTATAACCTTTCAAGAAACTTTGTGGAGGTTATATTATCAAACATCTGGTTGATGTACATAATGAGACATAGATACATTTAAAAATCCATTACTTGATTTACTTTGTAAGCCAGTAGATTATTATTTTGTCATGTTCACAAACATGTTTTGATGAACTGTGTAACTTAAGATACAGGTCAGGGATAAGTTTTGTATTACGTGTAATTTGGTGTTCTATGGAAATGGCTCCAGCAAGGAAAAACCTTGAAAATCCATCTATTGCTGCGCTAGAGTTCCTGTGATCAATAAATGTTCTCTTAATGTAAAGTTAATCTGTGTCTGTCACTTTTGCTGCCAACCTTGCCTTGTAGGGTATACAGCAGAACGAACACAGTGAAAGGAAATCAATAGGGAGAATTTTTATGGAGTGGAGATTGGTTGAGCACAGCAGATAATACGTGCACTTAATCTATTGCCAGAGGTGTGAACAAAGGGTAAATGTAGGAAGACAGCGGCTAAAAGATGACTCTTTCTTATATAAAATTTTCTTTATAGGGTACAAATGCCTTTTCACACAGTATATGTGTGAGGTGGGGGTGGGGTTAAGTAAAAGAAAAAATTGATTGCTTTTCTCCTGCTGTCTGACCTTTAGAAGTGCGAGTTACAAGGGTGTTGCGAACAAAAATGATTACTTGACAACCTTGGGTCTGAGCCCATGCCAGTATATGAGATGCTTGGTAAAAACTGAAGCCTAGTGTTGAATAGCAATTGAAGGAAATGATTTTTTCCATTTGATTTCCTTTTTTTGCTTTAAAAGCAAGGTCAACTATGAAGTGCCTTTTTTTTTTTTTTTGGGGGGTGCTAAACAGTCTTAAGTGTTTATGGCCTTGTTTGGTTGCAAGCATTTATTACTGATATACCAGACTATCTGTCAACAACAAATACTTGATACAGTATTAGATGTAGATAATCTCAGATTTAGGTGTTACTGATTTTATTCAGTGGTAGACTATGGGTGTGTTCCCAGAGATTAAGATTTAGATCGACCTAACTCGCTGGGGGTTAACGCTAAATTGCAGTCAGCTGAGCGCGCAAAATAGTTAATTACCCCCCTTACAGCTTTTAGTAGGTGGGACAGACGCTTAAACCGGCTAAGCTGACAGTAATCTAGTGAAACTCCCCACAGGGGGTAGATCGATCTAAAATCTATGGAAATGGGGTCTATGAAATATAAAATGAAAGGAGAGAGAGCGGCCGGGAGAATTAAGAGAAAGTTGAAAATACACAAAATGGTGAAGGAGGAATTCAACAATTAATTTGGTGTTCTACCTAGGAAATTTGCCAAAATAGGGAAAAACGCGTCACTCTTTATCTCCTGAACATTCCACATTTCTAGATAAAGATATTCACTTATTGTGTTTCAGGTATTGGGTTCAGGCCAATTCCTGACATCCGGACCACGCTGATTCGTTTTGAGCAGGGCAAGCCTTCTACTTACAAGGCCTATGTGGACCATATCCAAGCAACTTTAAGAGGTGAGTAATTGTTTTTAGGTCAAATGGTTTTTTGAGGGTGGGGGCATATCCAGGCTTTGATATGAGTACTTAGTTTTGAACCTGGTATATCTAGGCTATGGTTTGAGTATATGTCTTAAAACCAAGGGATGAGGGATTTGGGGAGGGGGAGGGGGGGAAAGGAGATGGGAAAGAAGACTGTAATATCCAGTTACAATAAAATTGTCTCATCTTTCAACAGATTGGAGAAAAAGATAAGACCTGAGTATCCAAAAAATCCTCAAATAATGCCACACTTTAGTTCATAGTAACCAAATCATGTGATCTTAATTTATTGTTAACAGCTTAAATTTTCAGATTTTTAAGATTTGGAAATGTCATCAAGCACAATCGTAAAGTTAACATATAAAAATGTCTCTTAAATTCAGATTATGAAAACGATCGCCAGGAGAGCGAACAGTTTGACAGCTGCCAGTCCACACGTCCCCGCGACAAGATCTGTAAGTTCTTGGTGGATGACCTTGGTGAGGAGTGTACTTACAGAAAAGACTTTGGTTATGATTTAGGCAAGCCATGCATATTGCTCAAGATCAATAAGGTGAGAAAAGCATGATGTTTTTATTTATTTGTTGTTTGAGGACAAGGTGAGCTCAGAGAGGTTGTGAGAAAGATGATAAAAAAAGTAGATGTGTATGGGAAAGAAGTGTTAGTAAGATGACATCTTTGATATAGCTGTTCACAACTTTTACTAGTAACTGCTTCTTATATATATATATATATATATATATATATATATATTTTTTTTTTTTTTACCCTAAAAATACATATCTCTCTTCATTATAACCTTCATGCATGATCTCAAATTATGACAACAATGTTTTACAATCATTGAAGATAAAGTAAATCAGACTGTATGTATTCAGATTATGAACAATGCAAAATCCCAATACATAAACCAGCCTGACCCTAGAAAAGGCACAACCTGTAAAGGTTATATATTGTGTGTGTGTGTGTGTGTTATTTCAGCTGTTTGGCTGGGAGCCTGAGATGTACACCCCAGGGTCTGATGAAGCCAGTGGTATACAGAACAGCACAGGGGTGTCCCTCACTGAGGACAATGTACAGGTGTACTGCGAGGGAGAGGTGGGTTTTCTTGACTGACTGGCTGGACAGTTTACACTTTTTAACAGGCTGCTGGAGTAGCGTTAACACTCGCCAATTTAGCCAAATGCTAAAAACTGACTTTAATTGGCTAAACAAAATGGACTTTTTAAAGTCAAATTATAACCATTTGGATAACAAATTGACAAAAAAGTGGTGATTTGGGTAAGGGAAAAAATTCCTGGCACTACCCCAGACAGGCTTGCTGACAGAAGTTGTTTTTCATTGGTGTAGATGTCAGACATGATTTTTTCCCCCCCCCCCCCCCCCCCTCTTCCACTCTAAAGGATATTGCATTTTTTTTCTCACCTGAAGTTGCTGCTAGGACCCTAAGGCCACTGAGCCTTTTTTCCAGCTTTTCCAAAATCATGTCTGATCTGTCAACATGAAAAGATGATCATGGTTTTATACCACTACATATATGAATATTCATGCATACTTAGTACGTTTCAAAATGTCAGATGTCAAAAAATACAAAGTGATAATACAAAAATACTTTTATGTATTGAAAGTAACAATGGAAGACATCTTTTAGCAATTTTCTTTACAGACTACACTGAATTTTTACCAGCTGAAAAAAAGTCATTAATTCAGTATTCTTTTCAACAAGCATATTTATCAGATTTTGTCATTAGTCAGTTATTTTAAAGCTGTAAATGTGATATTCCTTTCAGAACCCAGCTGACAGAGAGAACATAGGTCCTATCGTATACTATCCTAGTGCAGGCTTTCACAAGAAATACTTCCCATTCACAAACCAGGAGGGCTACCGACAGCCTATCGTCATGGCGCAGTTCACCAAGCCCCAGGCTGGACGCCTCATTCAGGTGGTGTGCAAACTGGTCGCCAAAAATATTCCAAACGAGGAACGTCAGCTGGATAGCATGCACAAGGAGGGAAGTGTTCACTTTGAGCTTCTAGTAGACTAACAGTGGATAACCTTTAGGAACTTACTTTCTTAATTTTTTTCAAATTGGAATTTTAAAGTAGATTGATATTTGGTGGAAAGATAATTTTTTGGGTCGGCTCCAGGAGGAAAATTTGAAATAGAAAGGTTTTAGTCCCGCACAGCATCTGACCTGCAGTGAAAGCAACTGGTCCCAGTGATATAACTCAAGAGAATTAGATTATGATGGCCTAGTTTTAGGAGCTTTTGACCTAATTTAGCACAAGTAGGTCAAAAAGGGTCTATTTCTAGGTCAAATTGACCTAGTTTATGGGGAAAGAGTTGTTTTTTTAAAAACATAATTTCTTTCTTGTACTTGACAATATCAGTTATCTAACAAAGAAAAAAAAAAACGCTGCAGGTTCTTGTATATAGTGTATGATTATTTTCTATATTTGTTGAACCTATCACAATGCAACTGTTGCTCTGTGCATTAATGATGAAGTAGACTGTGCATTGTGTCATAATATATAATGTAGCTCAGACCTAATGTGTCATCTTTGTATCTCCGTATACCACAGTTCCTTAGGCTTGGTAGGCTGTACTTATCTAAATAATATAAATCCCGGTTTCTTGTGGAACAGACAAGGGATGAGGACGCTTAGGTTTGAGATATGATTTAAGTATCATATACAAAGGAAGGGGAAAAGAAACCCTGCTCAGCAGCTTTTGTTTCACTGGACGCACATAGGCACTCTCTTACACTGAACTTCTCCCGCACAAAAGTGTTGGGATATGAAAGCTTTTTTTGCATGACTTTTTTTTTCCTTCAGTCATATCATCACTGCCCTTTATAGTGTTCTATAGTATTATCTGCCTGTTTTACCGAATTATTATGATTATGCTTATATTCGCTTTCGTCTTCTGTATGGTTGTGTTATTCGTTATATGTAGGGCTCTTTATTGTCTTGTCTCTGATTAAATTTTAGCAAAAAAAGTGTTATCTTTTCCTGTCCCTGAAGCCATTTTCCAGCCACTTTTATTAGGCTTTAAGGTGTTTATGATTAATATTGTTTAGTCACTACTAATGCCAATAAGTAATAATTCAGTAGTGTTTGCTGGATATAACTATGCATTGATGTAGTCTTGTTATATTTAGGTCAGTGCGACCTACTTCACACTGCATCAATGTTCTTTATTGAGCATGTATTGTTACACCTATTAGCAATTTTGAGGCATATACAAGTTTATAAACGTAATGTAAATGTACATTTATCCTCTGCAGGTACGTGATCATAAAAAAAATTATTTCTTAAAAAGTGTCAATTTTTATGTTAAATATTTAGTGTGATCAGAGTTGGGAATTTTGAAATTCTGTTTTTAAGGAAGTGTCATTGAAACTGGAAATATTGTTAGACAAGTGGTGGAAGTGATGCTTAACCAGTTACTATCATTCGGGTCAAGTTTGTAGTGATGCTTTATCCATGCTGAGATTAAGATTGACCCCAAATTGAGGCAATATACTCACAATAGTCCGTCATGTAACAAATATCCTACTTCCTTGTCCTTAAATAGTTCTTTGCCTATCAAGTATTTTATTCATTTATTTGTGTTTTGCATATCAAGAGTGGTAGCTCTAAATCAACATTTTTCTGGAGAGCTGATTTTCACTGGATCACATCCCAGCATTTAACTCTTTAAGGAATTGCTTGAATTCACCCCCACCCCCAAACCCTTGCCGTGAACCAGTCCTGTCTCTGAAATGTAAGCCTTCATTACAAAGGTCTTGTTGAAATGGTAATTAGTGTTTGTAATGTAGCACTGGCCTTTACCATTTCAATATTCATGTCACAATGGTGTAATTATTTGTTACTCAAAATATGTCTAACCTTATTGTCAGATTTCATGTGTCATGTTAAATGACTTACACGCATTTGAACCCGGTTGGATTTTATTTATTTATTTATTTAATTTTTTTTTTCAAATAGATTTTCATCATTAATTGGTGTAATGTGATGGTGTCTTTTTAGCAATTTATGTATTTCAACATGTACAAATCCTTGTTAACTGGTAAGTCATTCTAGCTAAGACCATTAAATGTCCTTATAAGGATAACTGTAAGACTCCTAAACCAATTGTGCTAGCTGGATCGGTCTTACTCTGCGGGGCTTCTCCCCAAAGTGCTTTTAGCGTAATCAGCTTAATCATCTGGCATGCCCCCTTGAGTAACTAGGGGGTAATAGACTGTTGTTAATAAACCCCCTTACGGCAGGAGCATGTGTGCTGGACATTTAACCTGCTCACAATGAATGCAATTTAGCGAAAATCCCCTTAGTTAGATTGTTCCAGCTAGTGCGATGGGTTTATGGGAACACTCCCTAAGATTACAACATATTGGACCAGCTGTACTGTTAGATAGACCATTTTAACCAGCCTGTTCACAAATAATTGTTAAAAATCATTTGTGTTATGTAAAAGTTTGTTGTGTGTCTAAGTTGAGAAAACGATTGACCTCCACTAGAATGATAGAAAAATCACTAATAATTCATTAAGATGAGATAAAATTTTGTGTGCAAATTGGTAGACAAATGTTATATGTTGGTTCATATCTTATACTCACACACAACATACACATACACACACTAGGATGTGCAGGAGAATGCTTCCAAGACTGTTCACAATGTAGGAACCACAGGAGAACTCTTCTCTATCCTGACTGAGTGTATGGATTTGCCATAACTGGCATGATTATCTCTAGTGCTAAACAGTGTAATACTGGGGTCCTGGGGGACTACACCGCAGGATCCCGGGCTCAGATGTTTTTTTGTGTGAGTATATTGAATGTGTACAATTAGTTTTTAAAGTTGAATTTGTACAATGAAAAGCACCAATAAAAATGATTACTGGAGAGAAGGTGGAATTTTGTTTTTCTGTGAAGGTCTGAAATCTGAAAAAAAAAAAAAAAAATTTCTGGCCCCTGTTTCTCAAAAAAAACTCCAGTTTCCTGACAGAGTTTGGTTACTAACGTAATTAAGTCCGTATATATCACTTAGTCCCGTTTCATGAAAAATCTGAAAGGCTGCTGTTTTTTTCCTTAGCTGCTAGTTGGCGAGGCCTAGCCCCCTCGGGAGCTACCCCTGGTCATCAAAACATTCCCAAAAATGAAAACCTCATAAAAACTTCAAATTTAAAGAAAAATAATTCAATGATACAATGAAGATATATTCCAAAATTTTATTTGTATAGAAATCCCTTTGTACATCATAACCTTCAATTCCACAAAACGGACGTAAACTATTATAATAAATACTATCAACATTAACCATTTGCCATTGTGCCTGTAAACCAGTGACTTGCTTTTAAAGCTCTTAATATACCACTTGGCATAAATATACCCACTGCATCAAGTTTTAATAGAACCATTCTATTAAATATGTGCTCCACAGGAAAAATAATAAATCCTTTCTTTTCTCCACAGATTTTGTGCAAAAACTCTTAAAGTTGGGTCCTCATTTCCAGTTTTGATAAAAGCACCAGACAGAGTGACAGCATAGCTGTTAGTAATCAATGTCTAACCCAACAATTATGTCCAGATTAAATATCTTACACATGCCTTGTGACTATCCACATTTCTAAGGAACTGCACGTACGACTGCCCATTAACAAGCTTAGGCCTGGACTTAAAAGAACCTATTACAGAAATGGACTCATTTTGTAAAATGTTAGAAGATTATTGAAACTGTTTCAATTTGTGGTCTATTGCTCTCTAGATATCTACTACCTGCAAGCAAAATTTCACAATTATGCCAGCACAACTGTGACAAATTGTATTATCCTCCCCTCTTCTTCCTCCAAGTATCAAAACAGTTGACCACACATAAATTTAATTCTATGTCAACCAGCAATTACACGAGACAAAGAAACTTCTGACAGCACATCAAACGTGACAAAAGTTGAAACAGAAATAAAACGATCATTTTCTTCAAATTCATCACAACTGATTGAAGAGAATGTCCGTGCAAATATTGCAATTTCAATCCTGAGTACATTAGCATGGTTTTGGTAGATGCTGCATTCTTCCATGTGATAAAATGTACATATTAAGTTACGTTTTGGTGTTCAACCATCCTTCTTAACTGTCCTCTAAGAAGACTGTGTATTAGAAAATAAGAATGGAGCTTTGGTGTTATGGCTACCCAGCACAAATATATTGATTCCCCCAATATGACCCACATAAGCAAATGTATCTGATATTCATTAATCTTATAACCTATTTTATTCATAAAATATGAAGGAGAAAAGCCAGTTTTCAACATACAGACTTTGCACCAAAGTTCATCTCCACTCAAAAATGAACAAAAAAAAAAAAAAAAGTTCCAAGCTCATGCTTTGGTTTGTATGTCAATGTAAAGGTCATCAAGGTGTCATCTTCATCACCAAATTTATCTGAAAAAAGGAGAAATAATTCTTTGAGAATTTCAGTCCAATAATAACGTCATTTACATGCCTTCACTTGTTTAATCTAAGGCCCTTTTCACATTGAGTGGAGTACTTCAGGGATACAGTGTGTATACTTTGTTAGGTCCCAACATTTTATAATAATGATAATAATAATTTCAAAACCTCAATATTCCAATATAGCCAGTCATATATTGTGGCATGTAAATGATAATGAAATGTTAAATTCATTTACTCCACAATAACATCCCAGTTTTTACTTAATTCCTGTTATGGGAGACGGACCAGACAAATGACATTTTTATAGCCTATAGCATGAAAATTAAAAACGATTCCTATAAAGAAAACTCATACTCACCTGATCAAGTGAAGGACATCCAATGATCTGTTGATCTTCTTCTGAATAGTTCTCACTGAGAATTGTGTGAAGCTGCTGGAAAGCATGCTGGATATTGACCTGAAATATCAACACAAAATTAGGTCACTGAAATCTACATTATTATTGAGAAATAGGTCAAAGTAGCCTATTTTTGTCACTTGGCAATAGCATGGAGTTGTTGGAAGGGATGTTGAAAAATCATTATTTCATTTAATTACTTAGAAACAGAAAACAGTCATCTATTTTTCAGTTAGTCCATTTAAAGGCATGTTGAAAAAAAAAACCTTGCACACGTTTCGTGTCCTCATTGCCTATTTCATTCATACTTTGATTGCTTTTCAGAAAATGTGCTCTGTGACCCTATTGGCTATTTCATACATACTTTGATTGGTTTAAAGAGAATGTGTTCTGTGTCTCTATTGGCCAGATAGAGCATCATGCTTTTCTGTATACTTGGTATTTTCTGTTTCAGGTGTTTGTAGGTCTGTGTCACTGCTTCGTGGACTTTCTCAGGGCCGGCAAAAGGCTGTTGTCTTAGAGAAATCTTCTGCCCAGTGTCCCCTTGGCCATGTTTTACTATCACCTCAGCCTGGGGAAAAAAATCAAAATCCAGTTAAGTTCAATACATCTTGCAGGGATTGATACAGAGATATTTTCTGACAGTCTTTCAAATGATCTGTGTTGACCTACCCTCCATTATTTACCATCTCTCAAGTTCTTGCAGAAAAAAAAAGATGCCCGTCAGTGTTAACTAGAAAAATTCTGACCATCTTTCAGATGACCCAGAAGACAGCTTCCATCTGCCCTTGCTTTGTAGCAAAATTTAAATAAGCTTTCTTACCCACATATATTGTATGATCATTCAATGAGAAGTTCTCTGTCTTTAAGGGCATATTCCCATAGATTTTAGATCGATCTATCCCCGTGGGGAGTCTCACTAGATTACTGTCAGATAATCTGGCTTAAATGTCCGTCCCGCCTACTACAAGCTGTAAGGGGTTAATTAACTTTCGTGCCCGCTCGGCTGACAGCTATTTAGCGTGAACCCCCAGGGAGTTAGGTCAATCTAAAGTAGATCGATCTAATCTCTGGAAATGGGGTCTAAGCTGTCATGTCACTTAAGTTTAATATAGCAATTTTTATTTTATTCGAATTTTAAAATATATATATACTACAGTTGCTGAATAAATCTTTACTTACTTCAACTTGACAAGTACATACATTTCAAATTCTGTATAATAATGAAAAGTGTGTAACCACAGGAATTGGTTACATTTTTAGATGGGTAATTTAAAACACTCATTTTAATATCAAATGCACCCACCTTGGTGAGAAAAGAGTGCAGTGGGCCTGCCACTGTGTCTGACACATAGCGTATGAAATCCTCGCAACTTTTCTTTAGCTGTGTGTCCACTTCACGCTTTNTATAGCCAGTCATATATTGTGGCATGTAAATGATAATGAAATGTTAAATTCATTTACTCCACAATAACATCCCAGTTTTTACTTAATTCCTGTTATGGGAGACGGACCAGACAAATGACATTTTTATAGCCTATAGCATGAAAATTAAAAACGATTCCTATAAAGAAAACTCATACTCACCTGATCAAGTGAAGGACATCCAATGATCTGTTGATCTTCTTCTGAATAGTTCTCACTGAGAATTGTGTGAAGCTGCTGGAAAGCATGCTGGATATTGACCTGAAATATCAACACAAAATTAGGTCACTGAAATCTACATTATTATTGAGAAATAGGTCAAAGTAGCCTATTTTTGTCACTTGGCAATAGCATGGAGTTGTTGGAAGGGATGTTGAAAAATCATTATTTCATTTAATTACTTAGAAACAGAAAACAGTCATCTATTTTTCAGTTAGTCCATTTAAAGGCATGTTGAAAAAAAAAACCTTGCACACGTTTCGTGTCCTCATTGCCTATTTCATTCATACTTTGATTGCTTTTCAGAAAATGTGCTCTGTGACCCTATTGGCTATTTCATACATACTTTGATTGGTTTAAAGAGAATGTGTTCTGTGTCTCTATTGGCCAGATAGAGCATCATGCTTTTCTGTATACTTGGTATTTTCTGTTTCAGGTGTTTGTAGGTCTGTGTCACTGCTTCGTGGACTTTCTCAGGGCCGGCAAAAGGCTGTTGTCTTAGAGAAATCTTCTGCCCAGTGTCCCCTTGGCCATGTTTTACTATCACCTCAGCCTGGGGAAAAAAATCAAAATCCAGTTAAGTTCAATACATCTTGCAGGGATTGATACAGAGATATTTTCTGACAGTCTTTCAAATGATCTGTGTTGACCTACCCTCCATTATTTACCATCTCTCAAGTTCTTGCAGAAAAAAAAAGATGCCCGTCAGTGTTAACTAGAAAAATTCTGACCATCTTTCAGATGACCCAGAAGACAGCTTCCATCTGCCCTTGCTTTGTAGCAAAATTTAAATAAGCTTTCTTACCCACATATATTGTATGATCATTCAATGAGAAGTTCTCTGTCTTTAAGGGCATATTCCCATAGATTTTAGATCGATCTATCCCCGTGGGGAGTCTCACTAGATTACTGTCAGATAATCTGGCTTAAATGTCCGTCCCGCCTACTACAAGCTGTAAGGGGTTAATTAACTTTCGTGCCCGCTCGGCTGACAGCTATTTAGCGTGAACCCCCAGGGAGTTAGGTCAATCTAAAGTAGATCGATCTAATCTCTGGAAATGGGGTCTAAGCTGTCATGTCACTTAAGTTTAATATAGCAATTTTTATTTTATTCGAATTTTAAAATATATATATACTACAGTTGCTGAATAAATCTTTACTTACTTCAACTTGACAAGTACATACATTTCAAATTCTGTATAATAATGAAAAGTGTGTAACCACAGGAATTGGTTACATTTTTAGATGGGTAATTTAAAACACTCATTTTAATATCAAATGCACCCACCTTGGTGAGAAAAGAGTGCAGTGGGCCTGCCACTGTGTCTGACACATAGCGTATGAAATCCTCGCAACTTTTCTTTAGCTGTGTGTCCACTTCACGCTTTGAGTCCAAGAAATGTTCAGTGACTTGTGGAGATCCCTGTAAAGATTGTGTCACTCTTAACACTGCACTTTAGTAAAGGCTGCATTCAGAACACTGGTCTAACTAGTCCGAGGGTCAAATATGGCGACCCACTAAAAAGCTTGCCATCTAATCCGCTAATAGACACCGAATAGATTCCCCGTGGGACCCTCCAACCAGTTACTCCACTGTTCTGGATGTGGCCAAATAAGCTTTAAAAATGTATGTGTTGATAAGATTTCATACCCAAAAAGTCGATAGCATTGATGAGATTGTGAAACAAAGCACTGGATGAAATACACCATTTACTCATCATGCTAAAACAATATCAACTGTAATAAATTATTCAAATTTAGATTTAACCAATTTGTCAAATGAGAGGAACTTGCAATATATTTTAATTTTGAATTTTCTCTGCCAAACTTTTATTGCAAAACCCTGCAAAATACCTACTAACAATGGTTGAGATAAGTTGATTGAGATATGCTGGATTTTGACACGGAATACTGGCACAAAATTAGGTCACTGAAATGTACATTACCATGCAGATTTCAGTAATTGTAATCATTTAAGGTTGGAAGTCTATGATACATTTGGTGGTGCTAAAGAGTTAGAATCATGCAAGGAGTAAACAGACATAAAATTGCAGTGGCGACAGCCTTGTTTCAGGCATGCTAAAATTTCCATTACATGTACAGTTTAGCACTTACTTCAAGCAGAAATTGCAGGAAAGCATTGTTTCTGTTCAGAGCAAACATCATCGATTTATGATGCATCAAACCATAGGCAGCATCTGAAAGATAAATGTGTACCAGTAAACCAACAATAAAACCAGGGCAGCAGAGTGCTTTTTTATATGTGTAGCTTATTTGTGAGTTTAGCTCAAACCCCAGAGCTATGTCATTTTCCTGTTTTAACAGTCTTTTTTTATTGTTTAAAAGTGTGTAAGAGCCTTTCTGACTATTCTTTAAACAGTCTATTAACATATAAAACATGTTTGGTGCATTGGTTCAATCCTTAAAATCGAGGGGAGAAATAAATGCCTCTGAATTCACCAAACTTACTCTAACATCAAGTATTCATAAATACAACTGTTACAAAGTTCTCCAGTCATACCTTTGAGTTTACTGAAGTCTAAAGCTGTCTCCCGTACTGCAAAGTCGATGTGGAATGGTGCAATCTGTTCTCGTAGAATCAGCAGGTGTTTGATTAGAAAAAGCTCACCATCTACCTCTGAATTCTGAAAGCAAGACCACAGTCAGAGCACAGTATTAAAACTGGTCTCAAGCTCGGGTGGTTGATGTTTCACAAATGTTTGACAAGCAGGTCTAGGGATGTCAAAAAGTACAAAGAAACCTCTGGAGCTAATTATGCTAAGCATGGATTATTTGAACTCAACTGATGAGCAACTGAATAGAGAGCAGCATTTCCTAAAGAGTTTTTGACAGGCTATCTTTCTCATTTAATTGAAAATATACAGAAAATTTTGGCCATCTTTACAAGATGTATAGCATGCAAACATGATAATACGGACTAGTTGGTAAAATTTCTGGAGCAAAATCAGTAAAAATATAGCAAGATGGAGCAAGTCATACTCACTTTTCTTTTTTTAATGCTGTCTGTTGCCTCTACCAGGGACTGTATGCACATAGACAGGGCCTCCTGAGAGAGTCCTTGGAATGTTGTCCTCTGAAAGAGTGCAGGATATCAAGCTTAAAACAACTTATAACAGCTGTCATCAGAGCTCACATACTTATATCTAAACATAGAACATAGGGATGGGGGCAGAGGGGGGGGGGGGGCAGCAGGGAAAGGGTGGAAATCAAAGCACTCTCTTCCTTATATACTGTTTTGATAGGCTAATGTCAAAAGACACTAGTACTTACACTAGTGCACAGAAGATATGTCTACAGGAATGAGGGTGACTGGTAAGCAATGAAGCCATGCTTTTCCTAAGGTTTTCTGTAAAACTTTATACTCAAAACCATATCAAGGGAGACCAATACTTACACCAAGACAACAGAACACATGTAATAGGTTTGATGGAAAGGGGGTGGAGGTCCCCCTGTGAAAACTTACATACTGTTATAACTTATGTTCAAAAGCGAAACCACAGAAGCCCCCATACTAGCCATGATACTTACGTCGACACACCTGAACAGCTTGGACAGACAGACCAGAGTTCTCCTCACTGTGGGGTACCACATGCCATGGAGGTCTGCAGGGGACATGGGCATATTGCTGCCTATGAATGGCTCTGAAAGGATAACGAAACACATGTGATAGTTTGGTATGGCCTTTAAACCTAGTAGCTTACAAATGGAGAGAGAGAGAGAGAGAGAGAGAGAGAAGTCTGTGAATTCAGCAATGGCCCTATATATGCCAAACACCAGTTAAACTGAAAAAAATTAATTTTTAGTAAATTTATTTCCAATTGCTATCAACAGTTACTGCTTTGGTCCACTAGATTTGTTGGCCTTTTTTGGCTTGGGCCAGTATATTAAAGGTTTTCTGGCACAGACTTTCCATAGACTTTCCATGAGAACATGCTTGTGTGTGCGTATGTGCGTATGTGTGTGTGTGGGTGTGTGGGTGTGTGGGTGTGTGGCTGTGTGTGTGATAAATGTTCAGAACCACCACATCAATGTTCTTGTAAACAGAGGACCAGTTGTCATGAAAATACACAACTACCACTATGTACCTTCTTTTGGAGAGAGCAACAACGAAGAAGAAAACATGATCACAAATATTCTATGAGTCTATGATAAATCATTCATATTGAGACTATGATAAATCATTCATAATGAATAGAAAAGCAAAGCACATTTCACTAAAAGATAGGATGTAAACTATGTGGAGACTCTCCATTGTTATACAATGCAACTGGTAACAGTCATCCTTTACAGTCCAGCCAAAGTTGTTTCATATAGCACAATTAGTGACATATGTTTAATAAAACAGTATTTATCAGTAAGAAATTGGTATGTAGCCAGTAGAAACTGATGCACTTGTATAACAACACCTGGCGCCCTCCTTTGTAATAATTGATGGAGTCAGCGTGTTGTTTTCATCTTCTTCTGTCTTGATTTGAATGTAAATGGGTACAACCCGATCTTCTACAAATTTAATCATCTTCTACATGCAATAACGTAATTAAGTAGAGTATAGTTCATAAAATATACAATTTTTTTGATAAAATAAGGTACTTGACTTACTTCTGTGCACAAAGACTGGCCTTGGGCGTACTTTCAAAGACAAACATTCAAATCCGTTATTATTGAGTTCTGGACATTCAAATTTAGCATGACCATTCCAAACAAAGCAAAACTAATATGGTTCCCAGAAAACTGTAGCCAGCCAGTAAAAGTTGAGAAAATAAAGATCAAATGATACGTTTAAGAGATCATTTCTTTTATGAAAAATCCCACACATAAACCATTTTCCACATCTCATCCAAATAACCCACATTAATTGAGTGCAAATACAATGTGACCCAACAAATATCAAGCTTAAGTGTCTTACTTCCAGCATAATAGTCCATTAAAAATGCATGAGCTGCCAAACCAAAATATCCTTGAAAATGGAAATTGCACAGAAATAAAATATGCATACTGAAGACAAAAAAATATTTGTTGAAAACAGGCATAAGTGATAAGTGTAATCCCTATCAATTCATCTTCTTGAAGATAAAAGCAAAAATTAAAGGAAAAGAAAAAAAAATGAGGTGCAGATTTGTCATCTTGCCTGTGCTCTGCCAAGTAATTGAACTACTCCACTGTAAACTAATCTTTCCTAAGATAGCAATTCAAAAACAAGATGACAATTGCATGCAAAATTTTTCAAGTGACAATAATTAAGTTCTGTGATGCAAATTGAACACATCTTAACTGATTGGTTAAAACAATTAATGTTACTCAAATATAATCTATTCAAATTGGGTTTAAATCAAATAATGTAATTAATGCAAAACATAATATCATCCATTTGTAAAGGGCGAAGAAAATATATCAAGAAATATTCTCTAAAGCACTTTCTAAATTAACAAGTCTTTTTCATATATTGCATATATACAGCCTTGACCTTTTGACTCTGACACTAAGGCTATGACCTTGACCCAATTATTACCTGGCATGTTCGGGTTCAACGGTAGTACCGCAAGGCCTCCATTCTCTACAGGCACTGCTGGCACAGCCACTGGCTCCTCGATCTTCCGTTCGCCATTTTCCTCAGCATGCGACGTAATCTGTGCAACTTCTTGACTCGTGTTGGAAGAAATCGAGGAAACGGAACCAATGGAGCCTGACCTTGTGTGCTGCTGGTTTTGTTGCTTTATGCTCTCTGCTATGCTCTGAATCAAACATCAACATAACAAAACTGTAACTTTAAAGCTGTAATGAGGAAAATTTGGCAGATAGGATTTTTTTTACCAAACACTGTAGTTACCATTTATTGGGGCTTCAGAAAAACAATGGACAAAAATACAATTTCAATTCTTTGCCCCTTATTTGTCATCAGTTTGGTGTAAAATTATACAGTTGGTTTATATATGATCTTAAATCCTGTTTGAATATATATTCGCTAGTGCTTAGGATAACTGGTGACTCTGAAAATCTAAGTATACCAAGGAGACTCTCTTCATTAAAAATAGATATAAACCACACCTCCATCATTTCAAGTTTTTCAGGATACGCCAAGTCGCCAGCTGCAGGGTGATAATTCAAGATGTCGGAACGGATGTAGATATGAGTTCTGTACACTAGTCTTTCCTGAACATCTTCAAGCATCTGAAGGCAGACTGTCTCAAATGCCTGTAACTCTTTGGCTACAAGACAACAAAACAGACTGTAAAGAACCAGTACACAAATTTTGACCATTTTGCCATAGGTCATTTCCCAAATTATTTGTCCCAAGCTAACATACGGTTCATTAATCTATTGCCCAAGGCATCATAATGCTAATCTGCCAACTATTTTCACACTGCAATTGTTGTCTGCCATCTCCAGTATATGCAGCAACATATTTAAAACATTTTTTTCATCTTGTACCATTTGAACTAATTCCAAGACACCTTTTTCTGTAAGGAAATACTCACGGTTATGCAGTACATGTTCCTCCAGCATTTCAACCTAAAAACAGGAATAAATAAATAAATAAACAAACAAATAAATATATAAAATCTTTTTTCAAATCAACCACCAACACTGCATAATGTCACTGTCTTTTCAGTAATCAGGATATGGGACCTCAAAGATGTGGGATTTTAAAGGGATAACAGCTCTTCATATGAGATTCAAAATTCCAAACTATATACATTGTAAACAACACATGCACTACTAACACCATTTTTTTGATCTATCAAAATGTTTTATGTCTTCATGGTTCACCACTTTTGAATGAAAATTACATGGGTGTTCAGAAAAGGCTCGCCTTTATTGTAAATACTAGAGCAGCAAAAATCGGATTCATTATCATTATCAAATAAAATGTGACACAATCTTATCATTTAAAAAAAACAAAAAAAAAACACCAGGATATAAATAATGCTCACCTTCATTATGCTACAGAGTTCTGCTAAGGTCTCTAGATGATTCACATGTATGATGAGAGGTCGAAGAACATCGTAAAGCTGATTGCACAACCCAAGTAACATTGAGCTGAAAGTGAACAGGGGAGCACTTGCTGAAGTCATTCAATGCACTGCTTACATCAGTGAAGAAACAGTGACGAACATAAAATAGACAGCAACTTTGTCAAATGTTCAGACATGTTTTCATGCCAGACATTTCCCTTTTGAGAGCTGTTTATAACACTCACAAATTTTATTTGAGCTACATATAAACATATGACCAACAGAAAAAAATTATAGCCAATTGCTACCATACCACTCAACTTTGAGCATATTAAGCATTGAACTTAAATAAATTGGCCCAGAGTGTACAGATAAAACAGTCAAGAGACATCATATTTAACTGCATCATTATATGTTTTTATGGAGAAACTGAATCACTGCAATACTGGTATAAATTAAAGTACATATTGACACAAAATTTATCATCATATAACATATATTTTTGCCATACATGACCAATCACTTTGCCAGAAGACAAGAGCTGGGCTGCTAGTACTACTCACTCTAATAATGTAGTATGATGTGTAAAGAACTGAGAAAACAGCTGATATTCATCTTCACAAACATGGACCATGAAAGCACATCCACTGCGCATCTGAAAGAAAGAAAGAACAGAGTGAATGGCATCATCTCCAAATGAGGTTTCTTATTTAAGATTGAGGCCTCATTTTGATGTAAACTGATCTTTCAAAAAAAAAAAAAAATCACACACACACACACACACACACACACACACACACACACACACACACACACACACACACACACACAAACAATAATAAATTTTCATCCCTAAAAAAAATTTAATAAAAAAAATCGGCGCTGTTTGGCAAAATGTTTGCTAGGAGCCTTAATCATGGTTTATACATACCAGGGCACAAGATACTGTTTACACATACCAGGGCCCAAGCTATTGTTTATACATACCAGGGCACAAGATTCTGTTAACACATACCAGGGCCCAAGCTATTGTTTATACATACCAGGGCACAAGATTCTGTTAACACATACCAGGGCCCAAGCTATTGTTTACACATACCAGGGCACAAGATATTGTTTATACATACCAGGGCCCAAGCTATTGTTTATACATACCAGGGCACAAGATATTGTTTATACATACCAGGGCACAGTGGTCTCTGACATGTTTAGTGGACAGGTCCGTAAGTGCGGAGCTGACACTGGGACCAAGAAGTGTCAGTCTTTGCTGGAAATAACACTGGTGGCAGTCGGTCAGCATCTGGGAATATCTGAGGGAATCAAAAGGTGTGTTACGTTTGACACTGGCTTGAATCTGATGTCAGTCTAGGTGTGACATGTGACATGGTGTTAAGTGTGGCACATGTCAGTGCACTGGGTGTGACATGTCATTGTGACACTGAGACACTGTGTGACACATGACTGTGCCAGATGTGTCAAATTTGACATTTTTCTTCACATGCAATTGTTTGACCTTGTAAAAGGTGATACAATGTGACAGAAATGTCATGACACTTTGCAAAGCTTAAAAGTGCCAAAAAACCAGACCAAGTAGTGACATTTTGTTTTAAACATAATTAATTAAAAACTCCCTAAGCCACCTACTCTGGACTCTTGTCAATTCTTTGCTCAATCTGTTCCATCAGGGACTTGACTCTGGGAGCATTGGTGCGAAACTTGCCATAAAATAGAGTGAAAGCATTCTCACTCTGAGGAGGACCATCCTGGAATAATAATAATAATAATAATAATAATAATAATAATAATAATAATAATGATGATGATGATGATGATGTTCAATTAGCCAATTAAATATATGCAAGATACATCTAACTGGAAATCAGTCCACATGCTATCTGGGTTGTTTCAAGAGTAGAATATAACATACAATACAATAGTATTATGAAAAAAAAGCTTTGGATGAATAAAGAGATGATTTCAGAAATATCTATTGATGGTAACAATGATGCTTGGGACTGTAAGTTGGGTAAGGGGAAGAGATCAAACAACACTATCTTTCTAGCTATTCTGAGGTAATGCAAACTTGGTTACTCTCAAAAAATCACAAAATAGTCCTGTGTAAATCTATCTACGAGAATATTGAGAATGAGTTTGATAAACTGAGCTACATTCTTATCATTAAATCCTCAGAAACTTTAACAAGCACTCAGTCTTATAAATAGTGTCGAAGGTTAAAATTACTGAACTTCTTCATTACACATTAATTTCGTTTTCTTTAACCAGCCATTAAAAACCTCACTTAATACATGTTACTTTAAATAGATATAAAATTCTAAATCTCTTTTTCTCATTTATTTCACTGTATAACTTCAATAACCTTATGATCAACTGAATTTAGGATGAAAATAGGCCGGTTCTGGAAAAGAAAAGGGCAAACGACCCACCTTTTTGGGTAAAACATGTTGTGTAGCGCTCTGCAGTAGGTTGACTACATGGGTCTTGATCAAAGTGAGAGCCCTGCACAGACACTGCTTAAACCTGGCCAGGTACGTGTGGGTCTCCTTGTACTGGGGCTGAAATAATAAAATAATAATTAGAAAAGCACTCCGAGAGCGCAGACCCCCGCCAAGGCAGCAATTTTTGATCATTATTGATTATTGATTGATTATTGATCGGGATCACCACCAAAAACTAATCATCTGTTCTTTGGTCCACTTCTGACGGTTCCTGAAAATTTCATCAAAATGGGTCCATAACTTTTTCAGTTATGTTGATGACAGACAGACAGACAAACAAACAAACAAACAAACAAACAGGGGTGAAAACATTACCTCCTTAGCAGAAGTAATAATTAAGTCATTGATTTAGAGTTATGTAAATGTGAGCGCTTACAATAAATCCAATAAAACAAATTCATCTCTCCTGAAAAACAAATCACTTGGGATAGGCTGGGGGAGGGGGGGGGGGNTTTGGTGCTTGCTAACACTTAAATCGTCCCTTTGTGCTATTTCACGTCATAGGCTATACCAAACTAAATCTCAGCTCAAAAGAAAGTCATTGTAAAAATGGGAATGTATCTATCTAGGAACGCTTTGTGTCGTCTTCTTAAACAAGGTCTCGTGTACATCATCTACATGTACTTCAACGTTCAATGATAAGAGGATGTTCGGGGACTGGCGCTGTTTGGGATGAAATAAAATTTTAGGGCTACCGATTTTTATTTGGGACATTGACATAGCCATCCAAACTGGCTCTCTTCATAACAAGGTATAAAGATTGTATTTGATCTGAAAACTTCCAACAAAGCTTCCGCGGCTCCGTGGTAACTCTGCTACCTCGTACATCGCGAAACACTGCTACGAGGGTTCGAATACTAGAAAGTCCATCGTTCTTTTTGTTGCTGGAAATCATTTCTAAAAATTTTGTTTGGTTACTATAAGAGGACACTCGTACCTAGGGAAGGTGGGCGGGTCACTCACGGCGCAATCGGTAGCGTGCACGGCTGCTAAAAAACATCCCCACATATCATCTACTATGGTAACGAATGACGAGTAGTCACGAGTTCGAATCCCGGACGAGGCATGTCACCTCCCCACGGATACAAGCTGACCACGTGATCGGGAAGGCGCGAAAACGAATGCAGGCCCTCCTGGGTCCCAGCAAATTACTTTTTGCATAAAAAGCCGGTGTAGTGATCGACTTGACAACAACGTTTTGCAATAGTAGACTAAGAATTTGTTTATATTATACAAGACCGTGAACTGTGTTTATGTACCCATATGTGAGAGATAGGTATGAAAGGTGGAAAATTACATCACAGATAGGGCCTATAATAAATATGTATATTTGTTGGATCATTATAGAATTTTAAATATTGTTTCCTTTCTCCAGTCCATCGGACAACCCGACTTTCCATTCATCTAGATAAGTGGTTGACCTAGATAACACTGAACATGTGTTGTAGGCTCTCAACATCTGACCCCACCCCCTTCAAACAAAGCACATATTCCTCGGGCAATGGCTCTGTCATGTATATTTCACATCCATTAGGTCTTACAACAATCAGTAGAGGCCTGTTGACTTCCGTTTTCGAAAGCAACCTCGCCTCGTGCCGCAAAATATGAATACCCCGTCTTGTTTTTTTTAAATACATCCACCAAAAATCAGTCGAGAGGCAAGTTACAGCCTAGACTGCTTAAAAAAGTCACATATTATGGCAGTAACTTAATCTGAATGAAATGGATGAATGGGCGTAGATATAAAGTTGAAATGGGGGCATCGTTTCATTCTTCAAATAAATGCGTCCTCGTCAGTCAAAAGGAGCGTTTGACCATTTAACGATACGTCTACTGGCTGCTTGCTTATTATTTACCAGTACCTATAGGCTGTGAATCTTAACCGTTTTATCCAATATATAAGTTAAAATGGTCATCAGCTGGGACTATGTACCTGTAGAAAACATTTTAAGGTTCACCTTCTCTTTAAACCTTTTCCGTTTTCTGGTCCAAACTGTCAGTTTTAGGCTACTAGTGCCTTATGGAAAAAGTACTAGTCTAATAGGTCTGTTCATATAAGTAAGAAATTGGCTGTAATGGTGCATGCAGACCAGTGAATCATGCCCACAGATTGATCCACAAAACACATGTAACACCAAATAATTCGGTTTGAAATCCGAGAACGAAATTTGTGTTCTAAATGTAATCAGCATATCCTGATGATCATGCATGCCTACACATACCGAATCCCAGCTGAACCAGAAAATCACAAACGTTTGTACAACGGGCTCATGACTTCAAACTGGGTCTCCTGACCTCGTGAGGCCGTGCTGCGGGTCACTGGCCTACTGGCGGGTGTGCGTATGTCATCCGTCTACTGATATAAATGGGCAAATACATGTCATGGGTGGTGTTCACCTCAAGAGGCTATGTCCTTATGGGTTAAATATCTCTACGTCGTGGAGGCTATAAAAAGAGACCGTTAATTTCACATGCGTGTACCTTGTGCAGGTATATATAGGTGACCATATCATACACTACTGAGCAATTGGTCTTTATACTGACAGTTAACACTTGCCAGTAACTTAAAATGTTACTCAATGTAATTCCCTTTGATACATCAAGTATCTCTATGATGCTTGCGACGGCGATGCTTATTCTGTTCCTCCTTCTTTGGTGGCAACGCGACAGTAAAAACGTTCCTCCGGGTCCATGGGGTCTCCCAGTGGTCGGGGTTCTCCCATTTCTTGGGAGAGACCCTCAGCTCACCATGATGCAATGGGCTAAAAGGTATGGCAACGTATTCAGCGTGAGAATGGGGACCAAAACTGCGGTTATACTGATGAATGGTTATGAAGCTATTCGAGAAGTGTTTCAGAAGAAAGGAGCAGATTGCTCGGGCAGAGCACGTATGCCAACTTTTGGATATCTAGGCGGAAGAGGTGAGTGTATCACGTGAACTGGTCACTAGCTCCCAGCTCATTAAAACATTGTTTTGTAAATTAAACGTAATTCCTTCTATTCCAACTTATTGCGCCGACTGTGTCTTCTCATCATCTACCTCATGAATGCTGTGAATAATGCCAATTAATACCCTTTCTCCTTTTTTTACCCTTCCTCATGCAATCCTTGCATTGAAAAAAACAAGCTTTAGTTGCATATTCGTTTAGCATCAACATGTTAACAAATGCAATGAGGTGTAATGAGGGTAAAAATAATCTTTAAAAAATGCGCATTTTCCTTTTTTCTTTAGACAAAATATGTATTATCGAAACAAAATATTGAACTACAGTGATAATGGTGACTTTAACTTGTTTGAAGAAAATTTCATGGCACCTATAATTTGGTTATTTGTTGTGCTAGGTATCTTGTGGAGTGATGCCAGTCAAACACAGAGAACACAAAAAGAATTCGCCATGAAGTATCTGTCAAAGGCCGACATCGAGTTTCACACTCAGAAGGAAATTGATGCTCTCGTACAACATATAAAAGACAAAAACGGCGAGCCTTTTGACTTTAGTTGTCTAATAAGTGCCCTGGCATCAAACATAATAGGTGCCATTTTGTTTGGAAAAAGGCAGGACTATGACGACCCAGATTTCATAGGTTTGATAGACTCATACCACAACGCACTCGATCTCAGCGCACAAGCATCCATCGAAAACTGTTTTCCGTTTCTCGGGTTTTTACCGCAATGCAAACGCGGGAGAAACGCATGGAGAACCTTTGCAAATAATTTCAATTGGATGATGGCACACAACAGAACAGGTTACAGGGCAAACGCAACACGTGGTCTTGCTGACGCTTTTCTCCACAAGTCCAATTTGCGAGGTCCGGACTGTCAGTTGCTGTTCAGTGAAGACGACACGGCAACGAACTGTCGAAGCTTATATTTTGCCGGTTCTGAGACAACTTCACTTACAATGACATGGGGAATGTTGTTTTTATTGTCCAACCGAGACGCCATTTCCAAAATCCAAGCAGAAATAGACGAAATGGTTGGACAGGAACGTCGACCTGCTCTTGCCGATAGGCCAAAACTGCCCTTCACCTGTGCAACATTAATGGAGATACAGCGTTGCAATTACATCTCGCCGTTTTCGCTACCTCACAAAGCCACAAATGACGTCACAGCCAATGGACACCTCATACCCAAAGGAACAACCATTTTGGCAAATCACTGGTCCATCTTCATGAACAACGAACTTTGGGGCAACCCACATGCATTCCAACCCGAGAGATTTCTGGACGAATGTGGAAGATTAAAGAAAATCGAGCAGTTTATTCCATTTTCTGTGGGTATGGATGCGTTCTCCTTATTTCAACATTCTGCTTTATATTTGCTTATAAAACTTTTATTTGTATTTCGAAATATAATTTTCATACAGCGTTTTCATGCAGTTAAGTCTACTTCCGTATTTATCGTAAGTGTTGGGGGGTGGGGGGTGGCGGGTTTAATTTTTAGGCCAGAAATTAATTAATTATCTAGAAAAATGAGAACTGAGCTGTCTTGGTGAGGGTCTGCATCGAGTGACTTTTTAGTTTTAAAACTTTGATACAGAACAGCTGTGATATCAAGCTGTCGGGTATTTCGTATTACAGGGGTATATGACATACGTACATGTATACTACAGGGGTACATATAGAGCATGCAGCAAGGCAAGTACTGTAAATATATCAACTTATTTACTAGTGCATGTACATATAGCGGATCGTATTTTGTCTTTCTAGGGCCACGATCCTGCCCAGGAGAAGTGCTTGCGCGGCAAGAGTTGTTTCTCGTCTTTACGGCCTTACTTCAGGGGTTCTCTTTCCGTGTCCCGGATGGAGAAGCGCTTCCAGATCTGGTAGGAGCCCCGGGACCCATGTACTTGGCGCCGTGCGCACGTGTTTGTGCAAAACCAAGGCACTAGATCATAAGTTGACCCAAGTTGGTTTAAAAACGTCTGTTACAACCCACTTTGAAAAAATTACGCAATTTGAAAAAAATTTTCAAATCGCGTCAAAAATGGGACAAAGTCAACGCGATTTGAAAAAATATTTCAAATTGCATTAAAATCGTGGACAGACTCAACGCAATTTGAAAGAAAAACGTAATATTTCAAAGTGCGCCAAACAGGCACATTTTAACACACTTTGAAAAAATTTGAGAAAAATGTTAAGATGAGTATCTGCCTATGCCTAATCACCTGACTTTCTATAGGCCTATATATACAATGGCCTATTTGGTAGAAATGTGGTTGCTGGGAAGTTGTAGGCCTATAAATAGCAAACCAGGGGCCCGTTGCTCAAAGCCCTCTAAGGCCCGCTTCTTAACCAAAATTAGAGACCCTTTTTACAAGAAGAAGAAATTAGGTCCCAAAAATGTTTTTTTGGCAAAATGTACTTGTCAAAAAATCAACAACAATAGAACTCCTCATAGAAACGAGCAGTCTGGGGGTCTTCCCCATAATATTCTTGAAAATAAGGAACAATTTATAATAATTTCACTTCATTTTGGCCTATCAAGTTTCATTTTCCCTTTGCATTTTCCGAAATTTCTTCTTGCCTTTTGCAATCGACAGATTCATTCAAGAAAATAAATTGATAATAAGCATGTCAACTGAATTCATAACCTCAGGCAAAATGAAATAATTTATGAATGTATGTTCTTAACGCAGTTTGAAATAATTTTTCAAACTGCGTTGACCCAGTCCACCAATTAAGGCAGTTTGAAATATTTTTTCAAATTGCGTTGAGTCTGTCCACGATTTTAACGCAATTTGAAATATTTTTTCAAATCGCATTGACTTTGTCCCATTTTTGACGCGATTTGAACATTTTTTTCAAATTGCGAAATTTTTTCAAAGTGGGTTGTAACAAACGTCGCATGGCCCTCAATTACTGTATTGGCATGCATAAATTGACTACATCTTCACCAATGAGGGTACAGTGTACTGGGTAATTATCAAGACAAATGCAATTTGCTATACCCGCTTAGGTAAGAACAGTAAAAACCGAGGAGAGTGCCAGTCTTTTAGGTTAATTGCAAACACGATAAGATCATTTTAAGTCCATTGGATTTTCGACTAGTGGCGTTTTGTGTAAGACAAGCCAAGACTTGAGCAAAAGCAAACGTTTAATCTGTATTCACTTTTCATTATGACTGTGACAGCCTACAAAATCGGCACTGAAATGACTTGAGCGTAGCACTTATTCCTAAACAGACATAGGGAATACTTTGGTGATACTGACGGTCCAGAGGACTTGCACGACAAGAAATTTGCTGGCCCTCTAAATTCTGTGCAGGTCCAAATTATGTTTCAAATTTTTGCAAGTCTATGTTTACATGTGATTTATCATTATGCATTGTATTTTCACATAAAAATCCTTGCTGGTCCTCTGGCATTTCAAGTGGTCAGGACAGTCAGTTTCCCATGTCTGCCTAAATCTTTGGCATTTAAAAGACTCAAAACAATCCAACATAGCAACACTGGATCATGACGGAGAAAAAATGCAACAATTGAAAACAGTAAAAAAAAACGTATATGTATATGTAAATGCCTCAAATGTAAAAAGGCCATAAGCATAGCATAAAAAAATATATTCACACCATTCGTGCAAAAAAGAAAAAAAAAACAACATTCATATAAGGAAGGAAAAAGGAAAAAAATTGTAGTCTCAGCTACAACTTACACAAACTCAAAATATTTGAAAGCAAAAGCTGAAAATATTGTCATGTACATTGCTAATACTGATATGGGTAAATATAATGTAAGTGCAGACCTATAAACTATCTTCTCAAGAAAAAACATCTATACAGCCTTTTTAGCAACTCTTGACAATAAAACATAAAAAAAGTCATCCAAATGATGTCACCAAGCTTATAAAATGGTGCTTGACATGCACTACACATCTTGTAGCAAGCAAACAAAACATTCCAATTGTGTTCAGCAAGCCTTAAGACATAACAAATACATGTAGATATGTTTAAATGCTGAAAACTCAAAACATTTTCTCCACCTAGACAACAAATCTCATGATGCTACAAAAATTAATCAAAGCGTTAAAAACGCACTAGTATATCATTGTCAGCTTTGCTGAACATGTGACTTGTGTGTTTTACTGATATGTGTCAACAGGCACATGACTTAGTTTTCTATAGCCATTACACTATGACATGCGATACATATATACATTATAATGCACAGCTATATTGTACCGGTAACAAAGACAGCTTGATATACAAAAAAGAAACATCAAATCTATGAGCACACAATGAATAACACACAATAAATAAATAAATAAATAAATAAATAAATAAATAAATAAATAAATAAAATAAAACAAAAAAAGTCCTCACAGCAAACTCTAAGGATCAAATTCAAAACACTGACACCCTGAGATGCAGAACTCAGTGGTAAATTACTAGTGCCTTTACCCAGTGCTCGCTCTTACAGCATTACCCTGCACCAGGTATGATGATATACCTGGTAACAGGCAAGCTCCCATCAAACTCTGAATCTCAGGGTGGTTCAGATGACAGCATGTGAAATCTAACAAAAAAATGTGAAGGATAAAGCTTTTTTTCATTTCATTATCTTCAAATTACAGACTGAGGAAAAATTCAAAGATGATGAAATTACCAAACTTCTAAGAAAAATGAGCAAATAAAATACAGTGCAATTAAATTCAATTTGCACAAAATGCTCTTCTCAATTTAAAGAAAAAGCGAATAAAAAAGAGCACAACAAATAATACTCACTATGTTTAAACTTCCCCTTTTTATGTATATATTAAACTAACAATGAAAAAATACATTTTCTTGAAAGTCACTTGCTTAAGTTTAAGTCCAATGGAATGTTTCTTTTTTTCTTCTTTTTCTGTTTCCCCAATTTATATGCAGTTACAGGGGTGTCTTCATAATTACCGAAATTATTAGATCTTTCATACAGGTGTAAATGATACTAGTGACATAATGGCATTCCATGTAAAACCAAATGCAATCCAGATTCAAAAACCACACTGAAAACACTTCATGCCCCAAAATGACATCCATGCAAGTACTTGCAGTAGTTTGGTCCAATGTAAGTTCATTATTTTACTCATTTCTGGCATCCAAGATGGCCAACACCTCAGCACAACCTGCTTGAGCCAGCTTCAGTTCCTCATCTGCCTCAGTATTGACCTGAGCAAAATTAGACATCGACATTTTAATTAAAATCAAATAACGACAATCAACAATTCTTATACCATCATTTTTATATAAATCCCTGCTTATAAACCTTTTAAAACCCAGTTCAAATGCTGCTTCAACATCATGGTATGTCTGAGATAATTAACATTTTTGCCAGAAACAAAGCAAATGATAAATAGTAACAAAATATAAGCTCTCAAAACAATCACAAACTACACAATCTCAACAAGACATCATTCACCTTCAACAACACCTTCAATCATACTCGACTCAAATCAACTAAAAAAAAAATAAATAAATAAATAAATAAATATATATATATATACACACACACTTACCATAATCACATCAAAAACCATAAAATCAAACAAAAAACTGAAAATCATAACCCACACAATCACAACCAACACAATCCCATCCAATGAGATCACTTACCTAAAACAATTACACCCAGAAATATAAAACCAAACACAATCACTCTCAATAAAGCCATGTCAAACACATTCACATCCATGACGTTAACAACAAGAACAACACAGAAGTCCTAGCAAATGGTGTCTCCTGTCAAAGGAGAAAGTTACTACCTTGGTTTTCAGCTCCCCATCTTCGACATCTTTGAGATTGGTCATGACATTGTAGTATGCTCCCCATGCACCAGTCTCAAGACTTCTGGCTCCAACCTGAAAAATGTCCATTATAAAATATATATTGTTTCTTTACTTAAAGGCACACTCCACGCAATTTACCTGCCAAAATGGATTTTCTCAGGAAAATAAGCAATTTTCTCTTATAATATAATTACTCACGCATCATTTATTTATCCCTCACTGCACTTGAATTCGACCTTTGATAAAATTTATAAAGGTTAATTTTGTTTAAAATGACTGGCCAGTCATTATAACAGTGACAATTTTCTTATAAGCTCCAATGGAAATATCAACATCAGGTAGGCTCCAGAAAAAAATACCCAAGGGGTTTTATCATTTTTTCATGGTGAATGTGAGATATTATAAGAACCTGTGGATGGCAAAAATAAGCTTTTGGGGGATATTCAAACCCATGGAGTGTACCTTTAACTGCACAATGATAACAGGGTTGAATCACCGTGTCCTGTTGGATACATTATTTTAATTCCTGGAATATTATGTACTTTAATTTTAGTATTTCTACACATAACCTCTCTCCTACTCTGTACCTTGAAGATAACATCACACTCAATACAAAACCATCTGTAATGTAAAATGTTCATTATCTTTAACATCTCTGAGATTAATCACGACAAAAATTATTTTCAGACAATAAAAAGAAAAAAAAATTATATGGCAGTCAAGACCCCCAGTCTTGACAACTGTCCCAGTTGAAGTTTTATCTGCCAAAGGCACATTTACCTGCAGATCAGACTTGCAGTTCAGATTCCCAACCTTGGCCAGCTCAGACAAAGTAGGCCACAGTTTATTAATGGCCTTGAGAACTGTCATAGGAACTCTGATTGCCATCATCAATGCCTGTCTCATAGCTGCTGTACGGCTGAAATATCAAATAGTTCGATTATTTTTAGCTTGGCTCCTTCCAGAGGGCAAAATGGACATACAGCCATGCTTCTTGACTTCAGCCAAGTGCTCCAGGCGCATAAGGCCCCACACTTTCAAGCATGTAGCTGTAATATTACTTCTTGTCCCTCACCCCCTAATCTTAATGATAAAAATGGTATTAAGTATTCATCTCAAATTCAAAGGTCTTTTTTATTTTGTGTATTAACTTACATTTCTGCATCCTCCTCAGTGTTGTGAGGCAGTTTGGTGGCTATCTGAAATAAACAGCTTATAGTTCAGAATAACTGAAATGTTGACTTGATGAGAAGCAAAAGTAGAAAAAATACTGAAATAACTTTAGCAAATAAAACTAGAGAGTATTTCTTCTAAATTTGTATTTTTTTTGTTATGTTTTCTTGTCATTTCCTAGAAACAAGAACAATAATAATAATAATAATAATAATAATAACTAAGTAAAATAAATATTTTTCACTTGACATTTCAAAAGTTTTTACATTTTAAAAAGGTCTATAATTCTAAAAAGAAAGACAAATTTTGAGACATGAGTGAGATATGTACCATATACTGATTGAAGGCCGCAGCATCTGCATCCACAAAGGGCAAGATTTCCTTCATGCCTTGGTACAGGGGAGGGATCAGTTTTCTCATGGTGCTGTCCAGATGTGCAAACTTCTTATTACCATAGGACAGGAAGCCAACCATGGTGCCAAGAGCTGCCCCCTGAGGTTTAAAATATTGCACAGTACAGTGTTTAAAGGAGTTTCTCAAAAACATAAAATTTCAAATAAATTATTTAACCTGAAAACTTGTTAATATCCATGGTGAATTATTTAACCTGAAAACTTGTTAATATCCATGGTGACTATGTTTTATTCATCAAATGAACTGCTCATGAGTAAGTGAATTTAATACTTAAATAAAGAAAAACTACAATTTTTACATGACACTGGGCTAACATGAATTTGGTAAAAACTCTAAATAAAATTACAAAATGGTCATGAGTTTAGCCCAAAATAAAATCAATGGTTAAAAACATGGCATGATGTAAACAAGACATGCAGTACTGATTGGAGTTTCCCCTTACCAGTGAAGCAATGAGAGCAGAGACAGACCCTCCACCAGGACATGCAGACCTGCCCCCTACAGTGTAAACAAACTCACGCAGATCCATGCTCACCAGGGGGCCATCACTTTCTTCTGAGATCATATATCTGGGACAGAAGAAATATTCAATATATAGAGAGAGAGACAGAGAGAGAGAAAGAGAGATTTTTCACAAGTTCTGTTCATCAGACACATAAGAAAACTATATAAGGTGAGATCAGCAATGATTTTTTGTTGAGGGAAATTCATTCTGAAATCACTGTTGGATGTGGCTGTGTTGGTGCTGGAGTAAGAGAGGCTGCTTAGCTAGATGTGTGTGTTGGTATCATTGTGTTAGGTGTGACAAACTGGTGCTGTTGTGTTAGATATGACTCAAATGAATCATGTGACAGTGTTGGTTTGATTGTGTTAGATGTGACAGTGTTATCATGATTGTGTTAGATGTGACAGTGTTATTGTGATTGTGTTAGATGTGACAGTATTGGTTTGATTGTGTTAGATGTGACAGTGTTGGTTTGATTGTGTTAGATGTGACAGTGTTATCATGATTGTGTTAGATGTGACAGTGTTATTGTGATTGTGTTAGATGTGACAGTATTGGTTTGATTGTGTTAGATATATTCACACTAGCTGTGAAGGTGGTGCTGACAGGGCGCAGAACAAACTATTTCTCACCACTAAGCAAAAGGGATAATAGTTATAATGACCATAATTGAATAGTAACATAAAGAAAGGTTAATTGTGGTGGTTATGACTGTCAGTGTACTTGGCAGAGCAAAAATGCACTGAACTTGTTAGCAAGTGCTTTTGATTGCACAGCAATACACCGGTAGTGGGCATGAAATGATAGTGTACTATGTATGACTCACTCTATAATTCTTTCCTTGGGATTGAAACCACCAAGGGAACTCAAACCTAGACGATTAATGACCTGAAACAAAGAAATTAAGGAAAATGCAAACAAATCTGAAATTAAAATAAAAGTATTTTAGAAAGAAAGTAAAATGAAAGAAAATAACTGTAACCATAAGCTCTCATTCCTATTCAAGAAATAAGATGCACAGTATCAAGAGACTTACACCAAACCTGTTTAAAATCACTTTTTGTAAAGAGTTTCAATAAATTATAAAAATCACTGAATAGAATGCAGCAAAACAAACTTATAACAATAATTTCTAACAGGAAATACACACTAGTCTGATCTTCTGATCCTCCTCCAGCAGAAATAACCCTTCCTTCTCACAGTAGTAGTCTGCCGCCTGCAGCATGGCCCTCAGGGGGACCAGACCTACTATCTGAGACCCCACCACTGCTATGTTTAATTCCTAGCAGGGAGATAATTATTATGACAATAATAAATAAGTAAATGAATAAGTAAACAAAAATGATTAAAAAAATATATATATATATATATATATATATATATATATATATATATATATATATATATATATATATATAAATGATTTACATTAAAAAACAGGACTGAGGGTATATATCAAATGAAAATGAAGCAATTGATTAAAAAATATGAGCTTTTTTCTTTAAATCAAAAAGTACCACATCCTAGTACGTGTATAAGATCTTATTGAACGTCCCACCACAAAATGCAAATTAAATTTAATAACACCCACTAAAAGTTAAAGACTATAACTGCCTCCAATTTTTACACAGTGGGAAGGGGAAGGAGGGGAAGGGGCAAAAGGGGGGGGGGGAGAGGAGGAGACTGGGTTCAATGTTCCCCTTACCTGAGCATCCTTGCAGCTTTCCTCATAAGCTTGGTGTATAGGGGTCACCTCATGGTCAGTCAGGTTCATGGAGATCTGAGCAATATTAGCCTCATCTAGGTACCAACCTATGGCCTGGACCTTGGGTAGACGCCCAGGCTGTAGAAATCAAAATAATTCTAAAATTTCATATAAGACAGAATCAGGAACACTTATTTGGCATGTTATATCTGGACAATACTGGTCTCCATCTACATGTACAAGTGGACAATAACATATGGCCTTACCTTAAAGATGCATACAAAGTCAATTTTTTGTCACAAAAACCAACCAAATGCCAGCATATAGTTTCAAGTGGTATAACTAAGAGAATTACCAAAAGGCATTGTTTAATTTTACCCAAAAATGATGTTTGAATGGATTTTTCTGCATTCTATGCTGTATGTCAATGGGGCAGAAAAGTAGGTCACGAAAGTAGGTTAAATTTCCGACCAAAAATTTAAAGAAAGGAGCAGTCTAAAGCTCTTTTATGGCTGATTGAGTGATCTATTCAGTTTATCCCTTGGCATGTCAAATTTATTTGAGTCGTATAAGAAACTAGTAGAAGTGGTTTACATATGTACTGGGTATCCACACTCCACCGATGCTCAGTTCGTATGTACCTTTAAGCAAGACAAACAAACTTCAGAAAGAGAAGATCTCATCAAATCCAATATGAAACAAATTATATGAAATGGCAGAAAGATCGGATTTACTTCAATACCATTTTCAGGTACTCACGTGGAAGCAACACAGATGAAAGAAAGAAAGTCCAACTCCATGATTTTTTTTTTATACAATAAGTCATAAGTGCATGCCATGAGATACTACCTCATCTTTCCCTCTTCCCTGCTCACGTATATTGAGGGCAATCCTGTGAGCTTGCTCCTTGGTTGCCAACAGGTTCACATTGTATGCAATGAGGAACTTCCTAGCTCCTGTTGCCGTGGCACCCCAGGACGGAATGAACTCAGCAGGGCCAAAGTCGGGGATCCAGTCTGGGGATATGAGCTTATGAAATAAAGGAAATTATATGTTATCTAACATGTTGGGTTTGAATGATGTACTAATAAGAAGAGATACACAACAGTATATATCATAATACTAGAAAAATACTCAGAGACCGGGACACCTGCCAATGCAACTCAATTTTCATTATTAATTAATTTCTACCTTACTGTATCCTGAAAATTTCATCAAAATCTGTCCACAACTAAAAGGCAAACATATGAGCTCCTTGGCAGAGGTGAAATGTCGACAAATATCTAGTACATAAAAACAATGCTCATTAAAAAAATAATAAATAAATAAATAAATAAATAAATAATTAAAAAAAGTTATGTGATTACATGCCAAATTTTGAAACACCAAAGTTTAGAGCATATGATTAATCTTTGAATTCATCACAATAATTCTCCACTTCTTTTTTTTTTTTTGACACCTTTTAAGCTTCTGATTAGATGCATGTTTATTTTTTTTGCATTTTTCTTTTTGAAAATCATTATTCCGCAGTACCTTTTCCTCTAATCCTTCGTATTCCCCAGCTCTGATCTGAGGCAATGTCTTTCTGTGCTCCTCTGTTGCAGCCTCATTGTACAGGTAAACTAGAAGATGTTAAATAAATAAATAAATAAATAAATAAATAAATAAATATTAGATTTATTAAATAAAATTTAAAATTTATTAAATTTATTTAATAAATAAAAGAACAAACAAGGTAGTTTCTATTAGTCTAACAATCATTACTGGACAACCATACATACCTTTAACATGAATGCTAAAATTAAAAGAATTAAAATTAAAGTTACCTTGTAACTCGTGAGTAAAATCTTGTCTCATCGACCAGCTTCTCTCTACTATTATTTCAATATAACTGATTTCATTTATTATAAAACATTTATGGTTTGTTTGCATGTTGTCAAAAGTTACCAAAAACAAGTCTCACCAGGTACATTGAGCTCTGCCGCCAGTCTCTCCCCAAATTCCCTGGCACACCCTATGCAGTCATCCATGGAGACTCCTCTCACTGGGATGAAGGGGCAGACATCCAGAGCTCCCATACGTGGGTGTTCACCTGAATTTCCAAGGGAAATGCCGAAGGAAATTACGAAATTGCAATGCCATAAATATTTTATTTCAATAGTTGATAAGGAAAAGACAGTGATAAAGGTTATTATGTAAGTTGCACTTAGTCTAGTCTTATGGTGTCAACTATTATTATTATAGCAATATTATCACCAAATCTGGATAGTCTAAAAATTGAATTAAGATGCAATTTGTAATTTAAAAAACAAAAGCTCTCCACTCTCTTAACTGGTGATAAATGAAAAAAATTAAAAAATAATAAATGATCAGTGTCAGTCATATTGGTTTACTGAGAAAAAATAAATTAACAAGCTCAAACAGAGAAAGAAAAAAGCATCTTTAAAATCATTATTTCAAAATAATTAAAAAAAATAAAGAAAGAAATAAATCCTTACCACTATGTCTCCTCATATCAATCAGTTGATATGCCACTCTAGCAGCATTCAGTGCTCCTTCAATAACAGCATCAGGGCCACCAACAAATGTGTACACTGGAATATTATATCCACATTTTCAATTCTATTCAGCTCTCATTACTCAGCATGCAGTGGACAATCTGACCAATTCTACAACTTGCAACCTCTTATTTTTAAATAAATTTAATTAAATTAGTTATTTTAATAATTAATATTCAATGTCTTTAAAAGCATATAGGTGTGTCTACTCTTGATAAATGGTGGATAAATCTTTATCTCTTTTTTTAACAATTTAATAAATACATGTAGATAAATAATTAAATAAAATATACTATAAATATTTATTTCTATTTTGTCCTTTATTTTGCAACAGGCATTAAAATGAAAGACAAAATATTTCATTCCTGTACCAGTGCGATTAGTGGAAGGCCCAGGGTCCACATCCAGTAAACTACAGCCCTCAGTGCTGGCTATGGCATTGGCAATGGCTTCTATCACCTATAGCGTAAGGGAAATTGACACATTTTGATCAGATAAAATATATAGGGGGCATATCATGAACAGTGTAAAAAAAAAAAAAAATAGAAGTCAATATACCTGCCTTAGTTTGGGTTTAGTTTTATGAATTTTGCATTATTTTTTTTAATATGAAAATATTGTTTCTGTTTCAAAAATGCACAATTTACATGGTTATTATTTCACCTGGATCATAAACTGGATGCCATAACTGGCGCTTAAAATTGCTGTCCACCTTTTGAGTTTGACAGGTGGTTGGTTGTTTGATATGAGTCATTGGTAAATTGCATTTTCAATGCGGTGAGACGGGAAGCAAACATTGGTTTTACACGGTATTTTCAGCATGTCCTTACCTCTTTTTGCCGTCCCTCCGAGAAATTGGGAACGCACTCTACGATGCGTGCCATGGCAAGCTTATACACCGCTTTTAAAAGTTGCAACTTGCGAACTTCTCCAAAATTTCAGAAAGTCCCGAAGGCGAACTTTCCAACCGCTTGTATACTACGTCACCGTCGTCAGTGTACATTACGCAGAAACGTCATCATTTTGTGTGCTCGTGACGTTTTACGCATGCAGGTTAGCTACATTTGTAAAGTTCATAGTATTGTTCCCATACAGACGATCAAAAACAACATATTTGATTAAAGCTGACGCAGGTGAGTTGAAAATATTATGTACAAATCTCTATAGAATAAAATAATTCTAAATTATTACCAAAGTTCTTCGTAGATTTGTCTATTTTGACTGGATCTCCTGTCGGCATTTAACAATTTCATTGAAGTTTGAACTTGCACTGTTAATAAGCCAGTGGCTTGCCCAGGTATTAGAGGTGAATTATAATGTTACAACCAGAATGGTAGAGGCAGTATCAAAGTATCACATGTGTACTGTCCATATTTATGCTTTCGCATGGGCCAGGTCTGTTAATATTTGTTAAATAAATGTATACATGTAGATAGGGATCCGTTTTAAATATTATATTACTATTCAGTTGTCCCCTGTGTACAGTTTAGTTGTAAAGCTGATTTGGTTTAAATATGAATAATGCCATTAACAAATGGGCTGACTCCTGCCTCTTTGGTGGTTTTCTTATGTCTGTCACTTGTTAGCCTCTTTCATTTAGGGACAACCTCAGACTCTTCTTGGTGAGAGTTTCCATACAATTGCATGGTAAAGTATACAATGCATGCATTTTCAATCTAAGTCTCATGCATCTCACATGCAGTAAGGTACCTGCATGTCAACAGTTCCCAATGAGGGCATGTTCAGTAGCATTTAAAGGGTAGATAGCAACACATGGTGTATATTTTAATAACCCCAGCCTCCATGGCTCTAAAAACTGGGTCATGGATGCTGCCAATGATTAGCAACACATTAACCTACATTAACAACATACTTCAATCACAAGAAAGGAACCGAACAGAGTGGCCTTGGCATCCATGCTTTAACAGTGATATATTGCCACATTTATAAAAACAGGTGACACATGAAGTGAAATTATACTCCAGGCTGACTCAGTCTAGCATGAGTTTTTGCTTTTTGATTAGCGAAATAACTGGAAGAAGGAAAAATTGTGAAGTGACTTAATCACCCCATTTCCATAGATTAGATCGACCTAACTCCCTGGGGGTTCACGCTAAATAGCTGTCAGCCGGGCGGACACGAAAGTTAATTACCCCCTTACAGCTTGTAGTAGGCGGGACGGACATTTAAGTCGAATTATCTGAAAGTAATCTAGTGAGACTCCCCGCGGGGATAGATCGGTCTAAAATCTATGGGAATAGAGCCAATGACATATTCATAACCTGTATGTATGCACCTTGTCTTTTTGCCCCCTGTGGCAGTTCAATGATCTGTGACTTGTCATGCTTGTAGTAATGAACACTGTACATGTACTACACAAATGGAAGATCTTGAGAAGAATCTGAAAGAAAAAAGATCTTAAATAAGATTAACAACTTGTAAGTAATTAAGGTCAACAATTGCAACAATAACAATGATAATAAGATAATTATAAATCAAATGTTTGAAGGAACAAGTTACCCTGAGTGTCAGAGCAACGTAAAAGCTAACTAGCTTAAATATACCTTGTGATGGTGTCGCTTTTACTAGCTCTGACGAACAGCGACAATCTGAGGGCGTTCTTCTTCAAAATTTTGCCTGGGGCGCTTCCATATTTGGAAGTCACAGGTCACAGCTGTGTCCGCCTGGATCCATATTTGGAAGTCATAAGTCTTGTATGTCACAGGTTTGGCTGCCTGGAGCTGCCTTTCCCGCCTCGTGCTGAAGTTATCTCGTGCAGACGAGACAAGAAGCAAAGTGCCTGACGAAGTTTGAATTGAAAAATATCTTGCAGTCGAAGGTCAGTGCCACAATAGAAGCAACATTCTGCTTTAAAAACTGATTTTGGTGTAACCATTGCGCAGCCCTTATAGTGGTATAGGGCATACAGTGTAGCTGTCAAATTTGGCACACGGCAAGCACGTGTATTGCGCACATGTACACCTCAGGACTAAATGTTCTTTGATAAGCAAAAAATACAAAAACATTGGATATATCTTTTCTGTTCGAAGAATATTATTTATTTTTTCACTTTACATCTTAAATACAGCAAATAAAATTAAATAAAGCAGAATTAAATCTGTTTTACGTTTCATTTTGGTCTGATGACATTCAACTGCAGATTCACTCAGACTGCGGAGCAGTTCTATTTGATTGACGGAAGTATAACATGGCCGCTGTTCACTAGAGCCGGTATTGTTGATATGGGTTATATATGAAATCAAGATCCGCTGATCGAGCTGGCAATACCGGAATCTAGAACCTAGGGTAGAACAAGTTGGAATATAGTATTACTAAGTACCTTTAGGCTCATAGCTTATTTCCTAGAACTACTTTCCATGAAAACAGACTTGCATTCTGTTATAAGTTCAGTAAACATTTGTGTGCTTTTTATGTACAGANATGGTCAGTCAGGTTCATGGAGATCTGAGCAATATTAGCCTCATCTAGGTACCAACCTATGGCCTGGACCTTGGGTAGACGCCCAGGCTGTAGAAATCAAAATAATTCTAAAATTTCATAGAAGACAGAATCAGGAACACTGATTTATAGTACATTAATTTTGCATTATATATATTATATAGACTGGATAATACTGGCTTCCATCAACAAGTGGACAATAACACATGGCCTTACCTTCAGCAAGACAAACAAAGCTCAGAAAAAGATTATCACCTCAGATCTCAAATCCAAAATAAAATATGTCATATGAAATAGTACAAAGTTTGGATCTGCTTTACTTGGATACATAGAAGCAACACAGGTGGAAAAAAACCCAGACTCCATGATTTTTGTTATCCAAAAAGTCACAAGTGCATGTCATGAGATACTACCTCATCTTTTCCTCTTCCCTGCTCCCGTATATTGAGGGCAATCCTGTGAGCTTGCTCCTTGGTTGCCAACAGGTTCACATTGTATGCAATGAGGAACTTCCTAGCTCCTGTTGCTGTGGCACCCCAGGACGGAATGAACTCAGCAGGGCCGAAGTCAGGGATCCAGTCTGGGGATATGAGCTTACGAAATAAAGGAAATGATATGTTTCTAAGATGTTGGGTTTGAATGATGTATACTAATAAGATACACAACACTGTACAGTGTATATCATAATACTAGAAAAACACTTATACCCCATTCACACTACGCTCAGTTATCCGGATAAGTTGCGAATTAGGTAACAATTCGAATAAATGCAGAAGTGTGAACGCAAGAGGATTTCTGTAATGCGAATTTTCAAAATCCTGCAAGCGAGGTGGATTTCTAAGCACGATCCGAATAACTTACCGGAATCGATACCTGTACAGATCTTACTGCGCATGTGTGCAGATAAGTGTGGGTATTTATGAACGCTTGTTTATTACTTTAGCGATTGCACCAAACGTATTTGGAGGTCACCACTCACTACAACATGAGGAAACAAACTTATTTTGCCATGTTATACTTCTCAAGAATGCTGGAATGTCTTTTGAGTTGCATTTGTCGTCACAAATTTTTGTTGGTGTTTTACGATTTCCTGTGCGGCGCATGCGGGAGTGTTCAAAACAGGAAGTTAAACCTGAAATTTTCAACGTGTGATTCGGTTTCGCTTAGCGTGTGTGAACGCAATACCGAATCAAATTCCTCACAAAAAATTTGGATTATAGAAATGTGCATTTTTGCAACTGTAGTGTGAATGGGGTATAAGAGTCTGTGGACACCTGCCAATGCAGCTCAATTCTTATTAATAATTTCTGCCCTGAACATTTTATCAAATTCTGTCCAAAAACATGAGCTCCTAAGACCTTGGCAGAGGTAAAATGGATACAAATATCTAGTATATAAAAGCAATGCTCATTACGAAAAAAAAAAAAAAAAAGTTATGTGAATATATGCTAAAATCTTTTAACACCAAAGTTTAAAGCATATGATTTATCTCTGAATTCATCACAATAATTCTTCTTTTTTTGACACTTATTAAGCTTCTGATTGGATACATTTTTTTTAAAAATTTTTCTTTTTGAAAATCAACATTCTGCAGTACCTTTTCCTCCAGTCCTTCGTATTCCCCAGCTCTGATCTGAGGCAATGTCTTTCTGTGCTCCTCTGTTGCAGCCTCATTGTACAGGTAAACTAGAACAAATAAATAAATAAATGAGTAATTTGTAAGTTTTGGTATAGAGTCTAACAATCATTATTAGATAACCATACCTTTTACATAATTGCTAAAATTAAGAGAATTAAAAATAAAACTACCCTGTGAGTAAAAATTTGTCTCATCGACCAGCTTCTCTCTACTATTATTTCAATATAACTGATTTCATTTATTACAAAACATTTATGGTCAGTTTGCATGTTGCAAGTTACCGAAACAAGTCTCACCAGGTACATTGAGCTCTGCCGCCAGTCTTTCCCCAAATTCCCTGGCACACCCAATACAGTCATCCATGGAGACTCCTCTCACTGGGATGAAGGGGCAGACATCCAGAGCTCCCATACGTGGGTGTTCACCTGAATTTCCAAGAGAAATGCCAAAGGAAATTATGAAATTGCAGTGCCATAAATAATTTATTTCAATAGGATGAGCTACAAGTACTTACTAGTATCAAAGGATGGGGCGGGTGGGAAATAAAGCAGTATAGTTGATAAGGAAAAGACAGTGATAAAGTTATTATGTAAGTTGCACTTGGTCTAGTCTTATGGTGTCAACAATAATTATATAATTATAGCAATACTATCACCAAATCTGGATAGACAAAAAATTGAACTAAAAATGCATTGTTATTTAAAAAATTAAAAGCTTTCCATTATCTGTAGGTGGTGATGATGATTTAAAAGATAAAAAAATAAATGATCAGTGTCTGTCATATTGCTTTACTGAGAAAAAATAAATTAACAAGCTGAAATAGAGAAAGAAAAACACCTTATCTTTAAAATCATTATTTCAGAATAAATAAATAAATAAATAAATAAATAAATAAATAAATAAATTAAAAAGAAATAAATCCTTACCACTATGTCTCCTCATATCAATCAGTTGATATGCCACTCTAGCAGCATTCAGTGCACCTTCAATAACAGCATCAGGGCCACCAACAAATGTGTACACTGAAATATTATATCCACATTCTCAATTCAATTCAGCTCTCATTACTCAGCATACAATGGACAACCTGACCTTTCCACAACTTGAAATTAAATTGGTGATTTTAATAATTAATATTCAATATCTTTAAAAGCATATACGGGTGTGTCTACTCTTGATAAATGGTGGACAAATCTTTACTTTTATCTTTTTTCTAACAATAAATAAATACATGTACATAAATAATTAAATAAAATATACTACAAATATTTATTTCTATTTTGTCCTTTATTTTGCAACAGGCATTAAAATAAAAGACAAAATATTTCATTCCTGTACCAGTGCGATTAGTGGAAGGCCCAGGGTCCACATCCAGCAGACTGCAGCCCTCCGTGCTGGCTATGGCATTGGCAATGGCTTCTATCACCTATAGTGTACGGGAAATTGACACATTTTGATCAGATAAAATATGTAGGGGGCATATCATGAACAGTGTAAAAAAAAAAAAAAAAATAGAAGTCAATATACCTGCCTTAGTTTGGGTTTAGTTTTATGAATTTTGCATTATTATTTTTTAAATATGAAAATATTGTTTCTATTTCAAAAATGCACAATTTACATGGTTATTATTTCACCTGGATCATAAACTGGATGCCATAACTGGCGCTTAAAATTGCTGTCCACCTTTTGAGTTTGACAGGTGGTTGGTTGTTTGATATGAGTCATTGGTAAATTGCATTTTCAATGCGGTGAGACGGGAAGCAAACATTGGTTTTACACGGTATTTTCAGCATGTCCTTACCTCTTTTTGCCGTCCCTCCGAGAAATTGGGAACGCACTCTACGATGCGTGCCATGGCAAGCTTAATCACCGCTTTTAAAAGTTGCAACTTGCGAACTTCTCCAAAATTTCAGAAAGTCCCGAAGGCGAACTTTCCAACCGCTTGTATACTACGTCACCGTCGTCAGTGTACATTACGCAGAAACGTCATCATTTTGTGTGCTCGTGACGTTTTACGCATGCAGGTTAGCTACATTTGTAAAGTTCATAGTATTGTTCCCATACAGACGATCAAAAACAACATATTTGATTAAAGCTGACGCAGGTGAGTTGAAAATATTATGTACAAATCTCTATAGAATAAAACTATTCTAAATTATTACCAAAGTTCTACGTAGATTTGTCTATTTTGACTGGATCTCCTGTCGGCATTTAACAATTTCATTGAAGTTTGAACTTGCACTGTTAATAAGCCAGTGGCTTGCCCAGGTATTAGAGGTGAATTATAATGTTACAACCAGAATGGTAGAGGCAATATCAAAGTAACACACGTGTACTGTCCATATTTATGCTTTCGTATGGGCCAGGCCAGTTAATATTTGTTAAATAAATGTATAGATACACCAGGGATGCGTTTTAATATTATATTACTATTCAGTTGTCCCCTGTGTACAGTTTAGTTGTAAAGCTGATTTGGTTTAAATATGAATAATGCCATTAACAAATGGGCTGACTCCTGCCTCTTTGGTGGTTTTCTTGTGTCTGTGACTTGTTAGCCACTTTCATTTAGGGACAACCTCAGACTCTTCTTGGTGAGAGTTTCCATACAATTGCATGGTAAAGTATACAATGCATGCATTTTCAATCTAAGTCTCATGCATCTCACATGCAGTAAGGTACCTGCATGTCAACAGTTCCCAATGAGGACTTGTTCAGTAGCATTCAGAGGGTAGATAGCAGCACATGGTGTATATATTTTAATAACCCCAGCCTCCATGGCTCTAAAAACTGGGTCATGGATGCTGCCAATGATTAGCAACACATTAACCTACATTAACAACATACTTCAATCACAAGAAAGGAACCTAACAGAGTGGCCTTGGCATCCATGCTTTAACAGTGATATATTGCCACATTTATAAAAACAGGTGACACATGAAGTGAAATTATACTCCAGGCTAACTCAGTCTAGCATGAGTTTTTGCTTTTTGATTACTAGTAGCGAAATAACTGGAAGAAGGAAAAATTGTGAAGTGACTCAATCACCCCATTTCCATAGATTAGATCGACCTAACTCCCTGGGGGTTCACGCTAAATAGCTGTCAGCCGGGCGGACACGAAAGTTAATTACCCCCTTACAGCTTGTAGTAGGCGGGACGGAAATTTAAGTCGGATTATCTGAAAGTAATCTAGTGAGACTCCCCGCGTGGATAGATCGGTCTAAAATCTATGGGAATAGAGCCAATGACATATTCATAACCTTTATGTATGCACCTTGTCTTTTTTGCACCCTGTGGCAGTTCAATGATCTGTGACTTGTCATGTTTGTAGTAATGAACACTGTACATGTACTACACAAATGGAAGATCTTGAGAAGAATCTGAAAGAAAAAAGATCTTAAATAAGATTAACAACTTGTAAGTAATTAAGGTCAACAATTGCAACAATAACAATGATAATAAGATAATTATAAATCAAATGTGTGAAGGAACAAGTTACCCTGAGTGTCAGAGCAATGTAAAAGCTAACTAGCTTAAATATACCTTGTGATGGAGTCGCTTTTACTAGCTCTGACGAACAGCGACAATCTGAGGGCGTTCTTCTTCAAAATTTTGCCTGGGGCGCTTCCATATTTGGAAGTCACACGTCACAGCTGTGTCCAGCCGGATCCATATTTGGAAGTCATAAGTCTCGTACGTCACAGGTTTGGACACCTGGAGCTGCCTTTCCCGTCTCGCGCTGAAGTTATCTCGTGCAGACGAGACAAGAAGCAAAGTGCCTGACGAAGTTTGAATTGAAAAATATCTTGCAGTCGAAGGTCAGTGCCACATTAGAAGCAACATTCTGCTTTAAAAACTGATTTTGGTGTAGCCATTGCGTAGCCCTTATAGTGGTATAGGGCATACAGTGTAGCTGTCAAATTTGGCACACGGCAAGCACGTGTATTGCGCACGTGTACACCTCAGGACTAAATGTTCTTTGATAAGCAAAAAATACAAAAACATTGGATATATCTTTTCTGTTCGAAGAATATTATTTATTTTTTCACTTTACATCTTAAATACAGCAAATAAAATTAAATAAAGCAGAATTAAATCTGTTTTACGTTTCATTTTGGTCTGATGACATTCAACTGCAGATTCACTGCGGAGCAGTTCTATTTGATTGACGGAAGTATAACATGGCCGCTGTTCACTAGAGCCGGTATTGTTGATATGGGTTATATATGAAATCAAGATCGAGCTGGCAATACCGGAATCTAGAACCTAGGGTAGAACAAGTTGGAATATAGTATTACTAAGTACCTTTAGGCTCATAGCTTATTTCCTAGAACTACTTTCCATGAAAACAGACTTGCATTCTGTTATAAGTTCAGTAAACATTTGTGTGCTTTTTGTGGATTACTATTTGTTCTTTATGTGGTCACACTATAATGAAAAATTAATAACGGCTTGTTTATAGTTCATAGCATTCAAGATTAAGCTTGATTTTTCTGTAGAAGTCTGTAATTTCAGTGAGAAAAGAGAGACATTTAGTGTTTTATGGCTCTTTTTATCTGATAAATTTTATTAATTGTTTAAAATATTGTGCATACCACATGGTCAGTTTCTAATTTAATGAGAACTTTAAATTTTCCGAGTGTCAACTCAGCTGCATTTTCACATGGAAAGTTCCTAAACTCATACACGTGAGCATGGAAACCATAACAAATGCCAACAAAATATTCCAAGATGAAGTCATTTTCTCTAAGGTATATATAACTTGATCAGAAAGAGATCCCCCCCCCAAAAAAAAAAAAAAAAAAAAATAGGTACTGTACGTATTAGTATAAATTTTATGGGACAATTCTTGCTGCCAGGGGCACAGCTTTATTGATTAATGAGGCACATTTTTAATGAATTATATTTTCTTGTTTTATATTTTTTTAAAGACATTTCTGAGTCTTGCGATTTCCATAAAACTGAATACTAGTAATTTAGAAAAAGTTCTAATGTAACAGTTGTTCTAGCATGAAGTTCTGTGCTGTTGAAACTTTTGTGCAGATTGCTTATAGTCAGCCTACTAACACTAAATTCATTTTCATTTTAAAGTTGTCCTTTTCTCGTGAATGATATCAAGGGCTTTTTGTGTGCTATACCCTTCTATGTATGACATAGGAACTGAAACTGGCAGAAACCGCATTGTGTTGAAACATGCCATACCTTCGTTGGCAAGGCTGAGGAGGCTATAATTAAGTTGAGATAATTTTGAGTTTATCAGTTCAAGTGGTTCTTTATCAACCTTCATCTGGAGACCCAGAAGAATATGATAATAACTTGCATGGATATTATACAAGGACTGCATAAGGTTGTCTACTTTGTAAATTGTATGCAGAACGTTCAGCTCTGGTTCTGCTGACAAAATTACAGTTATATTTGAACCCACAATTCCCATTTAGCACACATGGTAATTTGGTGATGAAAATATTGATTATGCTGTCAACCGAACTATGTAATTGTGTGTTATAATAGGTGAGAATAATTACTTGTTAAATTTATTTTGTGGAACAGCTATGTTATGTTCGTTCTTTGATCTTTATTCATCATGCAGGTTTCACAGCATACGTTTGATTTAAGCTCTGTGCATTTGAGGTATTGTAGAGTTGTAATGTGACCCTCAGTGTCTGTCGGATGTTCATTTCCATGCCAGATTGTTCTTTTCTTTCCTTTGCTTTCAGTTTCAATACATTGATGTTGCAGATGTAGGCCTGTTTTGGTACCAAGAATAGATAAAAATTGAATTACATACTATAATGGCAAGCACTTATGATACTAGTACTTATTTGCTTATTGTCTATTTGCTTTTAAGCTTTAAAATAATGTATTGCCTAGAATGGTAATGGTAAAAAATAATAATAGCTAAAATGTTTTTTTTTTTTTTTTTGCATTGACAGTTTTAGTATATATATATATATATATATATATATATATATATATATATATATATATATCTGAGGTTTAAACCTGATTTTCTGAAGGTCATGAATATCTGCATATACTGCAGCAGACCTGAACTTTATATTATTTAACTAAGTAAATATCACTAGTATTCCACAGAATCAGGCAGCTAAAGTGCTGCACACTAGATTTAACATCAAAGCTGCAATAGGCTGCTATGGGCATTCCAATCCAGTGTAGTGTAGTTGTCTAGTGAACATTGCCAATTTGATCTTGCATTTTAAGTGAATACAATTATGAGTATGCCTTGAAAGTTGAAACATAGAAATTCGTGCCCCCTTTTTATCTTCTCGTGAGAAAAGAAATGTTTTTTATATTAATCTGTATTTATTTATTTATTTATTTATTTATTTATTTATTTATTTATAATATTTATTTATTTATTTATTTTCCTTGGAAAATCTGGCAGATATACTGATGAAATATTAGGGTGGGTACATTTTAGAACTTCTGCCTTCTATTTCACATTGCTATTGACTAAAGTATCTGTATTCTTGAAGATGCATGGATGATAACAAGCACGATATTATTAGTCTCAGCACATCCTGAAATTGATCTAAAATAAGGTCACACATTGTGGTAAGCAAGGCAGTTTGCACAACACAACTATCATCATGTTAAAATGGGTCATGATCTCAGTATAAAAACTTTTCAGACAGTTTGGTGCCTTTTGTATCAAAACATACAGGGCAATCATTAAAAAAAAAGGAGTTTGATAAGATATGTTTACATGATTGATATATACATATGTCACAGGAGATAGTGTGGAGATGATAACCCATTTTATCTGAAGCAGATGTCAAAACCATGCTGTTCATGCCATTGGCAAAAGGCTTTCACCTTCAACGCAGTGATTCCCCCCCCCCCCCCCCCCCAAATAAAAAAAAAAAAACATTTCAGTGAATAATGCGGTTTTATCTTGACACAGCCATTGTCACACCTAAATTAACACAATATGCTGCCACAAAGAACATGATAGTATCTCACTTCCAGTCCTTCTAGTCAACTTGCATGTGGTATAATCAGCTATCTCACGTAACACAATTACCTTTCACACCCAACACAGTCATTTGGCATACCTAACACAATCAAGAACTCAAAATGATAGCCCCTCAACTCTAATTTTGTTAACTAATTAGTAATTTCAGCAATCACACTTGACACAATAAGCTGTCACATCCAACACGGTCATTTGTCACACCCAACTTTATTTGCTACAACACTGGATGTGATAGTATTTTATTAGAAATATAGCCAGCTGATAAGTTATGTAATCATCTATCACACCTGACACATTCAGCTGTCAAATCCAGCAAAATTAGACTATATGCCTAGCACATCCAGAATCTCTCGTGATATCTCTCTGTTATATATTCCAGCTGTCCGCCACCATGGTGAAACCTGTGAAGAGGCGCCAGGCTTCCACCATCATGGTGCAGCAATTATGGGAAGGAATACGAACCATCAAACATCACAAACAGGTCCCGAACATGGAACGTCTGGCTCGCTACATGGAGAGGGAATATGACACGCGGCCCTCTGAAACAGCCAATCAGCTTCACTTTGCTGTGATGGACGAGCTGGTTAAGTCGTACAAGGCAGTGGGGAAGAAGGGATCACGAGTTGGAGTGGAACAGGAGGGGTTTAAGCTGCCGGAGACAGATGATATGGTGAGGGTATGATATGATGAAGTGATAGGAGCTCCTAGGTTATTTCTTGATCAAGTTTTTTAATCTGTTGGTTACTGTCAAAATGCCCTTGCACTCGCCCAATAAGGCTGCTTCTACCTAAATCAAATTTTTGCTAAAATTTATGTCAATAAATTATATAAAAGCCAATAAGCAATACCAATAAGTTTTCCAATTTATTGGGCATGATGTGTTCCAATTTTCATAAAAGTAATAATTATAATTATGATGATAACGGATTTGTGAATTTAATGCATTGTAACTTGTAAAATATGATTTCAGCAAAAAGATGGTCATGATTGGTACTGCTTTAATTGCCACAAAACAGGAGAAGTTTTGCTCTGCGATAATTGTTGGAGGGTTTTTCACCCTTCTTGTACTGAAGAGGACTACAGTGGAGTTCGATTTGTTTGTGCCATATGCAAGGTACGTCTTTGAATAAATTTTGATATATTGGATATTGAAGTTTTTGTTTGACAACTAATTATAGTATTGACCAATTACCTTGAATCAGATGTCAGAATTTATAAGAATTCCAGTTTTAATCACATAGGAAGAAAACAAGATTTGATCAAGATTAAGGAATAATGGATAAAAATATTGTTTACACACATTTATATGGTATAGCAAAAGTTGTATTATAATAGATTTCAGATATTAAGTCTTAACCACAATGATATATATATATATATTTTTTTTTTGGCATATTGAATTATTTTAGTTGGTAATGTAAGTAAGACTTCACAGTAGATGTTATAATATGATTTATAAAAGTGCTGCTGGTCCAACAGATGAAACTAGCAACCCTTTAAATGTAGGCTAAACAGTGAAATGACTATAACAGTGTGTCCATAATACAGCAGGCTATGTTCACAATATTGACCCTGCATATTTATATAGATGATAACTATCTTCACTGTTTGGTCTGTCTGCTGACCTCTATGATTTCTTGTCTTTTCATGCTCATTAGGAAGACGAGGTAAAGTCACGTAATCTGTAGGGTGTGTTATATCTGGTGCATGCTCTGACCCTCCCTTCTCTCCTGACCTTGTTGTCAATGTGGTTGTTGTAGTTGTTGTTGTTATTGTTGTTGCTGTTGTTGTTCCACTATTGAAATCAGCACGTAAACCAGCATGCTTGTCAGGTCACTGGTGGCCAGTGTTTACTGTCATGGCAGGCGCATTCAGAAATGGTCCAACTTGTGTCAGAAATGACCTTATTGTGGTTTGACTCGATATAAATAAATTTTGGCCCAATTTTTGGTCTTTTTTGGGGGAGGGACAAAGTGCTTTGTGTACTATTACTAATACGACCGCTTGTTAATGTCAGTTACTAGTAGACTACTTTTCAGTTCAAGTTGGACCTTCTCTGAATGCGACAGGGGCATGCATGGGGTCACTCTAAGATATTGTACTTATATAGAGGAATACAAACAAAACTGAAGGGTGATGTTCTTTTGGACCAAACTTATTATAAGCTGTTTAGTACTCATAAGTAGATACATATTACATGAATCTCTTGTGTTTACTAGTGCATGCATACGTGCTCTTGCATGTATACACATTGAAATGCATTCTAGTACATACACCTACACATGCACACACGACATATACATGCACACACCTGCGTACACCCGCACAAAAACATTCTCAGTGGACTGACATCTTACTACTAGCACATACTACACAATTAATTTTTGAATCAAAATGTTCGGCAAATAAGTATATACATATATATACATATAGAACCTCAATTCAGCTCACATTTGTTAAAGGAGCTATCATGGCTCTGTTTGTGTTCTGTATTTTCTCTCACTACATACTAGTAACAGTTTTGACTTGACACTTGGTATTGCATGTCTCAACACATCTGTGGAACACTCATTCTCTGTCTTTTAGCAGTATTGTCCCCACTCTACCTGTAGTGTGCATATGACCCCTGTGTGTTTGTTGGTTCTGGCTGGGGGAAGTTATCCGTCAAATATATTTATTAGCAAGTAGCTAGCTGGTTTGCAAAACAGGTGACCTTTTTAGTTTTCTGTGAGTCTTAAATTGTGTACAAGTAGGGTAGTAAAGCTAATAAATAGATTTACCAGTAGGATAGCTTGTTATGCACAAGAAATGTTATTAAAGCCCTATAACACACACACACACACACACACACACACACACACACACACTAGCATATTATCATATATGCATGTGTTTGTATTCCTGTACACACGGGACATGCATGCATGCATACAAATTGTAGTGAATAGTGGAGGAACTATTAAGACTCTGAGAAACATCACAAATCCTATGTTATTCAAGATTCCATATTCACTTTTCCTGGTTGTATGTGTGGCTGAACATGCCCGCACACTTCACAGGCAATGTAGGGCATATGTAAATTGAATAACGTTGACATAGATTTTACTGTAGATTGTTCAGTGGTAGATACCAGTAGCCACCCTCATGATTAAGCTTTGTACATACATGTATTTATAAATACACACATATATTTATGCATTTATAGATCTACTTGACCTATTGTAAAGATCTATATATAAATATGTAGCCAGTATTATAGATGTATGCGTACTCTTATAGATATGTATCATTCTGTGCATTGCATAGTGAGTATTAAGAAAAAGCTTTGCCATCACTTGGGTATTATTATAATTATTTATTTATATCTGAATTACTTGTTTATGATGACCTGCTTCTTCCTAGTAATAATATAGTCATTGTTTTTCTCAGCCCTTGCTTTATCTTGTAGAACCATTAGTATAGCAGCTGTGTTCACATCAGGGTTATATTAGGGTGCTTTTGCAATGTCGCAAGTGGGGTTCATCTCAGAGATAATTACATTATACCCAGCTAAATATGATGAAACGTGACACTTGCAGAGAAGAAAAAAAAAGTTGTTTAAGTGTAATTCTCCATATACATGAAAAGAGAGCTAGGGGATGCCATGAAGTGCATATTGGCATAAATTTAAAAAGGATATCAGATGGTTGACAACCCTTATGAAAAAGTCCTATTGGATTTTTCGTAAGGGAAGGAACAGATAATAGCCTATCATTAACCAGCAAGTGTGGCTTTCTGCCCCGATTATTAAATATTAAATAATAGACACGATGCAGTTCAGGTTGACGAGGTGTAGGTGACAACCACCAGAGGGTGCTGCATGCATGTTGCCAATGAGTTTTGTTTCTGGCTGTGCTCATGCCATAGCTCATCCTGCATTGCATTTACTCTGGTATGCAAAATACACAAAGCCAGTGTTTGACTGGATTCCCATGCCTAGATCGATCCATCTGGACTGACCTATCTCCCTGGGGGTTCATGCTAAATTGCTGTCAGCTGAAGAGACTTAACCCCATAGGCCCTGGCTAGCGGTGACCTAGAAAGCGGGCTTGGGCCTGAGGGTCTTTGAGTCTGTGACTGCTGAATAGGGGGTTATCTCACAGAATCACTAATTACAACTTATTTCGTCAACAAAACCTACTTGACATATACATTTTTAAAAAGCCAATATTTACGGCTCTATTTCTATGACCACTAAATGTAGGAATATGATTGAATAAAGAAAATATAGTCTTTTAAATGTCACTTTTTTAACGGTCTCTAAATAAAATTTATTTATTTTTTCCAATTTCACTGAGGATATTTTTTCTTTTCATTCAAGTACATTTTTGTAAATCTACCTCAGTAATGTCACATTATTTTCCTTTATCGTCCGAAAATTTCAGGGAAATATTCTATTTACTTTTTGAGTTACAGCCGGTTTACTGTCGATAAGTCTAACTGGCAATTTAGCTCACCTGGTCGTTGCGCTGCGCAAGGAGATAGGGTGTTCTTATTACAAGCTGACACCTAAATTTCTCGAATAACTTATCTAATCTTTATATTCATGGAAAGTCGGTACTTTCACGAAACTTTCCAATACTGCCACAAAAAAGGTCTCGTTTCCTTATGAATGATACGGGATGATATATACATGTACAGGTATACACATATATACTGATTAATTTTCATATTCTGAAATAAAATTATGTTGCTCATTTCATTTCATAATGGCTATTTTTATGATGGAAATAAGGCAAAACCATTTCACATTATTTGTTCTTATCCACTGAAATTCCAACGAAATATCTTAGATATTTTATAAGTAACAGTCTGTTTACAGTCAACAGGTCTAACAGCATGGCAATTTTGTTCACCTGGATGTTTCACAGGGGAGGGGGATAGGGTGTTATAATTACAAAGCTGACACCTGAATTATTTTAAATTAATCCTTAAATTTTCCGAGTGGCAGTACTACAAATTGCCTTTTCAATATCGCCTCATCAATGAATGATTTTTCGCCAGTATAACATATCAGATTTTATATTTCATAAAATGGAATGGAGTTTACTTCAGTTCATAAAGCGCATTGTTACCTTCGGATGTTGGGTAAATGTAACCCAATTTTTCGACATTACGCGTCTTTATCTTCTGCGTAAGTCAGGAAGATATTTATCTGACCGTATGAGTCATGTTTACTGCTGCCGGCAGGTGTAATTGGCAATTGATAATTAGTTCACCTTGAAGTAGGTATAGGTGGTGAGATGGGCTATTCTGATAACAAACTTGACACCTTTCATTAGCTAACAATCACCTTTTATCGCGTCAGCTAGCCAGGAAGGGCATGCTCTGAACTAGGACAAAGACAAAGTACACAAATAGAGTCCAAATGCATATTTATTCACATATCTAAGTCTTGTACAAAAACGTAGAAAAATAAACTAGTACTACAAAGACAATAAAGAGATCAAAAACATTTATATCAGCAAAAATAAAATGAGAAAAAAATCCCTTGAGCATCGATCACTTATAAAATTAATTTAAAAGCACAGTGTAAAAAAAAGATTATCAAATGCATGGTTTTCATGTGAAGGAAACATCGTATAAAATACTAAGCACCAGATAAATGTAGCTGCAAATGTAAAAGGATATCAAAATATTTCAAGTCAAATTAAACTAAACCCTCTAAGTTCTAGAAATAAATAAAGCACCATAAAAATGTTAACCAGCTAATCTGGAATGAAATCACAATATTATTTCATGCACAATAATACTGTATCACAAGCCATGCAAATAAAGAGACACGAGGCACAAAGATGATGAAAATATCATGCAATCAATTCTATCAAGTAAACAAAAACACTTACAAATGCTTATCAAAAACATTTGTACAAAATCAAAAGTACAAAATCAGCTTAGACATCATAGAGTAAATGTACACACAGTGTAGCAAAAATAAATTTAGACATTTCTTTTTCTTTTCCTGTTTTTTGGAGAATCTGTTCTATCAGGATCATTGTACAGGTAATCTGCCATGTAGTGATATCTGTAGAAACATGGGGCAGGACACATTCTAACTTTACATACACTGCAGGTGTAACAAGTATCAACACGCTGAACATGGACTACACAAGCACTTCTCTTTTTATCTGGGGCAAGTGCAGGAGCATGGTTCATATTGCGATTACGACGCACACATTCAGGAAGTGCAGCAAGTGTTTTTCTCTGCCCTGTCTCCGAAACATTATTACCAATTAATTCTTCAGACAACATTCTAGTAAAGTCTTTCATTTTAATGTTTTTTCCACTTGTTTTTTTATACAATATGTAGGAATTTACCCTTGCCACATCTAAAAGAAACCAAAACAATTTCAGGTACCAGACCACACCGCGCATAAGGCGTTTATGAGCATTTATTCTTTGATCAGAGAGATCTACACCTCCCATGTTTGAATTATAGGAAGTCACTAACACAGGGCGAGGCACATTGATTTTCTCCCATTTCCCATTGATTTTGGCTGAACGCTGCACAGAGTCAAATGTATTAGCGACTGGAAGGGTTGTCAGAAGAGTCACCGGTTTTTTATCTTTCCATGTCACAGCAGTAAACGATCCCTTGTACATGTGTATGGCATCTCCTCTGTTCATTTGTTTCACGTCACTGGATTTACTACTCATCGTGTTTGGTAAACCTTTTCTGTTGGGTCTAACAGTCCCACAGGCAAGGGTAGATCTTTGCAAAAGAGATTGAAAGGCAGGTACGCTAGTGTAATAATTGTCCATGTAAACATGGTGTCCTTTATCAAGAAAAGGTGCCGTCACGGACATGACCACATCATGGGTAGCTCCCAGTTCACTTCCTTCTTTATTCTTTCCTGTGTAAACTTGCATGTTTAGTATATACCCAGAAATAGACTCTGAAAGCATGAAAACTTTCATGCCCCATCTGATTGGTTTGTCTTTCATAAATTGTCTAAATCCAAAGCGTGACTTACAAGCAATCATACTTTCGTCGAGCGAAATTTCCCTTTCTGGAGAGTACACTGTTCTTATTTTTTTCACCAGATAGTCCAAAATTGATCGTATTTTATAAAGTTTGTCATAATCCGGATTGTTTTTGTCTGATATTGCAGTTTCATTATCCACAAAATGGATGTAACGTAGGATAGCAAGAAATCTATCGCGGGACATTATTTTTCCAAATCCAGGTGAAGAAATCAGCCAATTCTTAGTCCAATAGTCTTTGATGTTAGTTTTCACCACAAGTCCCATTGCAAAAATCATGCCAAGCCAGGCTTTTAGTTCATCTAAGGTAAGTTCTGTCCATGCACACTTGTGTTGATCGGGCGCTCTTGTTCTCTCCTGAGTGGCATACAGGTTGGTCTGGGTGCATATCAGCAGCAGAAGGGTGTTTGTAAAAAATAAACTAAAAAGTGTACCAGGCGTAGCTGACTGGATATTTTCTTGCTCAATAGCATCTGGGGACAGACCAGGTTTTCCTCTAAATCTGATATTAGCGTCATTTCTGTTTGTGATATCTTCACTCCACTCTTCTTGTTCAGGTGTGTCTACATAAACCTCACGTGCGACGTCGTCGGTGAAGGAAGCGGCGTCTATTTCAGGCTCTGCATCAGAGTCATCTCTCCGGCATGCTGATCTCGATAGCGGCATATCTTCATCATTATCTTCACTCTCTGTATCACTAAACATTTCACCATCATCATCAGAGTTTTCAAGTAATTCTAACACATTCTCAACTGCCATACGTCTCTTTCTACTGCGCTCAGCCATTTTGAATTCACCTGGTGACAGCGGCTTTAACAGGGTGTGATAAAATCACGATTTCTGGCGATTAACAACCTCAGAGGAGGAACAATTATGACTGAACTGACAGACAACATACAACCAGGTGCTTTTAAAGTGTCTTTATTGAATGTCAGGTAACAAAAGGTGACATAACAAGCACGAAAAGTTATAACCGCATATGTGCGGTAACCGGCCCTAGGGACCTTTAAGAAAGAACCGCACATGTGCGGTTACCGGCCTTATGGGGTTAAAGTGAATTTAAATAAANTTTTTTTGGCATATTGAATTATTTTAGTTGGTAATGTAAGTAAGACTTCACAGTAGATGTTATAATATGATTTATAAAAGTGCTGCTGGTCCAACAGATGAAACTAGCAACCCTTTAAATGTAGGCTAAACAGTGAAATGACTATAACAGTGCGTCCATAATACAGCAGGCTATGTTCACAATATTGACCCTGCATATTTATATAGATGATAACTATCTTCACTGTTTGGTCTGTCTGCTGACCTCTATGATTTCTTGTCTTTTCATGCTCATTAGGAAGACGAGGTAAAGTCACGTAATCTGTAGGGTGTGTTATATCTGGTGCATGCTCTGACCCTCCCTTCTCTCCTGACCTTGTTGTCAATGTGGTTGTTGTAGTTGTTGTTGTTATTGTTGTTGCTGTTGTTGTTCCACTATTGAAATCAGCACGTAAACCAGCATGCTTGTCAGGTCACTGGTGGCCAGTGTTTACTGTCATGGCATGCGCATTCAGAAATGGTCCAACTTGAGTCAGAAATGACCTTATTGTGGTTTGACTCGATATAAATAAATTTTGGCCCAATTTTTGGTCTTTTTTGGGGGAGGGACAAAGTGCTTTGTGTACTATTACTAATACGACCGCTTGTTAATGTCAGTTACTAGTAGACTACTTTTCAGTTCAAGTTGGACCTTCTCTGAATGCGACAGGGGCATGCATGAGGTCACTCTAAGATATTGTACTTATATAGAGGAATAGAAACAAAACTGAATGGTGATGTTCTTTTGGACCAAACTTATTATAAGCTATTTAGTACTCATATGTAGTATTATATACATATTACATGAATCTCTTGTGTTTACTAGTGTATGCATACGTGCTCTTGCATGTATACATATTGAAATGCATTCTAGTACATACACCTACACATGCACACACGACATATACATGCACACACCTGCTTACACTCGCACAAAAACATACTCAGTGGACTGACATCTTACTACTAGCACATACTACACAATTAATTTTTGAATCAAAATGTTCGGCAAATAAGTATATACATATATACATATAGAACCTCAATTTAGCTCACATTTGTTAAAGGAGCTATCATGGCTCTGTTTGTGTTCTGTATTTTCTCTCACTACATACTAGTAACAGTTTTGACTTGACACTTGGTATTGCATGTCTGAACACATCTGTGGAACACTCATTCTCTGTGTTTTAGCAGTATTGTCCCCATTCTACCTGTAGTGTGCATATGACCCCTGTGTGTGTTTGTTGGTTCTGGCTGGGGGAAATTATCCATCATATATATTTATTAGCAAGTAGCTAGCTGGTTTGCAAAACAGGTGACCTTTTTAGTTTTCTGTAAGTCTTAAATTGTGTACAAGTAGGGTAGTAAAGCTAATAAATAGATTTACCAGTAGGAGAGCTTGTTATGCACAAGAAATGTTATTAACGCCCTATAACAAACACACACACACACACACACACACACACACACACACACACACACACACACACACTAGCATATTATCATATATGCATGTGCTTGTATTCCTGTACACACGGGACATGCATGCATGCATACAAATTGTAGTGAATAGTGGAGGAACTATTAAGACTCTGAGAAACATCACAAATCCTATGTTATTCAAGATTCCATATTCACTTTTCCTGGTTGTATGTGTGGCTGAACATGCCCGCACACTACACAGGCAATGTAGGGCATATGTAAATTGAATAACGTTGACACAGATTTTACTGTAGATTGTTCAGTGGTAGATACCAGTAGCCACCCTCATGATTAAGCTTTGTACATACATGTATTTATAAATACACACATATATTTATGCATTTATAGATCTACTTGACCTATTGTAAAGATCTATATATAAATTTTATACATATCCAGTATCACAGATGTATGCGTACTCTTATAGATATGTATCATTCTGTGCATTGCATAGTGAGTATTAAGAAAAAGCTTTGCCATCACTTGGGTATTATTATAATTATTTATTTATATCTGAATTACTTGTTTATGATGACCTGCTTCTTCCTAGTAATAATATAGTCATTGTTTTTCTCAGCCCTTGCTTTATCTTGTAGAACCATTAGTATAGCAGCTGTGTTCACATCAGGGTTATATTAGGGTGCTTTTGCAATGTCGCAAGTGGGGTTCATCTCAGAGATAATTACATTATACCCAGCTAAATATGATGAAACGTGACACTTGCAGAAAAGAAAAAAAAAGTTGTTTAAGTGTAATTCTCCATATACATGAAAAGAGAGCTAGGGGATGCCATGAAGTGCATATTGGCATAAATTTAAAAAGGATATCAGATGGTTGACAACCCTTATGAAAAAGTCCTATTGGATTTTTCGTAAGGGAAGGAACAGATAATAGCCTATCATTAACCAGCAAGTGTGGCTTTCTGCCCCGATTATTAAATATTAAATAATAGACATGATGCAGTTCAGGTTGACGAGGTGTAGGTGACAACCACCAGAGGGTGCTGCATGCATGTTGCCAATGAGTTTTGTTTCTGGCTGTGCTCATGCCATAGCTCATCCTGCATTGCATTTACTCTGGTATGCAAAATACACAAAGCCAGTGTTTGACTGGGTTCCCATGCCTAGATCGATCCATCTGGACTGACCTATCTCCCTGGGGGGTTCATGCTAAATTGCTATCAGCTGAAGAGACTTAAAAAATTGTTCTGCTCCCTGAATCTAGGTCTCAAAAATGTGCAGTGACAGGCCACATTGCGTGTATTAGTCTTTACCATAACCTCTTGGTTGGTTGGAGTTGATAAGATCATTACTATAAATAGAAACAGGGTCAGGGTGACCTACTTTTTCAGTTTTATTGATGTTGTTTCGGTGTGGTCACTTCATTGTCATGGTGACGGGTGGCACCACATAACATATAATGGCTGTCTGTTAAATCTTTGGTTTGGGGCTATTAACTAAGTGGGCTTAAACCTTATTGATGGATTTGTCAGCATAATCATTAATGTCTATATTATACAAGCAGATTTTCATGAAAGATCCCCGTTTAAACTTATGTACCATAATCATTTGACGATGTCCAATAATTATTCTTTGTGAATTGAAGGACATAAATGTAAAAAGATATTTGACGGAATATGCTCTTGCAGTTGATGTTAAATTTGAAAACTTAATAAGATATATGGAGATAAAGAATGCATAGATCTATGTACTGGATGAAAGACATTGATGTCAATTTGTAATCAGTCTACTGTTGACTTCTTTTGTGGAAAATAAATTGATTTGTAGCACCATAAAATTAATCAAATATGATGGAACATATGAATATCAAGTTTGTATAGGTCATTGACATTTTTTCTCAGATGTCATCCCTGTGTCATCTGCATGCAAATGTTAATTTTTTCTGTTATTTTTAAATAAATTGAACGTATTAAATATAAAATATGTGTTGCAATCAAAATATGCTTATGTTGTTAATCATGATGGATATCTTGTCTCTATTTGCAGGCTGGAAGAAAGAGGAGCAAATTAAAGAGGAAAGAATTGAATCAGTTGTTGTCTTTTACTGCCTTGAGGTTGAAGGAAAAGGTATGTTTGAGTTTTAAAAATGGCTTTTAAACAACATATAGTTTGAAAATACTTTCATTTGTTCAGGTCTTTGACTTTATTGTACAGGGACCAAAGAAGATGATATAAGTTTTAAGTTGTAACAGTCACAGTAATTGTATTTATGATGATTTAAAAAGTCTTGTCTGTTTGCATCATTTTAATATTTTAGGTTCTGTGTAGGTGTGGCACAACCCTTTTAGGATGACTCCTGATTACACCCACTTAATGTAACAATTATTGCACCACATGATAATGTATATATAATTTCTCTTCCCTCAGACTCGTGAGCTCCACCGTATGGGGACCAAGGAGGACGAGGAGAAGTTTGAGCTGTTGCTGTACAGTCCCATGGACCTGAGTCGTATGGAGGACAAGGTGCAACAGCAGGACTACAACTTTGTGGAGGAGTTCCAGGCTGATGCCGAGAATGTGCTGCATAATGTGGTCTTGTGTTATGGGGGTGAGTGATCCCCCCCCCCTCTTCCCACCACTTCTCTCTCTCTCTCTCTCTCTCTCTCTCTCTCTCTCTCCCCCTCTCTCCCCCCAGAGACAGATTGAGGTTGTCTTCTGGGTCTTCTAGGAAATGGTCAGATTTTCAAGTTTACATTGATGGATATCTATTTTTTCTGTCGAAAGACGGTGAAAAGTGGAGGATGGATCAACAAAGATAATTTGGAAGACTGCCAGAAAATATCTCTGGATCCGCCCCTGCTCTTTCTCTCTATTGAATTAATGGTTTGGCTGTGACACAGTATTTTTATAATACTTCAGTAATTCTTTTGTCCTTTTAAAATTATTTAAAAAAATAGTAAACATATTTAATTTAATTAAGATTCTTGATTTGATACTATAGCAGCATTTCTATTTCAGAGTATCATGGTATGTCTGATCTGGCACGCATCATGGTGAAAGACTGTATTTATGATGTAAGTAATAAGGGAGACAGTAACTAGGTCAATGTGACCTAATTTCTTTGTTATACACTGCAAAGATTGCCATATTGTATTTTAAGCTTTGTGTAATGGAAAGTTTTAAAAAATGGAAACAAATTTAACTGTCTGCTTTAATCAAATGTACAGACTCTTTTAAATGAGCCTTAAGCTTTATAGCTTCACAGAAAATACGGTCCAAATCAGGAAAAAATATTTAAAATATAACCCCAATGACAGCAGAATTTCCAGTTATTTCCAGTATTGTCAACACCACAAATCAAATTCAGCTGCTCATGGTCTTCTTTTACTTATAGTTGGAAGAAGTGAAACGTTGCAGCGACTGTTATAAGATGAGCAATTTGAAGCCCAAAGATTGGTTTTGCCGACCCTGTGTGAGTACATGGTTCAGTTGTTGTGGTGTCACATTTGGCAATGAGTATTGTATTTAAAATAAATTCAGATGTTATATCAGGCTTTACTTACATTGTCATACTTTCTTGTCCATTTGGAAAGCTTAATTTTACGCCAGTTAAAAGAATATGTTCACACATCAAAGAAAATTGGTCATTGACAAAAAACAATTATTTATTTATTTATTTATTTATGTGTCATTAAGACTAAGTGATTGATGCAGTAGCCAGTTGATTTCATCAGCAACTTGAATATCCAATACTTAAACAAAATTCAAATCATTCTAACTGTGACAATTGCAGAACCCCCCTCATGACATTGTATGGGCCAAACAGAAAGGCTACAGCTACTGGCCTGCCAAAGTAATACGTGTGGTGGACAATAACTATGACGTCAGATTCTTTGGAGCTTTCCATCAAAGGTAAGGATGGTGATGATGTATCAGAATTAAATCAAAATTATGATAATTCTAGATTTACAAAACAATGTTTTGTTAGTTACGTCAGAAAAAATAAAGATTTTCTTAAGAGTTCTTAAATGTGATTTATGTTAATGTTGAAAAAAGTATTTGTGAGAGAAAGAGAAAAGATTAAAAAGATATGCTAAAATAATTAGAAGCAGACGTCCTCAATTCCTTTTCAAAATGTTTTTACAAGATGAAATCACATGCCCTTATTGAAATTCCCTGTAGGTTACAGAAAATCCAAATCCAAATTGGCCCAAAATCCTTATAGAACATATGTTTCATAAAAGACATCTGATAAAATGCCTATACATTCTCATTTGCCCTGTAGGATTCATATAGAGTCTTGCAGAGTCCTGTAAGATTCCTATAGGGTCTGGCAGAGTCCTGTAGGATTCCTAAAGAGCCCCTTAGAGTCCTGTACAGAATTTTTCCAAAGGGTGGCTATGTGCAGACCCTGACTTGATGATGATGGAATTATTGAATTGTTTTTGTAGTTCAAGCATGATTTCTTGTTTTTAGGGCTACGCTCCCTGAAACCTCTATCAAACCCATTGAGGTCAGCGTCAGCACACTTGGCATTAAGAAAACACCAGGTAGGTTTTTTTTTATAAAGTTTTATTCAGTCAAACCAATCCAAACTAAATCATGGTTGCATAAATTTCGATCTTGTTAACAGTTGAATTTTTTTAGCATTTTGGGAAATGACTTATAGTTATATCTCATAAAAATGTTTTGTACTGTATAAATTTAAGTCAGTTCATCATGTATTTCGCTTAACAAATTTAGCATACTGGCTCCATAAACTCTTTAACCTCTCTATTTTATCATAGTGCATGTCACTTTTAAATTATTGATTAACAAGCCATAAATATAATTGAATGGAACGTATCTCTATTGTATGAAAATATTTCTTGAAAAAAGATAAAAAATTAAGTGCATTGATTTTTATTTGGGAGAATTTTCTGAAGCAAGGAAATACACCTTATATATTTAATTCTCATACTTCTTTCATTTTTTAGGTTTTGTAAAATCATGTCACGAACTTGAAAGGTACCAAAAGATTTTGGAAAAGTTTAAAAAAGACTATCCAAATGGGCCTCCAGAGGAGGAGAGCGACATAGAAGACCCGCCATATTTGAATCTGGAAGATGTCATGGTAACAACAAAGAAACGGAAGGGAGACAAACGAAGAAAGAAAGAGAAGGTGAAAAAGAAGAAGAAGGAAAAGGAGAAAAAGGCAAGAAGAAAGAGAAAAGCAGAGGTGAACGAAAATATTCATAAATTATACAATATTTAAATCTAAATTTCATTCCGTTTTTTATTAATTTTTTTCCTCAATTTGGCTCTTTTTGTCAAGGTTGAATTAACTGTGTTATAAATGTTGGTGCTGTCTTTGTCAGTTTTCTCAGTCACAGTTAGAATTTCAAACTTGTTGACTTGGACTATTTACATACTTAAGTCAGCATAGGATGTTGACTGAGGCCAAATACTGATTTTTGAATTTAAAAAAGTTAACGTGTTGTCCTTACATTGAAGTCAAAGTGCACGGTATGTTGACCTGAAACAAATACCAAAGCAGCTTTCATGTCAGTAACAAGGGATCTGTCTGTATTCCATCCTTAGCATTCTGTTTTTAGCAGTTGACAAAATATTAGCCCAGACATGAGCTTTTTCCGTGGAAACACGGAATTCTGCATTTTTTAATTCAAATCGTAAGGCAGATCCCAGACCCCCAGCCGGTTAGGTGTTGTGTCCTATGAAAAATGTTCAGAGGTTTTCAAGCCAGACACTGCCAATTTATAAGAATTTGCTGACATTTTCCCCATTGTCTGCCATATAATTCTGCTGTGTTAAATAGCACATGCCCCAAGCAAAACTTTCATCAAGCAGTAAAAAGCAAACTTCTGATAATGAATAGTGTAATGTCCCATGTAGTGTAATTATATGGCAGGACCTCTTGAAAAGGAATGCAAAAGATGAAATACCAAGGTAGAATGCTCAATTTGAAAAAGGAATTTAGTATCTAAACAAAACTAATAATATTTATGTCAGAGTGTACGTGGGACAAAAGATTTTTTTAATGAATAATTTATCACATATTTAACACCCCCATATTTTCTTCAGGTTGATGCAGCAGACGAAGAAGAGGAAGAAGCTGGAGATATTTCAGAGGAAGAGGAAGAAGATGAAGAGTATGAACCTCCAAGAAAGGCCACCAAGAGAGAGAAGAAGACCCCAGGCAGGAAAGGGAAGAGAAAGAAGGTGGATGACGTGGATGTTAGCAGCTCCAACGCTGACCTGGAGGAGGTAGGGGGTGGAAATGCCTGTTCACATCAGGCCAAGTTTAAACTGGAAACAGACCAACTGACATCACTATTAATAATAATTATTATAATTGGAGGATGGTATAACAAAGGCATAATGAGCTAACACAAATTTTGTGTTAATTTGTCTGATTTAAGTTTGTCTTTACAGGCAGATTAATTGATAGCCAGGTTAAACTTTGTAAACTATTGATAGAAGTTATGGCAGAGCTCTACAGTTTTTGGTGCAACCTCGGTCTTAATAACACTAACAACTTGATGATAAATGAAATTTGTGTACAGGGTGCATTTAAAATGGACTTAAATTCCTTTTTTTTTAATGGACTACAATTTCATTTCTATTCCATAATAATAATACTAATAACAATAATAATAATACATATGATTTTCAGGTTGAGACACCAGAGGATGCCAATCTAGTCACATCTAGTGAAGATAAAGTTCCCCCCGTCTCCAGCTCTCTTATAAAGAAAGTAAGTCATGGCACACATACAATACTGTTGTGATGGCTTAGTAGGCTTAAAGCATGTTTCTGCATGCCACAAAGCAAGCAGAAAAATCTGTTCAAATATAATTTTTGGGTAACATGAAATGTTACATTTTGGTTTTTCTTTAAGTTATATTATTTGAAACCATATGGTGGTATTGGGGCAGGTTTTGCGGCAAAAAAAATTGACTTCATATGAATCTTTAACTTGGTTGTTAATTCTCTCACTTCATAGCAAACAGCAGGCAGCAAGTCCCCAGTGAAAGGCACCCAGACGGAGAGTGAGGTGACGCCCTCTAATGGATGTAATTGTGAGGAGAAGTATGCCAAAATCATGAAGGACACGCGGGATCAGCTGGAGAAAAAACACAAGGAAGAGAAAGAAAGAGTGAAAAAAGATTTGTCTGAGAAGGTCAGTTGACATATTTCGAAAGGGGATTTTATTACTGGTTAAATTTCTAATTAAAAATCAAATTAACATAGAAATGTAGAGCAAATTTGAGAGATTAATGATTAGTCCCTGTCTCTCCTTCTCTTCCCCTTGTCCTTGAAAGTCAAATTCTTGATCTGCAAATTTAATAAAGGATTTTATAAAATGACAATTTTTATACTACATTTATTATATTCATTTATACATTTATGCAAACTTTTTTGCACAAATTCAGTTATGAGGTGGTCACTCCTACAGAGAAGCCCCAATACTTAATTCGTCATCTGATAATCATAACTGTATTCTTTATCTCTGATCTGTATTGTAGATGCAGAAAGAGTTTGAAGAGGACAAGCAGCAGGCGGTGTCGCGGGCTGTGGCAAATAACCAGCGTGAAATAGAGCGTGTTCGCAAGCAGACTGAGGAGAAATGTCGCGAGCAGTACATGGAGGAAATGAAGAAACTGGCCCAGAAACACAAGGAGGCCATCTCAGCAGTGAAGAAAAAACAATGGGTAAGTGGAATAAATACAGTGCAAGTTTGCAAGGTGTTTTTAATATGCATGAGTGTACATGTAAGGTTGGGGCAGGTAGCAAATACATCTTGCTGGCAATTGGTCTGTCTGATTTATATACCAAGGCAGATGTTAAAAACAAGAGACCCAGACATGTATGTTTCATTTACCTGACTTTCATGGATGGCGTTACAATTTTAAAATTAATTTCTGTATTTTCAATGTTTGTCAGTAGACAATTACCAATTACCATGTCATTGCTTTGAGTCTTCTTCAGTTTTCACTTTTTTTTGACAGGCCTTGTAAGTCAAATAGATCTGATATAGATTATTGTCATCATCTCATCTGTAATAATTATTGTAATTATATCAATCCATTTCATGAACACCCATTTCTCCCCACAATTCCAGTGTTACAACTGCGAGGAGGAAGCCATGTACCACTGCTGCTGGAACACCTCGTACTGCAGCATCAAGTGTCAGCAGGAACACTGGCATAAGGAACACAAGAAAGTCTGCAGGAGGAAGAGATAGAGATGAGAGCACAGTATATACATGTATATTCCTTCAAAATGGGGCAGGTTATATAACCTTGTTAATATAGCCGTCTGGGATACATATTGTAGTGTGTCTTCTCTCTCTTTAGTATATATAATAAATATATGGTTTGTACATGTGTAGTAGGTTCAGTGAGGAGGTTCGGACAGCTTAACAGGTCTGCTGGAAGACGGATAGAGTTACTTGAGAACAGTTTTGAAATGTGGAAGACATGTTTTGATCTCTTGCCGGACTTTTGGAGACAGTCAGCTTTTATAGCAGGCCCTGCTCCTGAGATACTGATAGAACTGAGTCAAAGTTCCAGGCAGATAACAGATGCTGTCATGAGTAGGTCAGATTTTGGCCTCTAAGAAAGTGGATACTAGGAGATGTGGTATACTGGAAAGTAAATCAGTTTATATGCACTACACCCACACAAAAACCCTCTAAGTGAAACTACAGTATATATATATTTATAGGTCTGGAGGATCCTTTTTGCAACCATATTGGCATATATATGTGTCACATACAAACACACATACACACATCTGTATATTTTTTAGTATTTTTAGATGCCCAGATATAGGCTTCTGTATATACATATATATATATATATTTGAGCTTCATGCCTGACCATGGTATTTGGTGATACACGTTCTGGGTCAGCAGGCACTGAATTAGCCCCAACTTGAATCTGGTTCCTCTCTACCCAATGATGTAGGTCACTGTGTAATATATGTTCTATATGTTCTATGGAGGCAAAACCTGAACTGTATAGCTGATACACCATGTGACATCATTGTCCCGGTATGGGATGCATTACAACATGCAGTGACTGGGAAACTGAATGCATTGTTGGCTGCATTCACATCAGGATTTTCCTAGACTATAATCAGAGACCAGTTGATGTCATCTGATGACCAGATTACAAGGATATATCTGACTGCTGTATATCCCATTTTAACCAATCTTGCTGGTTATCTTGTGGTGTTATCGTTGCTGGTGTTAAGTCAGTCCTTATTTCAACTGGTCATGTATTTTGTAGTTTATTGCTCATGTGGCTTTACAAGGGCACATTTCAAGATGTCCCATGACATGCCATGACATCACCTGTCATGTCATGGAGTCGCGTCGTGCATTTTAGGTTACTTGTCCTAATGGCCAGTGCTCTGTCAGTCCAGGGCCATAGCATTCATTTAGCTTGCTGCTTATGAAGAAGTTTTTAGGCAAATGGATAATTTTAATGGCCTTTTAATTGTTTTAGGAAAACTTTTTACAGCAGGTCCGTGGTTTTTATAATTTTAAGTTTACTGACATGTTAAGGCTTGATTTTATTAACTTTTTACTTGAGTCTCATTTGATTTTAAAATCATTATTTGGGTAACGAGACAAGATATCTGTAAAAGAAACTTTAAGTTTTCTTCCCTTCACAGTCATTCAATGGGTATGACCATGTAACAAATGAACAACCATATATATATATATATATATATATATATATATATATATATATATATATATATATATATTCTTTTCTTTAAATCTTAAGTGAAAAATTTTCTGGAAATGTATTTCTGAAAAGAAATATGCCTCCAGGTAAAAATTGTGGTAACTGTTAATTATAATATGAATGGAAGTGTCCTTAATTGTAAATCTTTATTCTAATGTGAAATAATTAAAATAAGACATCAATTTGGTTTGAAGATAATTAAAGTGATTCATGCTTTATTATTATTATTTATGCCTTTTTGCTAAGGCTGTATTTCTTTAAAATTAGGGCATATTTTTTTCTATATAATAATACAAAACCATTAAGACTGCATTCAGTACACAAGTGTTTTTGAAAAAAAAAAATTCATGTATGTTATATTTTATGGCATTTAAGTTTTTCCTGCGCCTTGCAGAACTTGTGTAGAAATGTGGTGTACTGTCTTTTGGGCATTTCACATTGCATCCAGACTCTGTTTACCATGGTGAGTAAAATTTGTGGTCAGTAAAAAAAAAAAAATTGTCCATAGGGCTTGGTTGTAAAACCAGGTGCATTGAGGGTGACACATAAAGTTCTTTGTGAAACTGCCCTTAGCGAAATATCAGGCCCGATGCAGATTTGCAGCAAATTTACTGCGATATGGCTGCAAATTAGCAGCAATAAAATTTTTCTTGCAAACGCCAGCAAGCTAGCTGCTGCAAGCTTTTAATTTTGCTAGGGGTGGTATGCTGTTATTATTTATTATTATTTTTTTTATTTTTTTTTTAAACACCCAGAACTTTGCTGTATATCTTTCACGGTTCACTGTAATTCACTATTGTACTACCAAGCTGAAGCATTGAGTTTTGTTCAAATGTGGTTGTAAAAGTTTTAAAGTCACAAGTGCAAATTAAAGTAAATAGATATATATATAACTTAACAATATTTTATTAACATATTTTAGAATAGATTGCTTTTTTTTTTTTCAGAAATGTTAAGATGTCAATTTAGATTCTTCTTAACATAAATCTTGTTTTAATTATACTAGTGATGCTTTCTGTTTGTAAGGGACAGAAATGATTTAAAGAAACTCCAAGTAGTTCATTGATTTGTCACAATGCAGCTAGAGGTCTCTCCTGTGGCACCAATCCAAAGCTCATAATCAAGACGGGCTGCAGTCCAGAGTTTGCAGTAAAAAGGTCATTCGTTTTATTAGTTAAATTGTTTTAAAGTGTAAATAAGCCCCTTCACTGGTTGTAAATATTTATAGATTGTACTGTTTCACGGAACAATGTTTTTTATTGAAAAAATTCAGATAAATCTTTTAAATAGCATTTTATTAATTAAAGACCATTGTTTGTATAGAAGTACGTAATTTTCATCTGTGTGACAGGTTGCCAGAAAATGAAAGGCAATTATTTATTATCGGTGCTTTGGTCTCAAAAGCTGAAAATAATAGAATGTTTTGCATTAATCTCTTCTTGTAAGATACAACAGTTATGTTGGAAAACTTCTTTTTAAAGATATAATATTTTTCCTCATTTTTTTTTTACTCCTTTAAACTTTATAGTTATTCATTCATTTTGTATGGGCAGATGTAAGAGAAAGATTCACAAATGTGATTTTGGCTACATGTTGAGCATTGTCGTTGTAAAAACTGGTATTTTTGTGGTAGGATAAAAGTATGATAATGCAACTTAGTGTCAATTGTATGATCTTAAGAAATAATGGTTCTTCTCAAGAAAAATTAAAAATAGAATAGATCTAATTAAAATTTCAGATGGCTTTGAAACTTATGATTCTTCAGTATGTGCATTGAAGTAAAATTTAGGTCCAGTCATTTATATATTCATAAACAGATTTTTGTAAATGTAATAGTAAATCACAAATTAGTCAGAATAAATGTACACTGTATGCTACTTAGTACACAACTCACCTTTAGCGACAATAGGTGAGTCAGCAATATTTTATGCCATGCCGCTTTATGACACGTCGTGCAGTAACAAGTACCTGTTGGGGATATAAACGTGATCAAAATCTGTATCAAAAATGCTAATACATTATGTTGTATATCACCTAGAAGTACAACTAAGATGTATGTACGTGCTTTTTGAAAATGTAATAAACAGTCATGTAGTATTGACCCACGTGGATTTTGTTTTTGTTGTTGTTGTTTTTAAAGCTCAGCCTACCACGTTTTGTATATTTTCAGACCTTCCATCCTCTGAGGTAGAGAAATAGGCCTAAGCTTTTCAGATTTCAGATTTAAAAAAAAAAAGAGAGATAAAAAGGGTCTGTATTCTGAAACCGTTCAGTATACTCAACATGACCCAAGGACGAGCAGTAAGGAGGAACAATCGGCACAGTCGACCGAATTAATTTTTGCACATTGGAAAAATACTGACAGACCTTAAATACTGCATGTCCCTGTATTCATGGATTGGGTTAGTTCTAAAAATCATTTTATTTATTCTTTACGGACATTCCTCACTTTAACAACAGGAGACTTAAATATGTCGCGGATTGAATATTTTTGCATGCAAATAGACCGAAAAAGGGCAACTTTTCTTGCTTCGTTATCAATATTTAGCCTACCAGATCTGTCTCATTATCTATATTCTGATTCACTATCTATTTACTTGATTGTGGATGATAATGACTGTTACATTTTTTATATTTATAATATAATTGTTATTATGTAGGCTGCCGTTGTTTTCACACAGTTACTTAATGAGCTGTTTCGAAATTAAGTAGACGTAGAGCATCCTCGATGAAATATTTATTAAGTGCTGTGCTGTGGAATCGATTATTTATTGCAGTAGGCCTATTGTTAGTTTGAGTGTTAAAATATAAAAAAGCCAGTGTGAAACCCACTCTAGTCAGAAGTCCATGTAACATCATAAGGGATCTTACTAGCAGGTCTATAGGTAGGCCTACCGTGAAATTGATTATTTACAGCAGTAGCTTAGGTTTTAAAATAATTAAAAAAATATTGATGAAACTCGCTTAAGTCAGCGGTCCATGTAACATTGTAAGGGAAAGTATTAGTAGGGTCTCTTGCAACAACGCAGGTGTTCTAGGAAATAGGTACGTCTGCCAAAATGGGTGGGTCTCAGAGGAGCAGACGATTCTGCTGATATTTATCAAATAAAAATAATTTCTGTTTAAAATTAGGCCTACTGTCAAACTGACACCAAATTAAAACTGACTTTCAAAATACATAACTGAGAGATATTATGTCTAAAAGCGTATAATTTTGAAGAAATATAGCCCTACCAGTGCGTCTCTGCTTGACCTGAGGCCAGCTTTTATACTTTTCACGTCTGTTTTTCTTACACTGGCGCTATTTACTGTCTTTTTAAGTACAAAACATGTACAAGGTACAGTGAGTAATCGTACGTGCATAATCGACTGTTTTACATCTTTGCATCTGAAGAAGCTCTTTTGTCCACTCGTGTGAACAGTCTATATTCAAGGAAACCGTTCCTGTACGTGTACACAGAGGTCAAGGATCAATCCAGGACTTTACAAAATCAAAATAAAATATTTTCCCGATTGCCATCAGGAAGAACAAGAAGATTCGCCCCAAATCCTATCCCGCAGTGTAGCATACTACGCTGTGCTACGGTGTTCTACTCTGCACAAGTTTTGCTCCAAATGCATTTGGAAGTCAACACCTTTCCTGCAGTAGGCCTACATAATGAAGTTTCTAATACAGCGGACACTCCTTGTGCTGTAAAATCGTGAAGATGACTACACCACGCATTAGTAGCATTTCCATCTGTTTTGAATATACGCCACTTACAGTGTAAAAAATTCATGCATAAGGCATATTATATGGGCTCATCTCGCACATGCTATCTGCATATATAGTCGACTGTGTTTGCAACTTTGATATCGGAATCATTAACATCGCCTGTCTTTATATGGCTCGCTTCCACCGTGCGACCTATCCGACATTTCCTCTGCAGGGGACATGGACGTTAACGACGCCTTTCACAAATAAGATGTTGAAAAGGAGAGACGTTTTGGTTGGCTTTCTGTTTTTGTCATGCATTTGGTGTATCTGTGTGATTTTTACATTGCGTCCAAGCAGCATAAGACATATCAGACCCAGGCAAGTGTCTGAACTGGGTAACATGTCCGTCACGAGGGCTTCTGACGGGAAACACAAGGCATCCTTCGTAAGCCGGCCACGTGCCGCGAAACGGATTTTACTATGGAATGATTATGTGTTTTACTATGACGTAAAACGGAAGCCTATCTTTAAAGATTGCCCTATAAACAACTGCCTTATATTAACAGACAGAGCGTTCACCAACGAAGCGGATGCGGTAATATTCAATGTGGCCACAAAATATTTCAACCAGCAATGTCAAGGGAGGAAAGAAGATGGATGTGAGCTCCCCATGAAAAAATCCCCACACCAGGTGTGGGTTTTTCACACTCTTGAAGCCCCGTGTCAGGTAGGCTACCATACACACATTGACGTAAAGGAACGCTTCCTGGTAGTTTTAACTGGACATTTACTCACAGGGTGGATTCAGACGTTTATACGCCTTATGGGAGGATTGTAAAACGCGACATCCCACTACGGCGAGATTTCCGTGAAATCGCGAGATCAAAGACTAAGTTGATTGGTTGGTTGGCCAGCGACTGTAAAACGATGAGCAGACGAGAGGAATATGTCGCAGAATTACAGAAATACGTAGATGTCGATATCATTGGGAAATGTGGGAGGCCTTGCCCTGGAAAATGTTTCGATTACATAAACAAAACCTTCAAATTTTATCTCGCATTCGAGAACAGTTTAGCAGAGGACTACATAACGGAAAAATTCTACAGAATGGTGAATTTGGATGTCGTACTCATAAGCCGCAGTGGCAGCAACTACACGCGCCTCGGTTTCCGACCGGACTGGCATATCAACACAGACGATTTCCGCTCGCCGAAAGCGCTAGCTGACTACATCTTGATGTTAGACAGAAACGAGACACTTTATCTTCCTTACCTGGAATGGCGGAACCATTATAAGAGCACGAGAACTATGGACGGACCGGACGTGAATTGGTGCGGTTTTTGCGCCAAACTAAACGAGGTCGGTCGAACTCCTCCAAAGTGGTACAAAAAAGACGAGTTATTAAAGTGGTTCTACGGAACGGGTTCACTGAGAGGGTGTAGACAGCCCACCGACCTAGAGTTTCTGAAAGAGAAAAAAGACCCAACTTAAGTTTTAAAATCTCCAAATATGGTATAGGATTTATGTATTCTACGAGCAGCAGGATAGACCTATATACATAAATTATTCATCTGTTCGGGAGAAAAAAGAGCGAGTGAAATTGCATTACCCATTATTGGGCAAAGCTTTCAAAAATCACCAGTCGGCATCATACAGGGTGTGAAAAAGATATCCATGTGACTGTTGAGTGCACGTGTTTATGTCTACTTACTGTACGTCGTAATAGTCTATATTATTAATGTTCAATATATTGGACTTCTCCACTCTGCTTGAATGCAGAAAAAGTACTTTTTATGCAATAATAAAATTTCTTTTTACAACAGTAGCATAAAAAGATTTTGATACGATACAATTTTGTTAAAAAAGAGAAAGAAATTAAGCAATTATTTTCGAAATGCGGTATCACGCCAATGGTGCAAACAAGACGTAATTAGATTTGAACGACATGTAGAAATATTTTAGATATCTTGATTGCAAATTGTGTCAAAATGGATAAAAAATTCAAGTTGACATAAAGATAAAAAATATTGTAAGCGCCATCGTAGTCGGTGTGAGGTCGCATTCAGATCAATGTTCTGATCAGATATGGCCGACCCACTTGAATGCTTGTCGCGTACGTATTCTCCGTGGGGAAACTATTCAGTGTCTATTACCGGATTATGCGGCAAACATTTAAGTGGGTCTGCCATACTTGATCCGCGGATCTGTTAGTCCGCGGATCAACTTCTGAATGCGGCCTAAGTGGAGTATTTCGTGCAAGTGTATTTTCCTATTAACTTATGAATATGCTGGCAAGGAATGTGCATTGAAAATGAGGACACCCGCTTGCACAAAATGTGTTGGTGAAAAGAATATAATTAATACGCCCGTTTCAATGATAATATGCAGTTAATACTCATATGATTGATATACACGGTCTGTGGTTCATGCAAAATCTAAAACGTCTTTTCGTGCGCATGCAATTGTCTCACAGAGAGCTGTAATCATTGTTCGGAAAAAATCGTTACGGAATCACCCGAGGATGACTTAATGGCGTTATCACCTTTTGCGCAGTCTTAATATCGATACTGATTTTTCGGGTTATAAAAACAAGCATTGCATGGAGATCAAAATGACTTTGGCATCCTCTGTCTCTTCATTCTGTTTATCATTTTATCGAATGATGCTGCCAAAATATCCTAACGTTTGAGGAAATGAGTAATAGAAATCACGGAATAGAAAAACTGACCACTGTTCAGACAAATAGCATATTAACTGCATGCGGATACTCTTTGGAGAGAAAAGACGGTCGTGGTTCGAAATAAAACCTGCAACTTGTAATTTTGCCTGCTATCACTGGCCCCCGCCAGCCGTGAAAAAAATTCTGTGGATTCATAACCCGACCCTCACCTAAAATGAGAAAAAGACTGGATTGAAACCCATGTAGCTACTACAAACTGTCCCCATATTTCACCATGTGATCTACAATTCCCTTTGTACTTGTAGTGATGGCGACGTGTGTGTGTGTGTGTGTGTGTGTGTGTGTGTGTGCCTGTGTGTGTGTGGTGTGTGTGGGGGGGGGGGGGGTAAGGGGGGTGCAAAGGACCGTTGCCCCCTTATTCATATCCTGGATACGTCAGAGGCCCTGACACATAGAACATTCACTCTGACAGTCTCCAAAACTCAGGGTGCTGTATATGTACTCACTTGTACGTGAACTGTTGGCCATTTTCAAGTGTGATCTGGTACAAACAAACACCCTTCAGATCGATTTTTGTGCGATTGTGGGAATTCTTTTCTTACCACACACCCTCCCACTCCGGGAGGGATCAGGGTTGGGCCGATTGATACTTTGATAATAAACAGTTAAGTTAGGACGCCGGGGAGGTCATCTGGACTGTTGTTATTGTCGACGCTGGTGTTATGGTTGTTGTTGTAATTCTTTTTTAAGTCCACCGATGGTATTATTGTGGTTTACTGATGTTTTCAAGATGAAACATTCATTTCGAATATGTGAACATTTTTATTCAGTATTAGATTAATTTAAGTCCATATAGCATGGTTTGTCCGAATATTTTTCCATTTCTCAGCATATTTTACAATTTTATTTCGGTATTTTAATGAAGGAGTTAATATAGCACGCAGGCACTCATTTAGCCGGTGTAACAGGAATGGTAGTCTTCCAGGAACCGTAGTCCGTTCCCATTACTTTGTACAGGTCACATTCGCCCCATATACTAACCCCAATAGGCCTACTCCGATTAACCCTAACCTGTACTTATCATATTGGACCCCGGACTTCCATTCCCAGGACTGCCATTGCTGTGACACCGGCACCTAAACTACTTGTCATCAATAAACACAACATGCGAAGACGATTCCTTGCTTTTTTTGTATTGCTCCAATTCAATCGAAAAGCGTCGACTTAATCAGAGCATTAAAAACACCACAACACAACAATTGTAATGTAAATTATAAACAAATCGCATATGACAAAAAGCACAGGATCACCTTGTATTCTGACGCTATTATTATTATTTTAATCGAGTTTTTCTTGACTTCAAATTAGTGCAGTCAGCGTTATCAGACGTTTTTGTTTTGCAAACTCTTTCAAATCTTGATTGTTCCAATATCCGTTATCCGTTCTCAATTTTATATACGCCTAAGTGCTACCGTAACGATTTTGCTAAGGTCTTCCTTTGTGTAACACGAAAAGACTGTTATTTTCCTTCTGATTTGCTGCTTGGATAAACAGTTAATATAGTTAATCAAGTTTACTGTTTAAGAATCTCAAAAGGTCTCACTGAAATCAAATTAAATGAATAATGTGGACAAGAATTAAGAAAGAATTAGAGAAAGTGTTGGCGTCATGTTCCGCGCATTAGAACTTGTACCTATTTGATTCTTGGTGTCAAATGTGCGTCCTGTAAAATTAAGCAGTGATATAATACTGGAGCAATTTAGTTCAATAATGTATCTTCCTTTCTCGACGACTCTCTCATTATCGACTTAAGATGCGGTCTACATGATCTTCAAGGTGTTCAAGGCCCCATATTGATGTTTTCAGTTCCGCTGAACGACCATAGAGGTAGAAATGCAAATAAAATACATCAATATTGACTTAAAATAATTTCATTGCTGCCTCTCGTATTGTTCTACAATTTGTCATGATAACATCCATTATGTCACTCTGTACACATTGTTTTGTACATGTGGATAAAGGCCAACTTCACTTAACACGACCTGTCTTTCACAATGAAGAAACCTAAGCCCAAAATTGGACTAAATATTTAATCAGAAATTTGGTCTAGTTCAGTTCAAAGCAAATCCATAAAAGGCCACTAAAATAAAGTACACATTAGCCTGCAACATTGACTAGGCTTTTCTGGTTGTAAAATGTCATTCACATTGGACAATACCTGGTTTTCCTCACTAAAAGTAAACTAAAATTCTTGCCCCGGTTAAAAAAAAAAAAAAAAAAAAAAATAATAATAATAATAATAATAATAATGATAAAAACTTAAGTCATTTCAAGTGGCTAACATCTTTGTTACCAACGTTACAAGGTCACATGCACACGTCTTACCCTATCAGGAACAACGTTACAGCACTCTCATGACACCATACACATATCCTTAGCCAGGGAACTGACATATTTTTTTTTGGTAAAACCGGTGTAACGTGACAGAGTCCCCCATAACAGAGAGTCCGCTTCCCATTCATTTGTACAGGTAAGCCTCGCCCTAGATTTTGACCCACTTAGGTCAGACTAACCCTAACCATTAACTATACGGAGTTCGGACTTTCTGTTACGCGGACCCTCAGTTCCGTTACACCAGGCCTAGCCTTAAGATTTAGACCAATTCTCGGACAAAAATCATTTGTAAGCTACAAGAAGGGGTTATAAGGTCACCACATGAGGTACAACTAATCAATCCCTTGTCCCATAAAAAGTTATTTTAATTTGATAGAGGCAAGTCAGGCGTTGTACACATTGTCCTCCTGTGGTGATCTAATCATAATAAGAAAGCCTTCTGATATGGGTCGTACTAAGTTATGCCGACCCATGTTCACTGAAAACAGACCTTAGCGTACACACACAAGAACAGCAGTGACACCATTGTAATTAAGGGCCGCCGTACTGTGAGGTTATCGTAATGTCTAATAATGAGACCCAATGTCTATTTAAATTACATTAGGTCGAGCCAATTCCTCTGGTGAAAGGCCTTTAGAATATCTCCGTACGGAAAAGATATTCCATACCGCTCATTACTCAGTGAATAACGTATTGAGATATGGATCCGGATGAACGAGTGTGGAAGTGGATACTGTATTACTTTATGAATGAACAGACAGGTGGATGAGAGGGTGCGTGAATGAACATGAATAAATGAATGAATGAATGGATGAATAAATGCATAAATAAACGGGCGGAGTATGGAAGAACAATTAGCAATCGTAGGCCCACTAAAGATTTTATCAATGAAAAATTCATGAATGAATGAATTCGAACAAAACGCACATAAAAAATATTCAATTGCGTCATGCACCCCGCCGCGATATCCATCAGCCCATGGAGACCAATTACGGCATCGTCAAAACTGCACCCGATGATCAAGGTACGTGGTGATCGACGAATCTCTGTGTGTGTGCTGCTATTGATCAGCGTAACACAGCAAGCGATCGATCTCGTCACTGCCTCACTAGATACCGAGGCCGCTAACACGCAGCGCGACATTCCGGCGTCACGTAGAGCACAGCGCCGGTGGCGGGCAACGCTCAAAGCGTCACACACGTAGGGAGTACACTGCCGCTATTTATAAGGCAGTTTGTGAATAATAAGTTGCCAGTCGGCGTTCAGAACAGTGTGTATATGAGACGCGAGTGGCTTGTCCATGAGAACGCCGGATAGCCTGTGCTGACGTTAAGGGTAGTGACCAACGCAGTAACTGACCCCTTGTGTGGTCAACACTGAATGCTAGTGTTGTTGGGGTGGACAAGTTTACGAATGGGGGCCTACGGATAGCCGACCGAGGACAGGTGACTAGACAGACAGGTAAGAACACAACTGTGTTTGTATCAAATGTAGTGTTCAGTCTATAAGGTTATTAGAGTATTTGCATTAGCTGCTAAGGTCCGGTGAAGAAATCAATATTCAGTAGATATAATCTATGTACTGCACGAGAATGAGAGAGAGAGAAAGAGAGAGAGAGAGAGAGAGAGATACCTTGAAACATACTCCACGCTGACGTTGGAAGATCCATACTTACAGCAGCAATGGCATAAAGCAATAAAAAGTTATTGACAAATTACGAGTAGCTGATGATATCGTTCGTGTAATAAATAATTTGCTTAATTGTACGCTTGGCATTACTACAGTATAAGTCTAATACATGCAGTACATATAGCTGCGAGTTACTGAGTACATCAAATAGGTTACCAAGACAGTAAAAGTCAGATAGACAATACGTTCAGACAGAATTTACAAACTGCAACTGCGTATAAGACAATTACAAAGACGATCTAGTTGTCAAATCAGGCCCGTAGCCAGGGGGCCGGGGGGGGGGGGGGTCGGGGGGGGGGTTTGAAATTTTTGGCTAGCCAGCAATTTCATAAAAAAATAATTTTCAAATAAATTTTCAAATTGAAATTTGAAATTGCTGGCTACAGGCCTGCTAATGCACGTTTTTAGTGAAAATAAGAGCAGATACTTCAACGTGGGAAGTGTTAATTCAAGTCAATTAATACGCTACATATCGCGTAACGCAGAGTTGACGGAATGATAAGAAAATGTAATGATAGCTAGGCCTATATGTGGCCTTAGTATCTATTCGATATGAAATAATCATAACTGGCGCCTGATAAGAAACTCTATTAATTGATAAAATGTGTTGATAAAAAATATTATCATTCGCCTTGATGGAGTATCAAAGGTTATCGTATTTAAAATATAATGTTAATGATTTATTGGTTTATTGTTGTCAAATGCACAAGGTTCCAAAGAACTAGAATTATAAAGATATGAGACATTAAATTGAAGGGCCCCAGGAAAGATCTTGAAAATTTATTTGAAAATTTTTTTTTTTATGAAGCATGTTATCAGCGGCCCGTGTTCTGATTGATTTCATACGCGATTAGAAAATGCAGTTTATGCAAGTTATCGTCTATTTACGCTGTGTACCTATCGAAAAAATTCGATTATCAAGAACATATTTCAGAGTGCACTTTAAGTTCAAGAACCGAACGTAGCGCTGCTCGGTTAATATTTTTAAAAAATGTTAATGACGACAGGGTAATATAGATTTGGTCCTTTTGTGTTCTATTATTTTCTTTATTCATTTATTAGTTCATCCAATGAATCCAACTATTTCCTTATGCACTTAAATATTTACGCGTAATCTACTTATTCGTTTGATCTTTTACATAATTTTTCATCTTATTTCGCTGTATTATCATAATTTATTCAATGTTATTAAATATTTGTAATAATCATAATCCGTGTGTACAAACTACGTGGGGTTCTAAAATCCCACGCTCACCCTCAGGCCTAATACTACGGCATCACACTACAGTATATAATGTATATAGTATCACGACTGGTTGCTCCTTTTGTTTTAGATCAACCGTAATACCGTTTGCCAAATTCGCCTGCTTTCTCAGATTCATTGCACTTATGTATAGTATTTGTTACTATTGGATCAGACGCTACCGGCAGTGCGCGCTCCAAAGATAGTTTTGGCAATTGCAAGATGAAGTAATGGTGTGAATAATTCCTTTTGATGTTCTCGTTATAGAACGCTAGCAAGTGGCTAAAACAATAGCAGAAATTAGGTAAATAAGCGAAGGAACGGGATCACATATTGAAAATCCATGTATTTGTGCTGGAACATATAGGCAAAATGGCATAAGAGAGTGAAAAGATTTGCGTACATAAGCCAAAGAATGTGTTACGGCTTATTGAAAATCCATGCGCCTTTACAGTGATATCTAGGTGAAAGGTATGCATTATTGAGCTCTTGTTGATGTATAAATACAGTAAGGACACTTAATTTTGTTTTAAACCTTAGTATTTATAGTTTAAAGTTTGAAATCAACTTGTTAATTAAGCTATTTTCTTATTACGGTGTCATTATAACTATATTAACCACGAGGGAACTGGTTTTCACTTATATTTACGGATTAAAGATTTAGTATTTTATCTCCCATCACACTCAGATATTTTCTAAACAACTATGCATATAAGTTATATAAAAATTACATATTAATTGTATCATTAGCAGCACATTAACTGTGGTACAGTGGAATGTTGGCAAGATCCGATATTTCGTCAGCAGTCCCCGCTGTGACCGGTCCCAAGGCTGTACATGTAGTTGATGAAAAAGACTTTTGTTCTATGGTTACTAATTTGAAGCAAATGAAACTGTTCATCGGCGTTAAACTGTTTTATAAAACAAACACGAAAAAGAGCTTTTTTGCGAACGATTAGACCTCAATCCTAGATAACTGCTAAATGCCTAAAATGTGCCGTCTGTAAAGAAACCATTGTGAATAAAAAAGCAAATGTCAGGAAAATTACAATAAATCCCTAGAGCCTAGTTATAAGTTCTAAATACTTTAATTTCTTTTTGAAAATTTAATGCATATTTGACGCTATGTATTCTCAGTCATCTTCAGATTTGTAGTTAAACAGGCTTCTGGTTGTTCATATAGTAAATGGGACATTTTCTATTTGACATCAAATATTATCTTCTCACCCATTGGTTGTAACATTAGATATGGGTTTCGTGAATATATCGAACTTTTTATTTTCTTCAGTGGGCAGACGATCGACCAGCATTTTCCAAAATGGCAGACGAGAAGGCAAAGGTGAGTGCTCTCTTACTTCCTATTTTTTTTATATTCACTCATTCGATTTTGTAATTATTCGCCTGTTTATTTATAAAGTCTCTTATATTCTTATACCAAAATATGAAAATACTTCAAATGAACACAGGGGCATAAAAAGTCTCAAACCGTAACAGACACATTGAACTCAGTACGTTTTTCCTTATTTAACACAGAGGGTCACCATCTCCTTGGAACAAATAACGACAAAGATTTCGATTATCCCTCGAACACATATTTTTACCTACGATTCAATTACTACATATGTCGCAAATCGTGTAGCTTTTTTTCTAATACATGCGCATTTTGGGTATAATGAACATTTGGGGGAAATTACGTGAAGTTCTCAAACATCATACATTATTGATTGTTTTATATCGCAGTTTTAACGCTACGTTTCTCTGTTACTTGATAAAACATTAATTGCACGCAACCAGTGTAACTAATTTCCTCCTATTCAGAGCGCCGACTTGCAGTTAAGACAATTAATTCGCCATCTTCCCTGCATAATTTGCTGTATGATGACATTATTTTTCAATCTAAAAGCGGCATGAAAAAGGTTTCATTTAGTTACTTTGGTGTGCTTCAATATCAATTCCACGGTGATAGACAAAAATATATAGATTAATAAATTAATTAAAAGGAATAGATAAAGAAAACATTCTAAAAACTGAATTCACGAACGAAATATTTAAAAATTCCAAATTCTTTGATATCGGAGTCAATAGGAATATCAATCAATGCAAAGGAATATATTGCTTTGTGAGCGTAGTGGACAGGTCACCTTTCAATAACACAGCTGATCGATTGATTAAGACGTTCAATATTTTCCGAAACACTGGCTATTCTCTCGGATATTTTGATTTCATAGGCAAATCTTGTAATAGTCATGCACGACAGTCTATGAGCGACGAGATTGCGCGCTTTTCTTCCAATGGTATCCTTATGAAAACTGTTGGTAGATCATTTTTAGTGACCTAGTGTACAGCTTGTCATCATGAATACCTTGAAGTGAAATTTTACTGATTTTGTTTGATTTGATTTACAATTTTCACTTATTCATTTATCTAGAATTTGCTCAATTCATGCACTGTATAGTTTTAGCTGCTGTTGGAACTTGAAAAGGGTATTTTTGTATTGAATGCATCTATGCAAGTCATTGTAGTACTGTTCAATGAGATCTGGTGACATTTTGTCAGTGTCACCGTATGTCACTGAAAGGGACGAGTCTGCAGACAGAGTCACGAATTTAAAACTTGATCAGATATATGAACCCTGCGTGCGCGCGCGCATGTTTGTTCGTAGGGGCGCGCGTGATTTTTACATGAATTTAGAGATATCTGATCGACCCTGCTTGATAGGGAGACGACAGGTAATGTGTATTCAATATGCCACGCGGTCAATGTTAATTAGCGAAATTAAGACTTTGTATTGATAAATCTAAATTCCGATACTACAGTATTACACCAATGTGTGTACAAAGCACTTCCACAGGGGGACTCAAAAACTCGCGCTAGTGCGTTTTGCCTCGTTCTTTATATCTGAGGAATAAATACTTATGGGACTACTTTTAAAAGCTTTTTAAATTAATTTTCTTTTACACTTTTTGCCCCTAATGTATTTTTTATCCCATCTTATTTTATCTTATTTATCTTAATCGCCTTTTTTCAAAATTTTATTCATCTATTAAAGCTGGCTGTATTAAGAAATAATATACAGAGATTCAGAGATTTCTGCCAGCTGTTTGTGTGTTCCCGATCGTATGGATAAATACAACACAATTCTGGATTTACAATGTGTCTTGCATCTTTGGCGTTGGATGATTATGGTGGCCCTGGTAAGCAAAGGCAACATTCACTGGCGCTGCCTCCCGTTTCTCTCGGCTTCCCTTTTCGAAGGAACCGCTCTGGTTATTGCAGAACGTGTCTGATCTCGGTATTTAAGTGTGATGGCAAGTTCAGCGGGAGGCACAGTATTACGCCGTTTTAGGTATATACCGGTACAGTATGTGCCATCGAAATTCCATGAATGAATTATTCAATAGATAAATGAAAAAAAGGGCTAAAATTTTGCCGATTTATGCATGTTTAAGTGTTTATTTGATTCAGACTTGCTAATACAAGTTCTGTTGATGTATAAGTCAAGATTCTCCTAAGTGGTGCGAAATTTGTGGTCCACCCTGTACGTTTTCCCCTCTCTCCTCCACGTGGGGTCCAAGCAAGAGCATGAAGTGACGACCTCTATCATCAAAGAGCACACCATGTCCTAAAGCCAGGGCCCTTTGTCTGAATCATCCCCCATGACGTCACTACCCCAGTTGGAGTTAATTGCTCAATTGCGCGTGGGGTGAGAGTGAATGAACGACGGCCGCCCACTGCTTGGTTTGTTAGAGAAGAGCCCTACAATAGACTTTTAAAATCGATGGTTTATATAACGTGATATTCGGATCTTTGGCAAGAAAATTGGCAAATGTTACCCAGATTTATGAGTGTATATGTGTTAATGGCGATAGATCTTCGTCAGAGTGAAAGTGTTTGAATCGATTGAATGAAGTGTTCGGAAATAACCGGTATAACTTTTGATTTCCTTTGATGCCCTTTCAAAAATGTTAAAAAAATTGAATATCAAGTTACAAGAAAATACGTCAAGGGACGAAGTGTAATGTCTACTTTATCATACATGTATACTGCAAGAATATGACAACCTAGTTTTTTTATCTAAAAGAAAAATTGATATTTGCATTAAATTAAACAGTTTACTAGAGGCAAAATGTTAAATAAATGCATAAATTAAAGTATTGGAGATGACATTTAGGGACTCAATATACAATTGATAAGGCATAAAGTTTTGTTCGAAACCAAATGAAGTCAATAAATGTTCTAGAACTGGGACAAAACGCCCTTGGAAACCATATTCTGAGTGCCAAAACCAGGTTAATTTGACATTGGACAGTAGGGGTGAAAATATCGAATACATCGTCAAAACCTATTGTGCGGTGCGATCGTTTTGCCCCCTATGTCTGTTAAGAACGTTGTTTTAATCGGTTATCGATTTCTTGGTCAAAACAGTAGGGGTTCTTAATGGTGGTTTCACCTCAGGAGTCACCGCCTGTGGTTTCCCTACATTGACAGTGCCAAGGATTCCATCGCTGGATCTAAAAACACCCCGCTATGTTTTCACTATGGTATCAACAATAGCAAAACACCTCAAACAAAGGGTACTGAAAGTGAAAGTTATGTACATGTATACTGTGCGTAGTTTGGTCAAAGATATCCCATCCTGGATTTTCGCACTAAATCGAATTTTTCTGGAAAAGATAAAATAAAGATTTTGTTTCAATACATAACGCCGCAATTTTTGTACTCGATGACTCCTAATGGCCGCAGGAGGCAGACATTACCGTTCATTGTCAGAAGAATTGTATTTGGAGTGGCCCCTTGACAAATCGTCATTGGAAACGTGGTTGCAATGTGACCTAATGTTAAGTGGACGAATTCGATCTGGAATATTTTCGTACCAATTTCTGATATCGCTTCACTGAGACCAATAAATAACAATACATTAAAACCTTGGTTTGCGAGTGGTGTGATTTATAAAAAGGGCATCGGGATGAGGTGAGCGTATCGGGTTATTTATAGGAATTCTGTAATATTCTTGTACCCATTCATTTTGACAGTCACCTGATTGAACAATTACTACACAACGACCCCAGTATCGATGGTATGTGAGATTCCAGACTACTCGGCACCGAACTGGTTTTTCATCGTCTGAACTTAACCAAGGCCGGTCTTTGAGTGCCAAATTATGGATAACATGTCTTCGTCACTTTTCGTATATTCACATATGCAGAACATATGCATTCTCACTAAAAGGGAAAGAAAATTGCTTCATTCATTAAAGCCAAAAACTCTGTCAGACCGAACAACCTGGAAGAGACTCATTCTTTCGTTTCTGGAATGTGTTTCATGTATTCTAACACGTCATTGTGTTTTGATTAGACAGGAGTTTTCTACATTTCGCGAAAGCTTGCAAACTTGACGTCAACAATAACCATTTATTCGCACCAGCATTTATACAAAGCATCACGGCACGTGTGTGTTTCAGTGAAAATACAATGGTACTGCATTATCGAAACCTATCATTTTAGCTGATAATAAGGCAATCAATGAACAGAACAATGCAGTCATTCGACACAAATATAAAGAAAAAAGATGAATGGCTTTTAGTTCTGCGAGTACTCTATTAAGCGTTCAATGCAATATTTTACATTTAGACCCGTTTACATGTAGGCATATAAGAACAGAATAGGTCTACTATAATACCCATAATTAGGTGGAACGATGATACACGTTTGATCAGCGGTGAACAATATGTTTGGTCCGTCCTACGAAAATCGATTATTTAAAAGTGACTTGCATTTTCAAGCACCCCATGGCTCGCGATACCTTTCAAAAACATGTCGGAAATGAATGGTTGTCATTTTAATTGATGTCCATGCAATCACATCGCAAAAGGTGATAGTTTGCAGAAAGTTCGTGTTGAAATCAACATTCTCACACTTAAGATCCTTTCCCACTTTTTATTTTCATTCAACTCAACACGATTCGCCTTTTTTGAACTATCGACCGATCACGCCTTTCCTTTTAAATCTGCCTTTGGTATTGGGGCTCTTCTTTGTCCAGCGTATCGGTTCGGGACCATTGGCTCGACCCTTGAGAATCGTTGGGGTGACTTTTCCAAATGGTCTTTTTAAATCCAAAGACCAGTGGCGATCTATGGCATATTGAATATTTGGTAAATCAATAATTTAGGGCATGAAAGGTAGCCGTTAGTTAGTTAGTTCGACGTTGCATGATATCTTCAACTGATGTGAATTTTTCACTTACCAAATTTATACTTCTTTTAATTTCCAGCTGCTTTTCAATGTCAGACAACATGGTTTAAGTCAACAAATTTCAGTTGTCTTTATGTTACAAAATCCTTTATATACCTCCAGCGGAGGTTTGCTTTAAATTAATGTCATATTTGACAGAATAAATTACATTTTTGTACATCTAAAATTTGACCACTAAGCTTGACATCACTTATTCTTTCATCAAAATAATATTTTTTAAAACTTGAACCGTCGACTCATAATCATCATGAGACCTTTTAAAATACATATATTATACGCACGTATTTTTCGGTTTCTTGGTATTTTGTCTGGCTACTTCTACCCCTTTCTGTCATTGCAGCCTACTCTACGCGTGGAGGACACCATGGAAGCTGAAGCGCGCACACAGATCATGTACAGACAGATAGAGGCTTTCGAGGAAAAGGTGAAACTGAGCTCAGAGACATTTAGCGATGAGACTTTTCACAAAATGATGACGGAACTTAATAACAGTTCACTTGCCAAGAAACTTGGGGGCGTTTACTCCCTTGCCAACATTAGGAGCGTAGTGCAAGAATTAGAGAAGAACGCGAGTGCCTTAAATGAAGGAAGAGCGTCAAACAGCTCTAACTCAGGAAGCAGCTCTGGCAAGTCAACGCCAAGCAAAAGGGAGAACAAAATTTTACTTTATTTAAAATGGTTCTTGGATTATGTGACTTACATGCGGGAACTCAAGCAAAATTTTACCGAGAGGATTTTCACGCCCTTGCAGGAATATTTTTACGATGATTCCCGAGGAGACACGAAAAGTCCCGGAGTAGAGTCGCTGCTGTCGACTCCGAGTGTCACGCCCTCTAGTGCCATGATGCGCTCAGTTATCAAAGAGGAGGACGAGAAGGATTTGGAGAACACCGATCCGGCCGCAACAGCGAATCTGGAGGAATTAGACGCCCCATTGCCACCACTTCCGGGGTCTGAGCCAGTTTCCGGCGCGGCGAGCCCCGCCCTTCCCGACCCACGGGTAGCGTCATATCAAGCTCTCATGATGCTGGGGAAAGAGTTCAAAGAGGTGGCGACACTGTACGATAATACGGAACTGAAAAACGTCGCTGAACGTTTGCGTTATCTTACAGAACGGTGGGAGGTCCTTCTTGACGACGAATGTGAAATTAATCCCGATCTTTTTAGCGTTGATAGCTACGGCTCCACGGAGAGTTACATTGATGAAAAGGCAACAAACCCTAAACTTATCAATCTTGTTCGCTTCGTGCCCGATATAACTCACAAATGCAATAAAGCGGCTTGGTTAGCTAGAAAATGGCTAGAAATAGAAAACACTAAAACTCGAGACTTGAATGAAAAATTAGTAACCATCAGGCGCATACAAATGGCTGTTTCAGATAAATTGGCAGATCTGGAAAAAAGTATAGGTGGCCAGGAGTCAATTCTTCTTCATCAGATTGATGAGCTGCAGTCACTTCTTCAGCGCGAAGAGCGCTCGAGCGAACTCAATATTCAGATTTATCAAACTGAACAGAGTATTGATACTCTGAAATCACAACTGGAAAAGGCGCAGAACGAAAGGGAACAACTTGTGAAACAACTGACAGAAGCGAAACAAACCAAAGCTGAGGATTACAAAACCATCAGACTTCAATACGAACAAAATCGTCTACAGAGGTTTCTTCTGCGAAGGAACATGAAAGTGGAAAAGTACAGGAAATCTGTCTTGCGCTCTGACATGCACGTGGAGCTAGCCGTGAGACCGAGCATGATTCGCTTCACTGACCACGTGCAAGAGACGTGCGAAGAACTGGAGCAGAAGATAGACAAGTCAAAGAAGGAAAAGAGAAAACTCGAGCACGCCATGATCCCTCTGCAAGAGGACCAACACAAAGTGCAGGAGAAGTTATGGCGGCAACAGGAAAGCAGACGACCCAGCGTCTCCGATCCCGCCACCAGCAATAACAACCTGAGGGAGCACTTGAAAGAAACCAGCAGACGACCCGCGTCTTCTGCCAGCAATATGAGCGCGCGAACCCAAGACGCTAGCGTCCAGACAGTGATTTCTCGCCAAGAGCGGGTCACGTCTGCGGACGAGGCCATGCTGGACGTACATAACATGCAATTCAGTCCCTCCATGTTGCAAAAAATAAAGGAGGTGAAACTTTAGCGAGTAAAGGGATTTCTGTGGAAGTCCAGTATTAAAAGAGGACACACATTGTTAAATTTGCATTTAGCGTTGGACAAATGTTTGCTCCAATGTGAATTATTTCAGTGTCATAATCGGCATACATCCATGACGACATAGCAATAATTTTACATGTGAGTATCTTTGTTATTCGTTTTTATAAGTGCATTGGAGGTTAAATGTATTTTCATACTTGTCAGACATGCAGTGCAGTAAGAAGAATTTAGCCGAATTTTCTTAAAGAATTGATTTATTGTGTTTTCGAAGCATTGCGGCCCAACTGTCGCAATGCAGAATGTCGAAACCCGTTGAACGACGTTGCTCCCGATTAATTTCTGTTCACTGAAAGGGTACTTTTTATAACAAGAACATCATGTTTCTAAATGACGGTGTATTGTTATGTTAGAGGACAGGAATCACAATTCAAATATGTAGACATTGTACTGTGAAACTAAAAACTCAGTTTAAAGGGCACCTGTCTCGAAGCCCATAAAAGTTATGCCTAGGGACGCTTGGTTGGCAAAGGAACTATGCACATTATAGTATATGTTCATACTATGCAATTACCATGATGGATTTATTAGTGCATTCAAGTGAAAATTTACAGTGCTCTCTTTTGCTCAAGGTTTTAATTTTTTACCATGCAAAGCACTTCTTCGATGTATTTATTACGTTTGTAGAATGAATAAATAATCAAAGTAAACGTCTATAGTTAGATTGTTCTTCGACATTATTTTTCATGGTTTGTAATTTACACCTTTTTGCCTTTTTGTGTTTAAGAAACCATGTTGATTTTGGCCAGATTTTTGTCAGGATAAAAAATTAAGCCAAATGATGCAGCAAATCACCATTAGTTTATATTCTCCTAGATATAAAATTGCTTTGTGGCGTTTAACTTGAGCCAAGATGAAGATGATTGTGAAATAAATAAGTGCTGCACTGGGTTGAAGACAGACAAAAATAAAAATAAAATAAATAATGGCCCCAAACAAGCGGACTGTGGCATAGATATTGAATTACAAATGTCTCTCTCCTTCTCTCTCTCTCGATAATTTTTTTCTAAGTTTATTCGAAGCTAAGCACAAATGAAACTAGGTTTCATATGTTTTAAAAGTGGCTTACCGCGTTGTTTACGCCAAGAATAACTTATATTTGTAATAGCTCTAGAAAAACTTAACTGTACTACATGTATAACCTAGACGAAAAATAAAGCATTATGTAAAAGCCGCCGTGGTTTTATAAACAAACCGTCTTGTCAAATCTTTATGGCAATCTCAGCGGTAATGCGTGCGTACTGTTTACCGTCTATTATCGACAGAAGTCCAGCTCCAAAAGGGGGCTATATCCACACTTCATTAGCTATCATAACTATGTTGACAATCGGGACAAAAGCTACTATTTACCTTTCACGTGCGCATGCGTCGACTCCTTAGCAACGCCACAGCCATGTGTACTCGGGACCTGAGTTAAGATTTGTTCACCAAGCGAAGTCAAAGACAGGCTGATAACACAGGGGAAGGCGTTCTAGAAGAAATGAGGTGAGTTAAGTCGATTGCAGTAGGTTTTGGTTTAACTGGCACGTTCTTGCTTGACTGTGACTTAATTAAGTCCCAGATTAAATGTTCGATCATTTCATTAAGCCCCATTTGATCATATTACGCTATATTAGTAGGTAATTGACTATCGATAAAAATTAGCTTAGACAGTGAGCTCACTTGCTACTGGGGTTGATGATAATTTAAAATGAAATTGGTGCTTAATAATTTAATTCTGGGTTAATACGCTATCACCTGTCAGTCGAGGAAGAATAAGTATGAAAGATTTCTCTTTTACAGTTACTAAATAGTATTTGTGATATCACATTAAACATAAGCTGAAACAGTTGACTAGCAAAAGCTACCGGTGTTGACTAGGACCTACGGTGCATAATTTAATCTTGTTCTCGCATCATTCAGTTTGGACTGATAAGTGAAAAGAAATGGATCCAGTTTCACAAAAGTATTCCAGTCGTAGGACCTTACAGTCGTCAGCTACTGTATAGCCACCGACTAGAATTATGTTGCTATAAAGTTGAATATTGGTGTAAAACTTAAAGCATTTCTGACTTAGTGTGAAACAGACTCGGATATCAATGCGGGTGGACTAGTGTTGATTTTTTCGTGGGACGGAATGATTGAATATGTTTGGTCTCAATTAAAACCGACTGATATTCTACTGCAAAATCATCCTCTGCATGGTCCAGTAATTAAGGGTTTCATGTCAAACAGTCAACGTATAAATATAACTGCCTGCTACATGTAGGAACACCCACTAGGGAGTAATCGGTTTATAATGACTAAATTCTGACTTAGCTAGTATAGGTTACATAGGAAAAGATACGAATAGATCTTAATGCTAGGTATAGCAGGTACGTGTTATCTCAAGGCTTTGTATTTCCCCACATAAACACGAACCTTTACAGACGGAAATGATAGGAAACAGGTGATTCACAATTCACAATACCAACAATAGATTTAGTGGTGCAATAGGCGCTGCAGTGAGGCGTAAAGCACGGATATCTTAACATTCAGAAAGATCAAAGTTCATTAATCCAAGTGTGCTGGGCGTAAAAAATACGAAAAACGGCGTTACATTTTTATGTTATGATTTAAGATATAAGCACAGGATAATTATGGCCTGAAGTTATACGCTGTACATACGGCAGCTGGTTGACATCCAATGCCTCGAAGGAAAATGTCTAGACGTCCCCTTTTTGTAGCCAGACAGGTTAAAAAACCGTGGGGTATATACTGGAGTAGAACTGAACAAATGAATGGAATTTCAGAGGCACATTCTCACCGTGGCCATGTCTTGCCAAATAACTGAAAGTGCTATTTATAGCACTACCCTCTCATGTTTGTGTGTGTGTGTGTGTGTGTGTGTGTGTGACGTGTCAGAGAGAGAGAGAGAGAGAGAGAGAGAGAGAGAGAGCAAGAGAGAGAGAGAGAAAACGTAAAGGGAGAGTCCATTCGCTAAAGAACACATTTAAGATACACGACCATGTTAACCACTAGTATTTCACATTTCCAGAAGACATCTACGGTGACGATGTCGGTTGTCGTTGGCAGACGGAGCGCCCCTGCGGGGATTGGGGGCTTACAAGAAACTTCGGGTCCCACGGGAAATAATCGCCTCAGTGGGGACAGACAGAGAGCACGGACAGTCAGTACAGTCACCAGTACTCTAGGCCTGGTGCCTTTTGGGTTTGAATCCAGGACTTCCTTCGACGCAGACGAGACTTTACAAAGACTGCGCAGCGAAAGATACGTGTTTAAACCTCCCCCGAAGGAGTTCGATATATGGAAAAAACCGCCCCCAGATTTTCGGGCGCAGTGTTACGAACCCAACCCCCCAAAGAGATGCTCACGGGAATCTATGAAGCCCTGGAGATATGGGACATTCCCGGGTCAACCAAAGCCTAAGATAGACCGGGAGAAAGATAAACCCCTACCTCAAGTGCTTAGACCAAAGAGGGAAAGATCTGCAAAACTTGTCACGGCGTTCCGTATCCCAGACGCCTGGGAAGCAAAGCGCGTGTTCCCCACGACAGGTCAATACGAAGCTGGTGTATACGAGCCTCCTAAACCACATGACCACAGAGGGGTAGGTTGTTTGAATGTGACCTTTATTTTTCCCTGTCATTTCTCTATTTATTTCTCTGGCTCTTTTAATAATTTTCTTAAAGTGAACCGTTACAATTAATTTTGGACACGGTAATACGTTTGTTGTTTAAAAGTTTTCTTTCTATCTAAACTATGATTAAAATGTAGTATTAAATGTCAAAGTGTTTTGATGTATTAAATTTTGTGCATATTTCGAGAAAGGTGTCCCATCTCCTTTTTTATTAATTTTATTTTTCAGATCTTTAAAAGTGCCTTCTCATCGGCATATAGCACACAGTATATTTATTTCTTTGTTTAAATTCCAGCTGCCTCCTATTAAGACCCTCGGGCTGGACGAGTTTGACGTCTACTATGACAAAGATCCCTACAATATTTACTTTAAGACAAAAACGCTCAATATAAGTGAGTATACGTGCTTAATGGGTAACTATTTGATCTTTTCCAACAATAATACTTTATTTGATAACTATGCAATTTCTCTAAATAAGAGCGACAGTAGCTTAAATGTTGCTACTTTTGTACCGAACCGAATAGTTTAATAAGAACGCAAACACCATTTGCTGCCTAAACACTTCAGTTCAATCTATGAAAACGTACCCTATTATTACAAAAAAAAAAAAAAAATAAATAAATAAAAAAAATAAAAAAAAATCGATTTGAAAAGGAACACAACAAAAGAAAAACTAAAAAGTAAAATTGCTCATACGTATTTAATATTGTGATTTACTGAATATTTTGTTTCACTCTTCCAGTTCATGGTTTAGACACCGTACCACTGCGAGATTTGAGTGGAGAAAAGATGGCGCCACCCGCCAAGTACGGACCTAAGTGGGAGAAAGAACTAATACTTCCCACTGAGCCTTATCCAAACAAACACTGTGAAACAACGGTGAGTATGCGACAGCGAATTATATATATTTTATACATATTATACATATAATATTATGGTATATTTTCGTATAAAAATGCAAAAGGTATAAACCTTAGGAAAATGGTTCTTAACATTCTCATAAAAAAAAAAACTTGAAATTGAAAATAAAAGTATGAGAGAGAGAGAGAGAGAGAGAACTAGGACAGAGAGTAGTCAGGGGGTGTTCGCGACAACTGTTTAATCCATTCATTTTCTTTCTTATACAGCGTCACAGACGCCTTCGAAGATCGGTCCAGAGCGCCCTCTACGAGCGTATAGAAAATAAACTAAACGCACAGTGGGCCAAGGAGCAGTTAGAGAAAGCGTTACAAGAAAGTGCCAAAGCCACAAAAAAGGAAGCCGACTCGAAAGGCAAACGGGTCACGTGGCAGCAAGAAAAAATGACAGATGAAGCGGAATTGTTGGACGGCTAGAAATGACATTGTTGGTAACGTCAAACCGCTCCCTATTGAAAGGTGCATTTTAACTTTAAAAAGGGGGGTAAAGAAGACAAAAGAAAATGTAGTGTATTAGAGAAGCCGAGGTCATGCGACCTAGATTTATTTCACCTCATTCATTCAGTTGGCTGTTTGCTCAGTAGGATTTGAGATTCTGGCTCAATGTAAGTTTTGGCTTTCCACGTGCCATTTGAAGCACGCATGTTCGTCTTCACAGTATCAGGTCTTCGTTTTTTTTTTTTTTTTTTTTTTTTCATTTGAAAAGTGGTCTTCACAGTATCAGGTCTTCGTGTTAGATTCCAGTTTTGTAGCTGTGCATTTTTAAAGAGCGTACCTACAGTATATGTATGCCCGCAGTTAACGAAGATTTTTTGTATTAGTTTTGACAGCATTGAGGGGGTATTTATATTTTAGACACATCAGTATTGGTTACATTCAGTACTTTATAGCGAGGGGGTGTTCAAAATATTTGATGCTTTTTCAAATGGGAATTCAAATTTCGAAGAAAGGAGGAATGTCTTTCGGTCGAAAGCTCAGACTTCGGGGGTTCTACTCCTGCACCTCTCTCAACTCGCCCCTGTAATGTTTATTAAAATAAGGCAAGTCTTAATCAATGTGATGTGAAATAATCAAAAAGTTATTATTTTTACTTTTTTATCGCTCAACATTCCAAAAGTGGTGCCATTAATTTTCAAATGGACAATTTTTATTCAAACATAGGGTTTATTACTTGTGACATAGCAAAATGTAAACATCACGGGTGTAAATATGTTTTTGGAGCGCTCTGTGGAAATTCTACGTCACTTACTGTGCTTCATTATTTGTGATAACGAAAGATAAATTTTTGCTAAAATTATTTAGTACTACTTTGTTTTTTAACTGTGATTGGGTACTAAAATTTGTACTTCAAAGAAGAAGTTAATTTGGCGCTGGGGTTTTACATGATAATTTTACGTTTGCAATTACTAAAAATAAAAATATCTGTTACGTGGATGCTGACACAAAGCGAGAATCGCTTCGTGGGTTTTTGTTATGTCACGCAATGGTTCTTATGTGCTTTATTATTGTACAAGCGAAATGTGTGCGTATGCAATTGTAAAAAATAGCTCTGAACACGTCTTAGTACGTTCAGTGCGCGTACTTTTTGTCGCAATAATGTTTTTTATTTTTAATGTATGTTTTGATACTGATATTTCTTCCTAATAAAATTGTATTGTACTTAAATAATAACCACTGTCTGTTTTGATTGTCGAAGGGAGGGGGGAGGCCAATATTGCCAATTTAAAAGAGTAATATAAACTGTACGAAAACGCAGGATATATACAAAGTTGAGTCTTGATAATAAAGATAATTTTAGGCAATAGGCCTTCTCTTCGCAATCTCAACTGTCGCATTTGACTCAGCCGCTGTCTTTATCTCAACTGTAGCAATAGTTAGATCAAAGAACCTTCCATTACCCTCTAGCAGGGCCACAGATTGATTTTTCACTAGATATTAAGAGATATGTCTCTGGTTAAATAGATGGCTAATCTCTGTACTGTCGCCTCAGCAACAATGTCCACAGAATAATAAATGCGGCCCTGGTGGTGGGTAACCTTTCATCAATATGCTCCCGTCCGTAACTGTGAACTAGAGGACAGCTGAGTGTTGAAGTCAACTCCAAACTTCTGGCTGTAGAGAAAAGTGTATAAGCCAAAGGCATGTATGGTAAAATTTAGTAAAAATCAATGTGGCCCCCGGGCCCGGAAGATATCCGCCCGTGCTCGGTTTGCGCGGTGATGACGTGAAAGCCAGTAAAAATGATTTCAAATACAACGATGATTATGATCATGCCTGTTGAAAAGCTCACTATTTTACTTGAGATTTTTGGTATATTTTGAACAGCTAAACTGCCATCGAGATCTTTTTCATCAATTTGATCTAAATATCTCAGCGGGGATTCTTGCTCAGACGCAGTCAGTGCGATCAGCTTAATTGTCTAGCACGCCCTCTCGCAAAGCAACATGAACAACATCATGGACCACCAAGTTTTCCTGACTTTACACATGAGTACTTACTTTATTAACACAGCCTCTACTCGAGAAACTTGGGTTTCATTTTAATATTCATATCACAGACGCACACCCATCTACCAGTACCGGTTATATACAGTAGGTAGACCGTGAGGTGTTTTTTCATAAGACCTTATTTGTCCAGTCACATCAGTTGCCCGACGTTTAGAAAATATGCAACCCTATCTTTGGAAAATAGCTAACTGAAATCGCGCCATTAAAATGAAATTTTCGGTAACAAAAAACAAATGGTCGCTACTCAGGTGTTGTAATACTGCAACCCCGCTTTTTAACCATAAAAAATGCAAACATTTTTTCTTTTTATGCATATGGCGAGCCTTAGAGCACTTTGCATTACATCTGTGGGCTCTGTATTATTTCTTTCATATCTTGTGCGTTCTGTTGGGGGTTCAATGCCTTTATTGTCTCCAACAATAGTATAAGCAGATTTACCTTGTCCCGACTATATATACATGTAGCTGGCGACCTCATTTCAGTCAACACTATGTGAAACGTGCTGTCTAAGGCATGTTTATTAAGTTCGCAGACTGTGGAATTCTTAAAATACCTGACCTAAAAAAGCTACACACACTNAAGCCATGGATGCTTATGCAGTCCCACACCATGATGAATATGCTGCTCCGGGTTCGAAAATTCAGTGCATGTGGTTCAAATGCTTTACCAGCAGTTTGCCAGCATAGTACCCGTCTGTCATCAGAGGTCAGACCAAAGCGACACTCATCAGAAAAAAATATATAGGACCAATTGTCATGAACTGTCCAGTTCCAGATCCTGTTGACCCTAGTTTACTCTACGTTGCCTGTTTTGTAACGATATCAGAGGTTTCAGTCGTGCTACCCTGCTGTACACTCTCAGAGCAAGTAACCGACGCCTAGCAATTTTCACAGACACATTCTTATGTGTGAAATTGTTCCACTGTGTTGTCAACTGACAAGCAGTGTCGAACTTTGACAACCTGGACATCAAAATCAGTCGTCGGTCTTCACGGCCAGTATTTTTTTCTTTGACGACCCATCAGAGGCAATTTGTCTCTTGATTCAGTGTTTCTATACCGAGACCGGACCCTCTGCACGGTTCTGACTGAACAATTCAATTGTATCGATATTCTGACATTGCTTATATTCCGCCTCTTCAGGTTAATAACTTGCACCTATAACCGTTAGATAATTGCCTGTATCTTGCCATATTGGAGGAAGACAGGAATAACATTTGCTGTACATGTACAAGACCAACAATACAATTCCATGGTATAGCGTTTTTATACTCATTAGTCACATTATAAGTAGACCAGGCATTATAAGTACCCAAGATCTGCCTACTTTTATTACTCTGAGGTAGGGGGTGACACTTCTTTTGTCCAGTGTGTGTAGTTGCGCCATAGCACTGTTACGTTACGTAGGGTCCCATAGAATAAAAAAATATATGGGATTCTATGGAAATTTAACGACATTCATTTACTATACGTTAACCGATTTGATGGCGTTATTTTCCTTTACGGTTGACTAGGATGGCATTGTAAGATCGTTTTATGTGGTTTTAAAGTTTATCACACCCGTTTTTAAACCATGTAGCGTTTTTTACGACAATCGTTTTTTAAGCAATCGAGCTAACAGCCGAGCCTGCTTCCAGAATGGCTGACACATCCCCAAAAAAGGAGCACGACTGGACGTCTGAAGTTGTCATAAGACAAGCTCAAATGAGCGATGTTACTGGGATCTTCAACCTCATGAAGGAGGTCCAATGGAATTTCAGTAAAGACACCATCGCCACTTTGCTAAAAATCGTTGAAGAAGGCGGAGAGTTCATAGTTGCAGACTTGAACGGGCTGGTTATTGGTAAGGGCGTTTCTCTCTCTCTCTCTCTCTCTCTCTGCTAGGTTTCGTTAAATGAAACCCTGCCCACTCTGGTGGCGGGGACCTGAGAACAGGCTTAAAGGCCGTCGTTCTGTGAACTCCTTCAAAAGAGGAAGCTGCATATTAATGTTTCATTCGAAAATTTGACCTCCTATCTGACTCTTTCAATCAAGAAGAGGTCACCGTTAAACATTTAAGAGCACTGGCAGGGACTGGTTCAAATGCAACATGTGCCTTGAATTAGCAGCCTTACTGGGCTAAATAAAATGTGCTGGAGCAGTAATGGTATCTATAGTTATCTGGATATGTTTCTAGCACAGCTGCTGAAATCTCTACTAGTATTATAAAAAATATGCAAATTATCCCCGACCTATGGGAAACTTCGTAGTCAGCCTACATGTATGTGTGCGGTATTTTACTAAAAAAGTAACACTACTACTACTACTACTATTTAATAATGATTAAATTGTCTTTAAATTTTCTTTAAAGTCTGAAATCGATCAAAGATTTACATGAAAAACTTCACAATAGCATTAACAATTCCAAAAAAAGTGTTTTTGAAAATCACGATTTGAAAGAGAGTTTACCAAAATACTATTTTCAGTTTAGTATTAGAAGTATACGAAGACATAAAGTACTGTGAGTATTTCAGTACTAGAATTAAACGATTTCCGTTGAAGATAGACGAACTAATTGTCATTTGCATGATTCAGGTGCTCGTGTCGTCTTCATACTAGACCACGAGACTGCGTCTGTTGGATTTTTCGCTGTAAAACCTGAATATCGAGGAAAGACTGTTGGTAGGTAGCCTGCATAGAATAAGTTGTTTGTTAAACTTTTGAGCAAAAACATAGTCAAGCTAAAAAAGCACTCAGGGATTGTATACTCCACCAAGACAAATAATTAACCAATGATAAACCATTAATTGATAATTGGACCATCACTAAAACCATATTGCATTTAGTTCAGGCTATGAATGACGTATCCTTAATATTTCATCAAAATCCATCCATAGCTATTTGCATAATGATGCTAACAGGAAGACAAAGTAGCAAACAGGCTAACAGAACCAAAAACTAAAACGAATTCTGATTGGTTCCAGCCAAGCAAATAGCAGCCCGTGTCCAGAGCATTATAGGGGAACGGAACCTTATACTGTGGTCATTGCCACCACGGATAGCACCAAATATGAAAGTTGGGATGCAGCTGAGCAATGGAAGTTACTGTCGTTTATTCTACTGCCGAGGAAAACTGGACCTTACAACACTTTCCCCAGAACAAACAGCAGGTACGTTGTAGCATGGACCTAATGGTTGTAGTCAATTTATAATGATTTTCGGAAGAGACTCCAGGGGGATCAAAATCTGGAATTAAGTCCAGGGGTTGCATGGTTTAACGTTATTGGCTGTTGTAATGCATGTTTGCAAAAGTGTGTGTGTGTGTGTGTGTGTGTGTGTGTGTGTGTGTGCTTTGGTGGGGGTGGGGGTGGGGGGTTGGGTAGGGGTGGGGGGGTTAAATGCAGACGGATAAAATGTGCATTGGTTTCTTTAAAGTATCAAGTTTAAAATTATAAAATTAGTCTAAATATGTTAAACTTTATTTGGTGGAGATGTTATGTATGTTTTTACTAATATTAATAATTTTGTTGTGTGTTTATCTTCTCGTCTGTTTAAAGAGCGTACATACGTATTGCTCAGCACTGACTGAACTCAACTTGGCAGATTCACTTTCTGGGTAGCTTTTCACAGTACATATCTTTGACCATCTTACATACATATATATATATCCATGTACATAGTCTGAACGCCTTACGGTGGATCAACAGAATCAAACTTATTATAACACTTGTAATGACGTAAATATTATCTCAGTGAAATTAATTTTAAAGTTACTAGACAGTATACCTAGCCAATATGTAGATAACAAACAGCAAAAACATTGCAAAAAAAAAAAAAAAAAAAAAAATAAAAAAAAAAAAAAAAAAAAAAAAAATATATATATATATATATATATATATATATATATATATATATATATATATATATATATATATATAGTTAAAAACAATAATAATTGTATATAGTAAAGCACTCAGATATACCTCCTTGTGGCTGAGACTGTTTTGCAAGTTTTGCAAATAAGAACTTCACCGAATCCTGGAAAGAAATTTACTATTCTGGATGACGAAAAACGCGGGTTTAACGCTTACATGTAAATACATTTTATTGTTACTCACCGAAAGCTGCTTTATAAAACTCAATTACCTTTAGCATCCAGAGGCACAATAAGAAGCTTGTCGTAGTCATCGCTGCTATATATTGGTGACAGTGACAGCAGGACGTGCTTGAGGTCTTTAAACTCTGCCTGAAATGTTGTGTCAGTGATGCCAGGACTTCCATGCATGTGGTTATTGCGGTAAGTCTTCACTCTACCAATGTTGGCCTCTATGGAGGTGTCGGAAGCTGGTGGGTTTTCCCATTTAGCACGAGGGTTCAGATTGGTGATGTTTCGTAATAAAACAGCTGCCAGTGTAATATCTAAGTCCTGCGTTGTGACAGTAGTTGAAGGGGTGCCAGAGGGGTACAGGAGTTTCATTTGACTCGAGTTCATTACCTTTCTCTTTTTCAATAACAGAAAGGAATGTTTGACTTGTTGATTGTCAAGTACGTCAAAAAGTTTGTCAGTTTTATTTGGATCAAACAATCCTGGATACGCTGCTTGTAGCTGAGTCCTGAGAACATCTCGAAGCACGTCAGTTGCATACTCTAAGAGCAGTTGCATGCGGAAATAATTTTCTGTTTCATTTCTTGGGATTTCAGGGGGTATTCCAGCTGTTGTTGCCATAGTTACCTATCAACCCATATGGTCTTACACCTGTGAAAATGAATACAATATATCAGAATGGCTGCTAAAATATTACCTGTAAACCTACAGGTACAATAAGTGGATCATCTACAACAATGTACTGTAGCTGTACGGCTGGTGTGACCGTAACTGGCGCGTTTAAATATACTCCTCAATGTCTTTGTACTTTAAATGCAAATTTCGTTTTTCGTCACGGTGAAAATTTTGGTCACCGTGTGAGAATTATGACCTTGAATGCATATAGGGGCAGTCCTTTAGATATTTCAAATCAGATGGCTATTGAGGCATTTCTGAAAGGTCTTTTGGATAAAGATATTGTGGACAAAATTTTGTTCATGGAGCCAACAACTCTTGAACAAGCTATTGAAAAAGCCTGCAATTTACATGCCAATATGCAAATCTATGGTCATAAAACCTCACGTATTAGAAAGGTATCTTTTGGGAACAGTACGGTGAAGATGAAGGAGATAATGCGCAGGTGAGAAATGCTCAGATAGATGTTCAACGTAAAAGTGATTTTAACTCGCCTATGAAAGCGCAGTACATTGACCAAGTTGTATCACGTTTAGAACAATGTGTTGAGAAGTTGTATTCAGCAATACCGAAAATTCAGGTGTCACAATCACCAACAAAATTGTCTCCTTCAAGGTCTCCTTCACGGTCCCCTTCACAAAGGTGTTACAAATGTGGTGAGCTTGGGCATTTCATCAAGAATTGTCCAATTGATAAGTTACAGCTAAAACAGTTAAACAGCCCCAGGTCGGGTGTGCGGTCCAACAACCGACCACTCAGTCAGTAGGACGTCTTGGTTGTGACAATGATATTGCCCCTGAGATATTTTGTTATCACAGTGATAAAAAGGGGGCTAGCTTAGTAGTACCAATTACAGTAAATGCTATAGCAGTACATGGTATAATAGATACAGCTGCTCAAATTACTGTTATTAGTGAAAGAGTGATTGCTCAGATGACGGGGCCATTACAATTTGGAAAAAAACTGGAAAATTAAAGGTATTTCAACAACCAGTGTTTTAGCTGCTAGAGAAGTGAAAGGTATTTCCATTGTTATAGGAGGTAAAGAATACAAATGGAATGTGTAAGTAGCTCCAATTGAGGATGATGTTCTGATAGGGTTAGATTTTTTAAAACAACATAATGGCCATATTGATTTGAAAGATAGAATTTTACGGTTATGTAACACCAGAATACCTGTTGAACTACGATATTCAGGGTGTAGTGTAAGGAACATTGTGTTAGATAAGCGCACTATATTCCCTGCGAACTCAGAGGTAAGACTGGGAGTGTTTTGTGAAGCACAGTCTGATACAACATATGTTTTGAATGCACCTCAATATAATCACCATGGTGTTATGATACCATATATAGTTTTTAAGACGGGTTCTTCTTCAAAGACCTTTTCATGCCCAGTTGTTTGTAGGAATGGCAGTGACAAATCCATTACTTTAAGAAGAGGGCACATAGTCGGCTATATTGAAGAGATAGACAGAGTTATTGATGACAAAGAATTGCAGTTGTCAGATGAGTATAAAGTGTATACTGCTGGGGTAACTTCCAATGACAATATGGATAGTTTTGATTTACCTGAACATATTCCTGAATTGTGGCAACGGTCGAGTGACAATCTTACCAATCTCAAGAGTTGAGGGAAATTTTAGCACCAAATAATGATGTTTTTTCAAAGAGTGATTTTGATATTGGTTGCTTTGACAAAGTAAAGCACAAGATAGATACAGGATCGTCTCACCCAATTAAACAAAAAATGAGACGCACCCCATATGGCTTCGAGTCCGAAGAAAAGGCCCATCTAGATAAATTACTTGCGTCAGATGTTATACAACCTTCCTCTTCAGAATGGGCTTCGCCGCCCGTGTTAGTTAGAAAGAAAGATGGGTCAGTTAGACACTGTATTGACTACAGGGCACTGAATAAGATCACAGTAAAGGATGTCTATCCCATTCCACGAATTAAGGAGTGTGTGGATGTATTATCTGGTACATGTTGGTTCAGCACGTTGGACATGCTCTGTGGTTACTATCAAATCGAAATAGACGAACAGAGTCGAGAAAAAACGGCATTTGTCACAAAATATGGCTTATTTGAATTCAAGAGACTGGCGTTTGGTCTTTGTAATAGTCCGGCCACATTCCAACGGTCAATCAATTTAGTCCTTAGAGGATTAACTTGGAAACATGTCTTGGCTTATGACATTGTTGTTTTAGGCAGGGGTTTTAGAGGAACACTTGGAAAATCTGGCCATGGTGTTTAAGCGGTTTTGCTAACATGGTCTGAAGCTGAAAGCAAAGAAGTGCAATCTATTTCAGAAGCAGATGGTATATCTGGAAAAAGTAGTAGACGAGAATGGTGTATCAGCTAATCCAAATAATGTAAAAGTGGTACAAGACTGGCCTACACCAAAGTACAAAAAATAGGTAGAGCAGTTTTTAGGCCTAGTTAATTATCATAGAACACATATTAAGGATTTTGCGAACATAGCACAGCCATTGTATGTTTTAACAAGTAAGGGCATACGTTTTAAATGGGAATAAAAACAAAAGCTGGCCTTTGCACGTCTAAAACAGGCATTAGTTACCAGTCCAGTTTTATCATTTCCAAGAAACAACGGCATGTTTATCTTAGATACGGATGTCTCAAATGAAGCTATCGGTGCTGAGCTGTTGCAAATTCAAGATGGGGAAGAGCGTGTGATTAGTTATGGTAGCTATTTGTTATCTCCAAGTCAAAAGAAATATTGCACGACAAAGAAAGAATTGCTCGCTGATGTGAGGTTTGTACGCCAGTATAGACATTATCTGTTAGGCAGGGAATTTTTAGTTCGTACAGACCATAGTATTTTAGCATGGTTAATGCGATTTAAGTCCCTGACTGGCATGTTAGCAAGATGGATAGAAAAGCTAGCCCAATTTAGTTTTAGAATTGTTTACAGATCAGGAGGTAAACATACCAGTGCCGATGCATTATCTCGCATTCCACAAGAATATCCATATTGTGATCAATACATAGACGGCTGCGATGTTAGCAAACTTCCATGCATTCGATGTCACCATTGTAAACGAATAGAGGAACAATGGGGCATGTTTATTGAAGACGACGATATCATCCCATTATCAGTTAGAACAGTTCAATCTAGTTGTGGGATTCAGTTATTATCAATGCTTTCTCAGGAGCAACTTAGACAAAAGCAGTTAGAAGACCCTGATATCAAGGTTATTTTATTTTGGATTGAGAATGATTTACAGCCTAACAAAAGGGAAATCAGTCTTCAATCACCAGCTGTCAAATACTACTGGGCAAATTTACAGCTGCTACTTTTGAAAAATGGTATACTGTATCATCAATGGCAAAATCAAAATTCAGTGATACCTTGTTATATAGTGCCCAGGGAATTGAGAAATGAAGTATTGAGGTTATATCATGATCCTGTGTCTGTTTGTCACCAAGGGATTACAAGAACATTATTCAAATTACATCAATCTGTATACTGGTACGGTATGACCACTGACTGTAAATTGTATGTACGAGCATGCAGTGATTGTTGTAAAAGCAAAAAGGCAAATAGAAAACAAAAAGCACCATTAACAAATTACCATGCAGGTGCTCCGGGTGAAAGAATACATGTAAATATACTTGGTCCCTATTACACTAGCGAGGCAGGCAATAAATACATATTAGTGTTACTCTGTCAGTTTACAAAATGGGTAGGGGCATACCCTATCCCTAACCAAACGGCAGAGACAGTAGCTACGGTGATAGTTAACAACTTTATTTCACGATTTGGTTGCCCGACATACTAACATACTGATCAAGGGGCAAATTTTACCAGTGTTCTTTTTAAAAAGATATGTAGGTTAATGGACAACTCCTTATAGGCCTTGTTCCAATGGGCAAGTAGAGAGGTACAATCGTACGTTATTACAAGCAATTAGATGTTTTTAGAGGGCTGTGTAAATCATTGGGATGTGCATCTACCTCACTTAACTAGCGCATTAAGAGCTGTCCCAAATAAGCAAACGGGCCTTACTCCCAATATGATGATGTTGGGAAAAGAGACTAGGCAACCTGTTGATTTTATGTTACAAGTGACCGATTTAGAGCTGTCAGAGCCTAATAGTTATACTGCTACATTAAGAGAAAGGTTGGTTGCAGCTCATGACATTGCGAGAAAATGTTTAGGTACATCATTAAAAATACAAAAACAGTATTATGATGCACACACCTATACTCACAAGTATTCAGTAGGTGGTTTAGTTAATAAGATGTATTGTGGAGGTAAGGCTGGACAGTCCAAAAAGTTACAGCCATTATGGAAAGGCCCTTACGTGGTCAGTAAATCTCTTTCTCCAATATTGTATTCCAGTGAGATTGCAGAGGTTACAAAAGAAACTATGTGGTGGGGTCAAAGAGAAATTGGAGGAAATTGTTTCAATGGAGGAGGATTCACAAGAGGATTCACCGATATCAGATACATTGCACTGTGATTCTCCGGTGGTGACCAGGAGTGGCCGTAAGGTGATCCCCCCAGTGAGATACAAGTGTTAATTTTTATGATGACATGGATTTTAAACTTATAGACACCTGTTGTGCTTTCAATGTGTAATTATGTGTTAACAGCGGGGACTATAGACTATATGCTTTGCAAGTGAGCTGGAAAGACTTTGTTATTATAATGATTCAATAACTTCAAGGATGGTGAATCAGTGACTTGAAACTGAACAGTTTATAAAGGACTGTAGTAACTATACACAGTGTCAGACTATGTTTATGTGTATTGATATTTTGTAATAAGAGTAATTTGTTAGATACTCTGATATATAATAGTTTAAGTTAAAGGTTGCGTTTATATATATATATATATATATATATATATATATATATATATATATATATATATATATATATATAATTATTCCATAATGTTAATCAGTGCTTTTTATATCACTATTACCAGTAGTAAAAAAGGATAAGTAACATTTAGTTTTTTAAAAGGTTCAGTATGTTTGTATGTGAAGTCTCAATAAATGGATGTGGGCTCCTTATTATACTTGGTATTATAGCCATTATAAAACGAGAATTATTTTTATAGAATATAATTATTATATATTATTGTGTATTACCTTTCTGATTTCTTTAAAAATAAAACGGGGAAGAATGTTGTAATATGTGCATTGGCGCGTCTTGATCACGTGACCTTATAGCGGATAGAGGTTATGTGGTGCGCCATGTTAGATCACACATGTGCAACGTTTTCCTCGTTGATTTTATTTGAATTGAAACACAAGACATTGTCACATCATTAATGATACATGTATTTTTGTACATGGCAGAATCAATTAAAAAGCCTCTCAAGATATTTTTTAATTAAATGTTATAATGTATGACGGCAATTATACTGTACTTGAAACCATTCATCCGTTTTTAATTGTGAAAATGCACATGTATGTCATTCTTGTTTTTAAGGAGTTGTGGCCACGAAAAGGTTCAGGTGACACGTTCCTATCTTTAAATTTAATTGAGCTGCAAAGGAGGTCGATTTATCAACTGATTCAGCTGTTTAAAGATGCATAGAGGGTTGATATCAACTTTAATTCAGGGAAAGAATTTGTGTCACTTATAGACATCTGGAGTTTACATGATTTTTTTTTTCATCATTTCATTACAATTCGGGTTATCTAATGAAATAATTTGAATTTACACGTTTTCTTAAGCAAAACTTATTACGACTGCATGTAAGCACAAAGTCCGTCTTGGACTTTCATAGCTGGCGAGCCTCAGTATTAATCTCTTAAGAAAAAGAATCAATGTAATTTATAAACACCTTGAATTGACATGTAATTCTCACCATTTCTTTACAATCCAAGTCATCTAATAAAATAAATTTGAATTAACACTTGTTCTTTTTGGAAACCAATGGGAATTATTTTGCTGGGTTTCAACTAAGTATCAAATTCGTCTCTGCTCCCCCGATCAAAGTACGACCTTTAAAGACTGACTGCCGCGTGAAATGTATTTCCTGTCACCCCATAATAGAAAAACCTGTACTCTGTGGGTAAAATGAAGGAAAAAATGCTTATTTCCCAGCAGAATACATTTTGATGGGTAATTCTCATTGAGTGTGCTTTGAATTCTAAGTCAAATGTATTTTCTATCACATTGCTCTGTTGTGCTTCTAACTACTAACATAGTACAATAACAGATACACACAATAAAATCAATGCCCTAAGTACATGTACGTTTGTTTAAAGTTGACATCTACCTGTTAAATAGCTGGAGATTTGTGCGCTGATGAACAGTCACGTCTTATCCTCCCTTCAACCAAATAACTACACGCCAAGTGCATTGTCACGTGATAACGATACGCATGTTTGTATAGCTTAATTATCATAATAATTAAAACCAGATATCCTTATTCTGTTCTTTATTAGTATGGCTTAAATATGATAATAATTCAATTATAGATATTTTTTCTTTATTTTTACCAAAATACAATGTGATATGAACAAATAAATAAATGGGAAGTTTTTTCATTTCTACCTTCAAATTAAAAAAAAAAAAAAAGCGTTGCTGCTGTCATTTTTGTCCTTGGGTGCCTGTGGTACGTACTTTAAGTTCAGGTGGCACGTTCTTATCTAGAATCTTGAGAGCTTTAAATAAGGACATTATAACATTATTGGGGGTTGTCAGCTACGCATAATCATAAAAAATATTTGAAGTTTATTCGTAAATACATCAATTGCTACAATACAAGTTTTTAAAGATACTTTTCTGCCTCGATGGGTTCTTAGTAAATTGGTGCAAGGGCTGCAGGGCTGCAGTGATTGGAGTATATCATTATTAACACGCAAACAATGATTATATCAGTGACGAAATAATGTTAAAACAATTTGATTATTGTAGAAATATTTCAATATTTAACTAAGTTTTTAAAGTTTAGAGAAGTTATTTGTTTCGAGGAACATGTGTCCTCTATGTTAGAATATTTAGATGTAGTTCACTTAATTACATAGGTCATATGGTTGACCTCATAATGAAACAAAATGTAAAAAAGGATTTAGGGGACATACATTGATAACCTTAATGCCTTTGCAACGAATCAACAAGTGTACAGCGATCTAAGCCAACTGACTGAAAATAGAGTAAACTAGAGGACCATGATCGCCCTAGCCTGACACTTGAACAAGAAAAAAGCATTTCCATTATCCGTCTTTAAACCATCCTTATTTCTTAGGGATCTGAAGGTAAGCTAACATTGTCACGTGGTTTCAGATATGCATATTTATTTTGTTTATGGTATGTTTTTACGTCCATATATGCTATTCTTGTATGTAAGGGATTGGGGCCACCAAAATATGAACACTATCTTTTAAGTTATACATGTATGAGCTTTAAATGAGGTCGATTTATCAGCAGATGTAGCTGTTTAATAATTTACTGAAAGTTAACCCGCAAGAAAACGCAGTAGATACTCCAGCGCAGTAGACTACTGAAATCATACTGCAAACATGCCTCAAATCTGCTTCGATTAGGGAGCTAATTAGCATATTTGAAACATGCTTCTATCATGCTGCTAATCTACTGCATTAATGCTCCTCTCTGTACAAACCTATGTACTTTTTGGAGTAGAATTGCAGTAGCTATACTGCATTTCTACTGCAATATATGCTCCACACCACTACTGCGTTAATGCTTCTTTGCTACTTCGATTCTACTGCATTTTCGTGTGGGAATTGTTATCACTTTTATTTATGTGAAAGAATTAAAGTAATTTAAAAACACCTCGAATTTACTTGCAATTCTAACTAATTCACTGCAGTTCGGATTATGTAATAACATATTATTAAATAGAACTGATGTACTTTTTTAAAAAAGCAACAGAAATTATTGCGCTATGATTCAATGAAAGGTCAAGGTCGTCTCTCCTCCCCCCGATCAAAGTACGACATCTTAAAGGTACACTTCATGGGTTTGACAATCCCCAAAATACTTATTTTTGTTATCTACAACTTCTGATAAAACCATATAACCTTACATACACCTTAAATCAATCAACCCCTATTTTTTTCTGGGGTGTGCCCGATATTAATTGATATTCCCAATGGAACATGTAGGAAAAGGATCGATGTTAAAATGACTGGCCACTCATTTCAATCTAAAATTAATCTTTATATATTTCATCAAAGGTCGAATACAAGTGTGAGTACGAGAAAATTGCTTATTTTTTAAGGAAAATACATTTTGGCGGGTAAATCTTATGAAGTGTACCTTGAAGTCTGCCTTATTAATGTGTCAAATATATTTTCTGTCACATTGTCTAAGTTGTACCAGTCACCGCTGACATAGTATTATAACAAATAATAATAATAATAATAATAATAAAACTATGCCCTTTGTACATGGGCATTTACGTTTCTTTTAAGTTGAAATTTACCTGTTAAATTACTGGAAATGTGTGCGCTGATAAAAAGTCACGTCTTCTCCCTACAACCAAATAACTACACGCCAGGCGCATTGTCACGTGATTACGATACGCATATTAGTATGGCTTAATTATAATAATAATTCAATTTTAAAGACCATTTTTATTCTTTAATTTTACCAAAATGCAATGTGACTATGAACAAATGAATAAATGGAAAGTAGTTTCATGTCTGTCTTCAAGTTAAAAAAAAAAAAAATAGCGTTTCTGCTGTCATTTTTGTCCTTGGGTGCCTATGGTCGTCCTATGAGTTCAGGTTGCACGTTCTTATCTAGAGTCTTGTGAGCTTTAAATAAGGACGGTTTATCAGCTGTTTATCACTTTATTGGGGGTTGTCAGCTACGTATAATCATATATAATATTTGAAGTTTATTCGTAAATACATCAAGAGCTACGATAAAAAGTTTCGTAAGATACTTTTCTGCTTCATTTGGTTAGTAGTGAATTGGTACAGATACGCAGGACTACAATAATTGATGTATATTATGCTTAAATTATTAACACGCAAATAATAATTTCATTAGTGGCGAAATAATGTCAAAACAATACGATTATTGTAGTAATAATTTAATGTTTAACTATGATTTGAAAGTTTAGGTAAGTTATTTGTTTCGAGAACATGTGTCCTCTATGTTAGAATATTTAGATGTAGTGCGCTTTATTAAATAGGTCATGTATGGTTGACCTCAAAATAAGAAAATGAGAAAACAAATAGGGGACAAACCGTGCATATTTCTTGGTGCTAAAATGTATTGTCATAGAAAAAATAAGGAAAACCATGGTAAATGTACAATGTACTTTACGTACATAAAACCCTGAGTATAGAGGAGTTTGTTTTGAAGAGCAGAATTCAGAGAGCACAAGAGCACAAAATGCTAGATTGCTCACCATTAAGGCTGTGTTGGATTATGTATTATTGGTACATATTAAGGGACAATGTTGGTTACCAGAATAATCCTGTATTTAAGTGACTTCCAAATAATGGTGATTTGGCACCAATGTCAATGCCACTCCAAATACAGATGCTGTCACCGCCGCCAGTCGCTCTAGGAGCGGCACACGCTTTTTCGTAGGACTATTGATGATGTCTGTGAGCTCTTATTTGACCACCTTTACTGAGAACTCCAACTTGAAGTATTTTTTTTAAATTTATTTTATTCTGTTTTTGTGTCACACGATCAACTGATTTTGCAGGGTTTTAGTAGAGCTAAGGGCAGACACTGGTCTATGTGTAATGTTAATAATTGACAGTCTTGAGTGAGTTAGGAGCGGGGAGTGTTTTGTAGTGTAACTGAGTTGTTTGACATATGGTCTTATTATGGTACTTATACAACTGCGAGTAATGTAAACAAGAGAATGAGGTAGAGATAGAAATGGGAAGAAAACGGAAATTAAACTAGTTAATAAATAACAAGAAATATTATAATACAGTTGCACTGGGGTATTGACTTCTATACCTCGCGTAACAACAAAAGATAAAGAAAACTTCATCACACACGCCTCGATCACAGCAACAAACAAAACTAAATTTGACGGTATCAGCGTGGATGTGTGCGTAAATCGGGATTTCAAAACCATATCTGTTAATGGTGACAATTGTGTTTATTAGTGTTTATTATGAAATTGTTTGAGTTACACGAAAAATGTGGAGATTGCCTGCACGGACAAAAGACGACCATTACTGGTGAATAAAGAGGCGAGAAATGATAATTTTCAGGAATTTTCAACAGTCAGGCACTGATTCATCGTTATATAAGGAATTAGGAGTGCAATTTTCGCAGTTATATATATATATATATATATATATATATATATATATATATATATAGTGTGAAACAGTGCCAAAATGAACAGGCTTCTTTATTTATATATTAATCAGATTTATTTAAGTCAAAGAAGCCTGGTCATTTTGGCCCTGTTTCACACTATAGGTTGTCGCTCTTAATTGTCTCCCTGGGGAATGGAAGCATTTCAGAAAACACACATGGAAAAGACAGTCCACTGGATAGGAGTATCAGTACAGTCAGTCCAGAGTACAGTTGCATTGGTACAGATGGTGAAGAGATAGAGCCAGCACAAGATGACCCTCTTGTCAGAGGGGATTCACCATCGGGAACTATGTGGCGCAGTTTAACCGAGAGTTGGAGGTTACTGTGAATGGAGACAAAAAAGAAGTCAAAGAGGAGGTTGGGAATGCAGACATTGACTAAACTCGATTACAGAACTACGATGAACTCAAATGTGAACTCTACTATGAAGTTCGAAAACTATATGAAGCAGTGGGAATCCAAGTTTTAAACCATTTAAGGTTTTATAATATATAATTGTTATTTAGGTCGAAAAATATACTCTCTACATTTTAAAAAAATTAATCTAGGTCCCATGCCATTTCTGAATTTGGGTCATGTAAAAAGGTGAAAAGAAAAAGAACTCCCTTCCAAATGTCTGATCTTTTACATATGTTTCTCCATAAGTCTGTGTTTAAAACATCGCCAAATTATCATATTCATTGGAAATCAGTAAATCTTTATGTTTGTAATATAATCACATTTTTTCCTTGTCTGTTTTTCGTTTGTATTAACGCATTTAAAGATAACAAGATAGAGTTACATAGATGTCTAGTCGTATTTCAGTGATTCGCGAGTGTTGGCCTGGTGTGTTTCTTAATAGAACGTATAACTAGCGACCCATCCCTTCACGATAAATCGCAGAGTTGCTGCAGTCGATGTTGCTTCCCAGAACTGGCGATGGTGCTATCCATGTTAATTACCAAGATAGCTGTCGTTATTGCTTAACCTACAGGTGTGCCATGGCCTTAACAACTATGGGTTCAGATATAATAATGAACTATGATATCTCTCAATCAGTTGTTTTTAACAAAAGTCTCGTACACACAATCATATAACGCTGATCTATCTGGGAATTATATTTTTATAATATCTGTCATAAATTATATGATTTGCTGGGTTGTATAAAAGATGTATATTTTTACCATTGCTCTCGCTCTCTCTCTCTCTGTATGATATTTGCATATATAATCACAGTGGGTTGTTTATCATGCCAAAACGTGTGTATCATTGTCTTATTTCTTTATTAAGTATAACATGAAGATTTGAAATTCCTATTTGACCTCGCAAATGATGGCTTAGAATATATACGACATACAGTCGTGGTGGAATACGTCATTCAAGACGAACCATTCAAGATAACAGGATTTGACTTACACAGTCGTCACATTTCATAGAGTCACGACCATTGCCTTGCATCAGCTTTTTATTGTCGTACATCAATATATGACAGGTGTATGCAGTCTACAGTTTATTTTCCTGCCGGTCATGTCTCTCTGTATACTGTCCAAGACAGCAGTGCTGGCCGCCATTGTGTGGCTGGTAGTACCATGGAATATGTCTGCTGTTTCCAGCACAATAGAAGACAGTGGACTCAGCATACTGGAGGAGAGATTTTTACGTTTAGAGAGTAAATTCGAGCAGGAAACCAATCGGCTGAAGAGAGAAAATCAAGAACTTAAGGTAACATTAGACAGTGAAATGTGAATTTGAAGATCATACAGTGAAAAATCTTTTTAAAGGTGGCGATATTCTTAAGAAAATATATATTTCTACAAATGTCGCGGAAACGTACTGAAAAATAGCTGGCTACTGAAATTCTGTTTATAAAATTGTGCATATAAAACAATCCCACCAATCTTGTGCCTAAAGCAAACTTTATCATGCGCCCACTAGGAAAAAAATTAATCAAGTGATGCGTGTAGAACATTGCTATGGTAATATAAACATTGTGATTGTATCTACATGGTTTTTAGTCAAAATCGTAAAGCTATTTATATAATTGCTATTTATTTAACTCCAGGAATCACTTCAAAGGCTCCAGCTTTCCATAAGTCCCACTTCTGGCGACGACTTGATGTCACTGAAAGATGACAATGGGAATATTTTATCAGGAACAGGGACACACAGCTGTGAGTAACATTTCACGTATGTCGTTATGGTTGCATTGTTTACCCTATTAATTCTCATAATGCTAAATATTTTCACAAAGTTATCACCACTCTTTTAGCTAAGCCAAGCAACACATTTAGATTTTCACGTAAACACAATTCACTTGACACATGAAAACGCGTGCGCACAAAAACACATTACTGCACACTCACATGTCAAATAAGCAGCAATACCACGCTGTTACGTCCTATATTGAGTTCTTTAGTAACAAAAAAATAAAGCATAGACATAAATACGAATGAAAACAAACACCTCAAATTAAAATGATAATATTGTACTTATTGAACTAAAACCTAACTAAACATACAATAACATTGAACTAAATAACTTAACTAATATGGGCTTTATAATGTTCAAACAAAGTTAGTGTTCACAGGATAAGAGGGTCATTCCACGCACTTCCATTTCATTGTCATTGTTCATTTGTGTAGGCCTACGTACCTTCCTTGCGTTGTTCGTAATAGTCAATGCTTTTTCTCAACGTTACTTATCTTTTGTCAATCATAGTTCCCTCTCTGTTTTCCGTCAACTTGTGTACTGATGCATGTACAATCACTCGCTTTTTCCAGCTTCCATATTTTCCACCAACTTGTGTACTAGTGCACGTACAGTCACTCACTTTCCTTTACCTCCATGTATAGTACTATACATCCACGATCAGTTAAGACGTAGTCCATCTATCCTAGCTCCTTGCTCTCCACGCCTACATGTCTCTCTTCTTCTTCCTATTTCCGTGGGTGTGTCCAAAAACCTCCACATCCGGGCTCCTTTATTTTTGTCCACAGTTGTCACCAAAGGTGACCACGAGTTATCCTCGCTATAGTTATAATGCCCATTGATAGGATACAATTGACAGGAGTACTAGTGCAACGTAACACACGCATAGGTATTCATATAAAATTAAAGGGATAATAACTCTTCATATGAGATCAATATTTCACAATAAAAACATTGCGAACAACTCATAGAAATATGATATATTGTTTA